ATGACTGAGCAGCGGAATTTGAATGTAATTTGTATACACGTCAAGATAATCCAGGATATTTGCGGGAAAATCACCAAATTTTACAATCTGCATGTGAAAACAACTTTAATTTAATACTGTTTTTGGCCTCGCCATAAATGAGTTGATGGAAAGTGTATGATTTCCAAGGGGAAGATATTATGGTTAGAAGTGTTAAAATATTTCAAAAATGTGTAATTTTGCGTAGTAAAATTGATTTTATTGCTTTTTTAGGTTATTTGATTGATTTAGGACAGAGTTTGATGAATAAATAACCCTCAAAATTATCAATTTTATATTTAATCTGGGAATATTTCTCGTTTTCTTGGCAAAGTTGAGCATTTGTGATCGAGAAACTTCATATTGATTGAGAAAAAATACTTAAAGTCAATCATAACCTCAAAAATTTCTATTTTCTTAGTTATTTCCGCGGTTTATACTTCAAAATGGGAAATTAAACATAATTATCTTGTTTAATAATAGAAATATTCGTTCTAATTACCCATTTTTAAGTTTTGTAATATAAAAATTAGGCCAAAAAGCGTTTTTAGCTGGATTCATAACCTCACAATTTGGTCAGAATTTTTCTAAGCATTTTGCAGTGTGAGAAACAGTTGAAAAGGCCTAAAAAGTGATGGAAAATACCTTTAAAAGCGTTCAGAAGTGTCTGAAGAGTTAAAGATTTAGGGCATATTATATCCTCCTTGATGATTTCAAATGAGGCATAGATAGGATTGTTAGATAATCCTGGCAACAAGTGCTTACAAGATAGTTCATGTAAGATCCCAAGCAAAGTGACTGAGGAGTATTAGGAGTAACACGAATGTAACAAGGCTTTACATATTTCTAAATTCTACGATGTGTCATGAATAGCTGCAGATTTAAATTTTATTATCCAACATTCGCCGAAATCCTGTCTCCTATTGCACGGAATTTACCTCTTTGTAATTGTTGAGCGTTACGACTTCGGCTGTAATCCTTTGGCACATGACAATTCTACTCCTGCCATTGTGCTGAGTGAGTTTTTCGCATGGCAAAATAATCCCATCCGCATTCAGGAAGTAAATTCTCTCCAATTGGGGATTGTGAAGGAAATTCATCACAATTGACTGAAAATAAACACATGTTTTTGGTATAAACGTGAATGAGGCAACCGAGAGAGTGAGTGAGCGAGAAGACAAATTTAATGACAAAGTTTCCCAATTAATCTAGGTGTGAAAGGATTCGGTGTGATTTCAAAGTGTTGCCTGGGTTTGGCCTACACCTTTCCACACCTTCTGCACAAAGTGTTATTTTTAGTTGAATGTACGCCTATCGCAAAGCCCACCCCCGCCGCCCAAATTTGTTTTGGTGTACATTCCTCAAATTGCCAAGGTGTAATTCAATATTTTCTCGTTATTAGATTTGTGGTGTTTGTGGATACACCTGGCCGTGCGGAAGTGCCGAAGAGATGACTGGGATCCTTTGGAAACTGGGGGTGTGGGAATTCCCAAGGAGAGAGAGAGAAGTTCCACGACACTCGGACAAGTGGATAATCTAATTAAATATGCTGCAAGGTTAATTCTGCCAAAGACCCCTATTTCATTTTATATGTTTGTGTCGCGTGGTCATTTTAATTAAATCGCTGTGTGACATATGCTAAATGAGGAGTATGTTAAGTTATATTTAAAGTGCCATTCTGGCCATGTTTCCGGCATGCTTCAAACTATACACTCCTCACAATCCACTTGAGGGGTTTTTGGTCTCTCAATCGACCCGACCTTGTGCCCATATAGTCTCTTTCTCTCCTCAGTATTCCTCATGCTATTATTGAAACATTTCCACCACAATTTTCACTCACTTTCGCATGGAAAATATTTTCGCACTGAAATACCCATTAAATTGCTTTAAATATCACCCACTTTTCCAATTGCCTCTGGGAGTTGATGGTTGAAAACTGTTTTGGGGGTGAATTTCTCAGTTTTCTACCGTCAAAAACCCTCTAAATTAAAATTATATACACATTTGTTGAAGTAGTTTTTAAAGCTTTAATATTGCGAGCAGAATTCCTTTAATAATCGTCAAAGCATACATACGTAATATTTGATCAAACAAAATGATTAAATACAGCTTAAGGCAAGATTGTTTCTTCAATTACCCTAATTACTCTGTTAGATAATGTGTAATATTTTAAATGACTTCAGAAATGGATGCTTTTGCCGAAGGGAATCTCAGGTATTTTATTTAATTAAATTTAATCTTCAGACTCATTTTGACGCACATTTGTAAAGAATATTGCATTCTCCTTTCTTTTCCTGGAAGCACACACAGTATATTTTAGAGAGAACAATAATAATAATAAGAGTAAAAAAAAAACTACTCTATCATCGCTGAGTTTTTTTTTCTTCTTCAAAACAATAGAAAATCTCCATTTGCACGGACTTTAAGTAAATCCGACCAAAATCTTTTGCAGAAATTAAATTAAAACCAGCAACAATGGGAAATATTAAGGGTGCTTCTGGTATTTTGCAAAATGAGACAGGAAAGAATAAAACTATGCCATTTCGCCCATTTCACCCAAAGAGGAAGAGAGGGAAAATGTTGAGCCTGGAGAAATTATGATAATTTTTTTCCTTGGACAAACAATAGAGAAATGAGAGAGAGAGAAAAAAATGTATTTGTACAATTTCATTCGGCGGAGGAGAAAAGGAGTGAAATTACGGTAGAATCCTTGAGATATTTCGTCAATTCCACCCACAATTATTCATTTCTGTGATTTTCACGCCATTCACTCAGCGTCACGTAATTTTCTTATCAGCCCGGCGTCTCATGGGCGATGGACGTAAAAGACTAATTCAGACCATGGTCAAACCCTCGTAGTCTTTGTTTTCCACCCATCAACATGATTTTTTTTTCTCATGCTCATGAATCACATTGCCGGCGGTGAAAAGGTAATTGAGTAGAGAATTTACCTTGAAGCTCTCGATGGAGAGCATTTTCTCCCAGTTGTCCATGTTCATGCTGAGCGATCTGAGAGGGAATGACGCCAGCCAGTCGAGGATGAGCTCCTCCTCATCCACCACCTCTCGTCCATCACCCAGATCAGTCTCCATTGTGCAATCAACCTTTCTCGTCCACTTGTTCACTTCCAACTAATTTGTTTGCCAGTTGATGCTATGATTGCTCTATTAGCAGTGGAGGCGCCTGGTACAGTGCCACCTGAATTTAAATTCACTCCTCAAATACTCTCCTGCGCCTCCCAGACATCAAATTATCCACCCCAGCATTTTTGCCGTCAAGAAGACATCTCCTCTCCATACCCCCACCCCCCAAAAGAAGCACTCTATCAGGGGTGGAATGGAGACAGGAAAAAACGAAACAGCCCCAGTTGTTGAACATGAAGAAGGAAATATGTCCATTGAGGGAGATTATGAATGAAGAATTACTGAAAATAATTATGCAAATTGAATGTGAGAAGGAGGGAGAGAATTAATTTAATTTTAAATGGTTCAAGTTTGTACATTTACATCTGTACAAATGACACCTCTATACCGTGAGACTACACATGGATACAATAATAATAATAAAGTCTTAACGTGAAATTAATTCCGTGAACTACTTTCGCCTCCCACTCCGCGTGTTGCCTTCAACAGGAGACGAACATATGAATATAATGAGAAGGGTGAGTGGCTTATAGGGTTGGGCGTAGAGTTAAAATTTCGCGAAGAGATGCAAAAGAGGTAGATAATGATGGGGAGGAGATAATCAATGCCAAACATACATTTGGTTTATCAAAATTGTATATTTTCAACAAAATATTTGAATATTTGCTTGATATTTAGTCAAAACTTAAATATTTGATCAATATCTCCACATATGGTCACCAGAGGGCAGCAAAGTCGGCGTGGGGAACGCTATATAGTCATATCGTATTTTTCGCATCATTTTCTCTCTCTTCCCACACATTCTCACACTTTATGCCTTCCTGGCGTGATCCTGGACAGGAGAGAAAGAAGTTTGATCACAAAAATGAAGTTTTTCGCGTAAAAATGGCCGATTATCAGTTAATCAACTGATTAAGTTTAAAAAGCATCTTGAAGTGAGAGGCAAATGTGGCCCTTAAGTCACTCAACATATGCATTTAAACTGCTGCCCTCTAGCGGTAATTTGTGAAGAAAATATTCCAAATTTAAATGAAAATCCTTTCCCCATGGTTAATCATTTTTTGATTGATTTATTTCATTATTTCTTCACTCTTTTAATTAAACCATCTTAAATTCACACACATCAAATTAATTAGTATGTACTATGCATTTCTTTAGCAATTAATCATATTTTTCTTAAGTACTATATGCAAGTTTGCCTGGCATTCTTGCTAGCATTTAAAAGCTGTGCGAGGAGGAATGAAAAAAGTGGAAAGGTAATATTTGCAGAACACCTGGCGAATCTCAAACTGTCCATCACATCAACTCTGTGAGCGCCTCTCGCGTCTGGCATATTCCAACATTAAATTTTTGTCGTGTTGGAGCATTAGCATTTTTCTTCTAGCCCACACTCCGCCATCCGTCTGGCGCTCTCGCTCCGGTCGTGGCCCAAAGAGTGCGATGGAAGAAAGTGGGTGACGAGGTGGCCGTTCAGAGCTTTCTAATGGGAGCTTAAAGCACACACGGTGTATGTGCTAACATGGCACAAACACACGAAAGACGAGGAAGGGGCTGATGGAGGTGAGAAGTTCTTGCGGCTGTGGCGCACACTCAACCCAATGTAAATTTGATTGTATTGGACAAAGTGGTGCTAGAAACATTATTCACTTTTTGTGTTTTTGCCCCATTGTCGGCCGGGTGTATTTCACCACCACGTACGTGAGGAGGTCCGTGGGGGTGGCACAATAGTATTTCGCGCTCCACCACATACATAAGAAGCCTCTTATATTTTCACCTGAAGCGTCCACTTTCCAGTTTAGTCGCTCGAGTGAATTCCAGGTGGACACAGCTCCTGCACTTGACAATTCCGGTCACATAGACTTACCTCCAACACCAGAGAGTGTGTGTTCATGTGCTGTGATTCTCTCACGGGGACAATTTGCCCATTTCTTCCAAGTGGTGTGGACGAGAAGAAGAGAAATAACCCCGAGCTTAATCCAATGATTTAAGAATAAAACTCCTTTCACCTCCTCTTCCATTCCATTTACCTTCAATTATCTCGATGATATAGGCCAATTTCGTAGCGCCAAAGTGGGGAGAATGCGGATGAGATAGAGGTGTGAAATACTTCTTAATTTCACTCAGGAAAAGTGCAATAATTTCCCTCTTTTCTCCATAGTGTGCCAAATTATTGTACATTTTCCCGCGCTTATCGAGTGTGTGGGTGGTGAGACACGACGCGGGTTTGGGGTTGAAAGCTTTAGGAGCACCAGAGAAGAAGGTTGTGGAGTGCAGGAGAAAAAAAGCTCTGCACAATTTATAGCGTGCAAAAGTTGAAGAAGTTTCGCAACAGTATAAAGAAAAAATAGTGCAATAAAATATCCCAGTGATAAGCTGAGGGAGAATTTACGAGCGTGTGATTCTCTGGGTGACCGAATCGAAATATGGTGAAATTCGATCTTGGGATATGTAGTTACTCTTGGGCACGATAGGGAGAGAGAGAAGTTATGGGAAACTAAACGTGACAGAAGAGAGCAATTCCATTCTGACCTAAATTAGTTATGTACATGAACTTTATTGTAATTTGAGGTTTTGCCGGAGGAAAAAAGAAGCAGCGTTTCCGTAATTGAATTAATTTCTTATAAAAATATCCATTTCACCCTCTCTATTAAGTCCTCATTAATTACAGAATGTTGATTTACACACAAATCCTGGTACAAATAAGCTTTGCTGTCGATTGTGATGAAAAATTAAAAATCTTGGGAATGAATATGAGGCATAATTCCACAGCCATATTGAATTCCAAGCATATCCTGAGGCTCGAGTGTGGCTCTGATTAGAATTTACAACAGATCAAACGACACCATCACGCCAAGTTAATAGCAATATCCGCGAATTCCTGTGATGTCTCGAAATTTGAAAGGCAAATTTGCCTCTTCCACCGTCTTCACATAATTTCTCGCAATGTCAATGGGAGAAGCGAAACGAGTGATGTAATACAAACACTCGCCCCGCCAGAAAGTCCTCATTTGACTCAAGTTTCGCCGTGACACTCAACAGGGACATTCCAACAAGTTCTCCCGCCCCAAACCGTCAAAAAACTCTACGCGGAAAGTTCATTAAAGTCAATGCAAAAGTGTCGTGGTAAAATTTTTTTTTACCACAATGGTCATCCACTTTTGAGTGGTTCTTGTCTCCCGGATGCTGTTAGTTAACGAAGTGCGAGACAATGTGAACTGATGAGGCTCCGTGTGAAATTAAATTGAGAGCCATGGCAGTTACATGTACTAACGAGAGTTCGCCACTCTTTTCAATACCACCCCTGCACCCGAGCTTTTTCGTGGTTTTCCGCTCTCGCTCACTCTCTGGGTTGTGTTTCACATTGGGTGTCGTCATGGCGACACACTGGAAAACATATGATGCGAAGCTATTTTTAATCGGCCGCAATTCATTACGAAAAGCACACCCTTCTGATATATGAAATACAACCCTGCGATATGCCACATTCCGACAGACACTTTTACAATTCAAGGTAACATTCCAGTCGTGCTGAATTTATTATCTAGCACTCAATTATGCCAATTATTTATTGCCTTCGAACCATACATGGCGCGTAGCAGTGCATAATCTCAGCCACGGATCGCTTCTATTTTCATTGACAGTGGCCTATTAGTGGTGCCCAAATCACCGCCCCTCGTGGCGGATTTTATGCTCGCGAAGTATCAGGAAAACCACAATAAATTCACACTTTTTGCCACCCCCAGGATGTGTCACTGTTGGGGCATGCATGAAGGGCAAAACGCCAATTCACCTGCTTTTTTAGAGCACGCAAGCAGCCTATATCGGCTGAATATAGCGTGGGAATGTGATTTTGGGCTCGGTGACGATTGACGACTCGCGAATAATTCTTCAGCCGCCGGCTGGGTGACACTTTTGGTAGTTCAGTCAGTTTGCGCCATGGATTCATCAATCTCTGTGGCTCGGCAGTGCTTGAATTAATTTATTTGGCGTGCCTGAAACCGATTGATCAGGCATTGGATGTGACAACAATTCTATTTGATGTCACACTGAAAAAGTACTCAACATTGAGTTATGGTGGAAAAACATGCGGACAATCAAATTATATTACAATATTTTAATCTCACACTGGTAAGATGTTCAAACATACCACAGCTTTAAATTCTCTGAGTGCCATTTGATTTCTTTCATCGAGAACGGTTCCAAATGAGCTCATTCTCAGTCTTTCGAGACGCTTTCTAAAGCTCAAGCACAGCTTCTGTCTATTTCCATTAGTTCCGCCGTTGTGGGTCGAACACTGTACACAGTGTCGCATCTTCCAAGTGGCTTTTTAATCATCCCATCCGCCCCAAATGCTCCGATTTGCTCTAATGAAGCGAAGAAGCCCCCTCTTGGCGAAGACGCGTGGTGTTATTGAATTTTGTCACTCGAGGGAGAAAGTTAAAAAGTTGTTGCGTATATGGGAACTTTTCCATAAAGCCATCGCGTGTGTCTCTCCTGCTGTGTCTCTTTTATCATCTTCACCATCCCTCGAAGATGAGTTAATTCGCCTCTCATCTCCATTCAGATTCAATTGAGAGTGCCGGCGACAAAGTCGAGAGAGAGAGAGTGAGAGAGCTTTTGAGGGGCGAAAGAAGGAGCGCGAAAGCTCACGAATGGGCGGACTTCAATGGAGGGTGAGAGGGTAGAGAAAAATCGCAAGAATGGCAAAGAAGGGATACCATCGAAGCAGAGGAGGACTTGCAAGTGCCGTCTCAAGTGTAAGAAGTGCGGTCAAGAGTACGAGGCGAGCGACAGTGAGGACGGGAAGAAGGACGACGAGGCGCGCCTGGCGCACGGATGCACCAAATTAATGTATGCATGCCAGCAAGGACTAACGGGATCCATTGTGAAGGAGCTGAGAAGCAAGGTGAGCCCATTCATTCTCCTTATTCCGGACTAGCACCCTCAATTTCCAGCGTCATTGAATTAACCCTCAATTTGATTTTAATCATCCATCCAAAACTTCCTTATGATACAATTAAACTCCTGAAGCATGGTGGCAGATTTATGTTTCACTCCCCCTTCAAATTTGTCTTCACCACCCACCCCCGCAGCACCACCAAACACCCCCACTCGCCCTCATTTTGTTTCCATTTCCGGGAAAAACTTGGTGCGCTAGTGAGAAAATCAAATATTTGTACACGAATAACTTCACATATGTGAAATAATTCAGACATTCCCACTCTCGCAGAAAGTTTATACGTAAATATTTTGACGAGACTTCTCAATCTTCCTTTTCAATACACTCCTTCACACTCTCTGAAAAATGTCAGAAAGGAACTCCAGCACGTGAACACTCACAAAAAGCAATTACAGGAAAGAAATTGTATGAAATCCGTCTTGTATTATTCAGTTTTAGAACAAATAACTATTGATCTGTCATATTTACACTCCGTCAATCGAATTCTTCACTGTTTGAACTCATGAAAGGAATCTGTTTTCGTCTTTTTCGGCGGCACCATTCATAAATATTAAATTAAAAAAAGAGATATTTCCAGGTCATTGTACATTGAGGAAGAGAACTTAGAGAACTTTAAAACACACCGGACTGAGATTTATGAGAAAAACAACGGCAAAAGAGGTAGAAAAAAATATAATTTATCTCTTTTGTTAGTGTATTTTGAATAATGCAATGAAAATTGCAATAATTCTTTGAATGAAGAACGTGAGATTTCTTCTGTAGCTGACTTTTTCAAACTTGCATATATTCTAAATCTGTTTGTTATTCATTTTATCAACGCATATAAATTTCTTTGCAATTTCTTGGGGTTTTTCTCGAGAGCTCTGCGTTTTACTAAGGGGGAGATAAGACGGTTAAATAGTGTACATCACTTCGTAACACTTCCACAATTTCTGTGCAGACTCACAGACACTTCCAGAACTTCAGCAGTGATTAAAATTTGTGTTTTCTTATTTTCTTCTCTTTTTTCGGGATTCTATAAATTTTTCCAACAGCTTAAAGCATCATAACATCAAATTTAGGTCGTAATTGACATAAAAAGACTCCAATTTTTACTTGTATAACTCTGAAAAAAAAAGATAAATGTTTGATTTGATTGAAAAACAATCAGATTTTTATTAAAGAAAATAGTGTAAAAGTTCTCTAAGTATTACATTAATTTTCCTTTAAAAGTAACACTTAATATTGCAAATATTCAATCCCTTCTGACCCATAATATCTGCTCCTTGCTTTCTACGTCATGAAATGTATGACGAACGAGATGTGCATCCTTGAGATGTTCTTTTCATAATAAAATTCCAATCCTCTGTTGAAGTCTTCAGATGGAATTTCTCTAAACTTGCCCTTTGGCCATATCTTCCATCAGAGGCAAATGTACAACTTAATCATGATTGGATAAGTCCTTTGGTTTCTGCCTTTTAATGCCACTTCACATTACTCCAAGGACTCACTGGGAAGCCGTAAGCAATTTGCTTATCAAAGATAAGTGTGTCAACTAATTCATCCATTTGCCGAGAGCCCATGGCCATCGTGGACGAAAGAAGAAAAAAAACAGAAGCCATTTGTGTGGGCAAAAGAATTGAAATGGAAAAACGCTCTCGATTTCAATTACTCTCTGGGCTGTAATGTATTATTTTCTATGCAAGAGATGTCCTTCTCAATTTATTTTCTGCGTTTGCTGCGAAGCCATGGGAAATATCCATAGGGCTATTTGTAGAAAGAGTGTGATTAAAAATAAATAACATCAATAAATGGTCGAGGGTGGAGTGTTCAATTGAAAGTAAATGCGAGTTGCAATAAAAGGGATTTTATTTGGTATAACATTCGATGGTATTTCTTGTTGGTCAGCAAATTGAAGTTTGCTGACCGGCTTTCTCTCGCATGTTGCCCCAAATAAAGTGTTGGCGGAAAAGTAACAGGGGAAACGAGGTCATTGCTAAATGTATGTAATAAAATAATGCAGAATGTTGTCCACACAAATGGTCGAGCTTTTGCCGAGACTTTAATCCACTGAATATTGAAATTTATTATGTAATTGCGTGACACAATCTAATTATATCGACTGGCCCACCGAAAAAAAGCTCCTCTTGGAGTGCGAGGAGTGAGAGAGCCGTACATAAATATACTTTTATGTGATTGTGCTATAAAAATAATACATATTTTGCCATTTGAGTACCGACCTGAATGAATAAATTGATTGTTACTGATTTTATTGCGTCACGAGCCATGAGATCATGCTTTAGAGAAGTACTTTTGGGAAGTAAATATGTGAAAAATCCAGTCAGTGCACATATGAAATTAAGCGTTGAGCAATGAATTATCATATAACTTCAACTTTTGATGTTTATCAACGGAGATTAGATTAAATTTATTGCACGGCAGAGGCAATTTATGAAATTGCATCACATTCCATGCTGTAAACAGAAGATTTCTGCTGGATTTATAAGCGCTTTTGGCATCATTTCAGAGAATTATGGATTAGGGAATTATTCCGCAATTAATATCCGAGTAAGAAGACTTCTGTGACGCTCATTCTCCGGGGGTGGGGCGAGAAATTCAATGGGTAGGAAAATCAATCAATATATTGGGTCGAGAGGAGGCAAACTAATGCAAGCTGTATAAGAAAAGTTAATATGCTGAAAGGCGAGAGAGTCAAGAATGGCGTTGATTGAAAGCTCCCGGGGGCGAACTGGGTGGCTTCCGTTGATATGGGCCATCATGGCGAATGTGGAGCAGGTTGATTTAATGCAAATTTGCACCGACAAATAACGCAAATCGATCCATTGAGGATATATTTGGTCAGTGCTCATACGGCAAATGAAGTATGAAATTTTAATTGAATTCCTCGCATTTTCATCGTGAAATATATGGAGGAGTTCACTTTTCAAATCACGAATGGCAAAATGTGTGCGTGGGGGTGGCGAAACTCCGAAGATTTGTGAAATATTTTGCGCACAAAATTGGAAAATTTCTTTCATGTTTCTTCGCAACACTCAGAAGATTCTGCAAGACTCAAGAAGGCAGCAGAGTGGAAAGCAGCGAGTTATTTTATTTACCAATTTACCCAGCATTTTGGAAATTCCATTCCCGCAGTTCAGACGGGGGCGAGAGAGAGAGTGAGAGGGTGAAACCCAAAAGGGATGATTTCGTGTCAAATTTCTCGACACACGTAAATTATTTTAAACAATGAACACTCCAGCTAAATACGGAGTTTGGGGTGCGGGTGGGAAATTCCTATTGGGCCAATGGTGGGAAAATTGCGCCGGGAAAGTTTCAATGGGGCGAATTTTCTCTTGATTCACACTGATCTCCACCAGGCGGAGTTTCTCAATAAAGTTTAATTTGTCAATAGAGCGGAAATATTTCAGATAATTCATGCCTTCCGTTGGCGTGTTTCGCAAAAAGCTCGCAACTTTTGCGCTAGAAAATTGCCCAAGTTTCGCTTTGGCAAAATAGAATTATATACTTCGTGATGGTCGAAAAGTCGTGCCAAAAATTATTTCAACACCAACCAGCAAATTAATCAACACACATTTCACGGAAGAATGCATTAGAATGTCAAAATAATAATTGAAATTTACTACAATGTCAAATGGAAAGACAAAAGATTTGCAAACATTTTCTTGCACATCTTTTCCCACATAAACATGTAGCAATTTTCCCAGTGGACACTGTAGATTTGGGTCGCTGAATTTCCGTCTTAATTTGTACACTTAGAGGGAGAATGGATGGAATTTCTCCAGGACAACCCAAGAAAGACCATTATGAGAACCATAATAGCATCTTTTCCCATGATTTATGCCCAAAAGACTGCATCGCGCAAAGTGAGGGAATTGCAAACTTTTATGGTGTCATCTTTTCCTCCCCAAAGCGCCCTCGAGAGTGAATTTGGGGTGTTTCTGTGCATTAAAAAAAAATCCTTGTACGGCACATGGAAATGCATACAAGAACACACAGTGGATAAAATAAAGAGACACTTAATGAGCTTCCTTTGCCAAAATACCATATAAAGTTGACAAAACTTTTCAATGCTTAATTGTCGTGTTTGGCAACTCTCTGTCCTCACATTCAATGCATTTTCACTCCGAATGGATGAAGGCGATGAATTAAAATTAGAGGAAAAAGAGGAAGGCGAGGTTATTCAGGGAAAAAGCTCTCATGTAAAGGTTGGGCAGAAGAAAAGCTCTCGAAACTCCCTCAATGTATACACAGACACTTTCCCCACTTTTGAGCACTTTTCAGCTCAGGTAAATTCTGGATTACAGCTGATAAAGGGTACTCAAGCAATGTTCTCATTGTCGCAACTCAAACTTCAGAAGTTTCACACGACAAAGACTGGCAAGGACTGTAATAAGTAGAACTTTAACATAAGACTCTTATAAACTTTAATTCATGTCACACAAGGAGTGAATTGTGCAATGTGGCAAAATAGAAGTGTTTTGAGTGGGAAAAAACAATTCATAATTGTTTTTTTCACACCCCCATAATTAGCATATTATGACTCTTTGACGCAAAAAGCTCTCGTGCCTCTGAGAAAGGCGCCTTATCTCCCAGTTTTTGGGTAAAATTCCCACCTGACTAAGCATTTTTGACACGTCAACAATTCCACACTCGCCGCCTAAGCCTTATCCCACCTCTATCACATTCAGCCAGATACATTTTGGGGCCACGAAAGTTGTTTATAATGTGTAACTATGGAAAAATGTTGTGAGTTGTCATGGTTCTTGGGCCAAAGGCTGAGTTCGACGGGACAGAACGTGAGGGGTTGTGGATGCAAACAAAGGGCAAAATGCACCACTAAAGTTTTGTTGTTCTGGCTGATCGTGGGCATTAATCTCTGTGTCTTGTCTCTCGCAGCCGGAGGAAGTTCGCAAGCGTGACAGGAGCAACAAGAGCGCCTTGCACTACTGCAGCGGACAGCGTGATTTAGTTGCAGCCGCCAGTGTTGCAATGGCCGCACCTGAGCTCATCGAGTCCGCCGATGAGGACGGCTTCACGCCGCTGCACCTCGCCGTGATACAGGGAAATCTCAGTCTCGTGAACCTCCTGCTGGCCAACAAGGCGGACGTGAACGCCCTGGACGGCGAGGGACACTCTGTGGTCCACTGGGCGATTGTCTGTGGTGAGATTGAGGCCCTGAGATCCGTCCTCACGGCCGGGGCGGACGTCTCAACACCAGACATCAATGGCGGAAGTCCTCTTCACTACGCCGCCCAAATGTGTGGCACGAATTTTGAGGGAAAAAGTGGCCAAGCGTCGTCAAAACTCGCCCTGGACATCCTCAATATCCTGCTGCACCATCCCAAGTCCTCAGTTGACCTCATGGACAAGGATGGCAGGCAGCCGCTCCTCTGGGCCGCCTCTGCAGGCTCCGAGAAAGCTGTGCTGGCACTCGTGAAGGCTGGCGCCAGAATAGAAAGCTGTGATAAGTGAGTTTAATTTGTAATTTCTTTCTTCCTCTTGCGACGATTATTTTTATCTATAATCTAGACATAAAATTCTCCATGAATCAGTGTTATAGAATTTCATATATATATTGAGATTGCACAATGATATTGTCTTCGGGATGACAAAAGACACTTAATTCTGTGTCAATGGAGAATCTGAGAGTTATCTCAATGCATATATGTATAGATATGTATAGATTCCTCGCATTATCTGATGTAATTGTATATTGATTGGAAGGCGAAACATACTATTAACCACAAATATTCGTTCGTCTTTGTAACGCAGCACTTTAATTAAATCATTTGACTATTGTAATGAATGTCAGAAGTCCTCGATTTGCCCTCATTTTTGAATATAAACCTCAATTTTTTTATTAGATTCCTTGGTTAATCCTGACAGTAAATTTCCCATGATTAATATTCACGGAAATATGAAATTGCGAGTGTCCAGGAGCGATTCCTCTCCAAATGGTAAATTAATAGCCATGTTCTGCCTGAAATAAAGTGCGATTTATGTAGAATATGCGACCATTTATTGCGATTTAGGTCAGATACTGTACACTCAATCTTGAGGGTCTTGAAATTTTTCACCTGTTCGTGCACATCAATTCTCATGCAACTCCACCGTTTCAGGGATGGTCTCACTGCCCTGCACTGTGCCGCCTCGAGGGGCCACACGGAGTGCATAGACGCTCTGATCAGCCTCTGCGGCGCCCCCACGGATCTCATCGACTCCAACGGCTGCACGGCTCTTCACTACGCCGTGACGCTGGGTCACGCGGACGCCACGGCACTGCTGCTGGATTTGGAGGCCGATCCCAATCGGCAGGACAGGAAGGGACGCACGCCAGCCCACTGTGGCTGCGCCAAGGGACAGTTCGAGACGGTGAAGATGCTGGGAGCTCGCGGTGCCAACTTGTGGCTGAGGAACGCCCGCGGAGATCTGCCAGTGCACGAGGCCGCTCTGTCGGGACGCCGCGAGCTGATCCACTGGCTGCTGGAGCAGCAGCCCAAGCACATCAACACCACCAGCAACGACGGCAGGACGCTACTCCACATCGCCGCCACCAATGATAGCACGGACAACTGCAAAGTGAGCAATAAGTACACTTTTTTCCACCCCACTTCGCCCAGCTAAACGCTCGCGCCCTCCGGTGTGCTCACCCTCAGCTTCCGGGGGGCAGTATTTCATGCTGCGGACAAGCGCTATTTCACAAAGGATATAAAAATTTTTACGATATTCATGTGATTTATTTTTATTACTCTTTAAATTACAATTTTCGCTGTTCAAAGTCAATTTGGTTGAAGGCTCTGAAAGTGAATAAAAGACCATTTGATAGGGAGAAATGAGATGGTGAAAATTATTCTACATTCAATTTAACAGAGAATTCACAACTCATCCGCAACAACGTGTTGTACACTTAAATGTATAAGAAGAGAGAAGGTTCAGATACTCATTTTCATATACGATTCGAGGGTGAAACACATCATGCGATTGAACTATTTGTCTGAATTCACTCCCACCCTACTAAAAGTCTAATTCTTGTGCAATTAAATGAGTTTCATAAATGCATTCACTGTCATGATGTTCGAAACACCCAAAAATGCAATTAATCAATTAACGTTTATATGTGTATTTTGACACGGAGCCGTCAATTCCGTGAATTCCACGCACAATTCAGGGGAGAAAAGTGCTGGTATCATTTCCACCAAACTTTCCAATAATGGTAAACGTCAGTTACATTGAATTAATTAATTGCGTGTAAACAGAAATTTTGGTAGGTAATATTCAAATATTGCCGTTATCATTTTCCGGAGGTAATTTAACGAGTGACTGAAGGGAAACCTCAAATACTTTTTTCTTCCCCCTCAACCCCCTTGAAATTCCAACCCGCGAGAGCAATCTTGTGAATGTAGGTAAATTTCTCAGTGGGTGGTTTGGTGGTAAACCGTGGGAGACAACTGTGAAATGTAAAATTACGTTTGTTGAGCAAAATAGAGTTTCAGGAACAGTCTCGAACAATTTAATTTAATAGTTAAGTTATTGTTGAATCTCTCGTGTACAGTATCAAACTCTACATTGTAAAACTTCAGGTGCATCAATTTAAGTTTATGCATCGTCTGAAATACAAGTTTGTGCATTTCTCTCTTCGCAATGACTTTTTGGCAAAAGGAAACCCCAGGAAGATTCACTGCAAATGCACACACACACACATTTTCACAGTGTGTTTGGTACAAAATAGTGTTCCTTTTCGCCAAAAAGACATTTTCGCATTTGACTAACACTTGAAGACCGCACACTCTAGTTGTGTGTGAAGTAAGTTTAGGTCATTACACCAAGGGGGAGATAATATGGTCGGAAGTGGTGTACAGCTCAGCGGAAGTTATTAAGAAGTGGAAGTGTTCAAAAATTAAGCATTTTCATACGATAAAGATTGCTATTCTGATCCTTTTATGCCAGAAAACTTTGTAAATAGTTTCAAAGTAGAACATAACCTCAAAAATAATCATTTAAACTTGGAAAATGCTTCTTTAGAAAACTTTCTGCGCTATTCTGATTGTTAATCAGCAATTTTGAAATAAATTTGTGATATGGAAAACATTTAAAAGGAGTCTTTCAAGATCTCCTAGTAATATTTTAGGTTTTGGTCGCAGAAATGTCTAAAAAGAGCCGTTTTAAATCGATTCGATTCGAGCTTGGTCTCAAGATTAAGACGCGTGACGCCACGGAATATCGGTCTTACCGACTTGAATTGATGTGGAAACCGTCTAAAAACTTCGAGTTCTAGAAGTGTTCAGGCAAATTTGGAAGTGTTTGGAAGTGGTGTACTTGTTTAAAGCATATTATCTCCACCTTACAAGTGTTAAGTAGGGTTCAACTATTCGTGATAAACACACTTTGAGTCTGGCGACGCTGAATTATGGCATTAATGTCAGAGTTTCAGCGACTGTGGGAAAGTTACGGGAAGCATAATATGAGATTATCAGTGCTAATTGGCATTGGGAATAGCAACACGTCTGACACGTCTTGAAATAAATACATTTCTTTTTTATATATCCAATTCATTATTTTCATTATTATTATTATTGTTATCGTTGGACAGCGCAGAGCCACATTGTGATCCACTGAGTATGTTATCATAAATTAGAAGTTTATGTTGTGTGCAAAAATTGGTATTTTAGACCATGATCTGCAAGTAAATCTTCAATTTCCCCTGGAAATAGCGAATAGGAAATTTATGCACTCATCTCGTCATTTATCGTACTAGTTTTCAGGATGAAATTCTTGAGTAAGTGCTCTTTTTTTCTGCCTTATAGCATTCATTTCCGGAACTATTCAAATAAATTCCACTGCTTCGGAGCAACTCACACAAGATTTATTCCTATGAGTCGGTCAGGGGGAGTAATTCGTGATTTTATGTGGGTTTTCGCTCAGGAAGCCAGAGAGTAAATTGTGGGACAAATTTAAACGTGTGTTTTTTTTTTCTCTCCTGAACATGCTTTGCCTCAAATGTAATTTCATGGAAGGGAAAGAAAGAACTTTCTGCATAAAAACTAGCAAAAAAGAGATAATTTTATTTAGAACTTTCCTCTTTTCCATCTTCACAACGGAAAACTTTGACTCTCCAGCCAATCTCAATGGTATGTTAATTAAGTTGATGTGGGAATAAGGTGTTGTTTATTTTACAATTTTCAGGCTTTCCATTACTCTTTAGGCCAAAGTAGGGTGGGGGCGTGGAGGGTGTTGGGTGGGTGCACTTTGGGGAAATGCTTGGAAATTACATCATTTGCTGCATCTGGAGACTTTTAGCTGAATTCCCAGTGAGCAAAAGCTGTTGAGTGATTCTTCTCTGAGCTGAAATTTATTACAATAATTCACACAGACACTGCAACATCAATCAAAATGAAGAGGAATCTTTTACATATCCAACATAATAGCACGTGTGAGGGAAGAGGCGCAACATTGAAGGAGAAATTTTGCAACTTCACACATTTATTTCATCCTTCGGGAAATCATTGAGCGATTCCAACTTCCCCGCTGAAGAATTCCTTCCGCAACGCGGATGAACTTTGCCTCTTCACCTCCATTTATGGCGTTCGCACTCAAATGACAACCATGACAATTTCATTTGGGTGTGTATTTTTTTTTTCATTTGACTCATATTTCAAGTACTATAAACTTCCCTTACAGTCACCATTCCTAATGAACTTTTTGCTGTGTCGAAACCCTTCGTGTGTATTCTATTAAAAAGACGTCTTTTTATCGACGAGTCGCGCGAGGACGATTCTTCACGCGTAAAAAAGGTGCCCTTTTTTTGAACTGTGACATCAAATTTAGAGAGCTCTATAAACACACTTTATTTATTCTTTGAATATACTTATGTACGCTGATGTATGTATACAGTGAGTGAGAAATTTATTTCATTTAAATCCATTTCAATATCTACTTCTGCCACAAACGCTTCGATGTAAAAAAATACTGAATTAATTGCGATAATCCGAGCCCAACTTTTTTGCTTTCTCCCGGCATTCAAGTGTCCTACAATTGTGTTCATTTGCTGTACGCAGAAAAACTCAAACCCTTCAATTCCAGTGTTTCAAATGGGTCAAGCTCAAAGGATCCGAATTGCAATTACACACATTCATTAATCGCTGTTATCACACTTGATGAAGAAGAGGCTTTAGTAAATCATACTTATGGAAAATTCATAATCCGCTTTGAATGAAAAATTCCACATGCAAATTGACTTTGGTTTTTTCACCCAATAGTGTTGATTCCTTCAATTTCCAATAATAGTTACGTAGAATTTGCTGTTGGCAAACATTTGTAGTCAAGATTCTGCATTAAAGGAAAATTCATTCTTTGATCAAATCGAAATTTGTGGACTAATTGTGAATTTGCACATCTCATGAATGCATTTGGTATTTTCGCACCAAGGAGTTTAGTGGAAATCATTCGAAAATCTCTGTATGCTTAATTCACGAACAATTCGATTCCGCTCTCAAACTCAATTTGCGCTCCAATTTTCTGCAACGTGTTGAAGAAGCGAAGGATGATCCTATTGTTGGTCCATGAATGGTGGCTGCAAATCGGCTGAAAATAGGGTGTGTCATTGCCTCAAATAAAATGGACTGATGCAGTGGGAAAATCGATTTTAAATGTAGTTTTCTTCACATTAAAAAAAAACTCATTTTTAACGTCTTATTGTAAGAATATAACTTCATATCTTTTCCACAAATTGACTTCAAAACTCTTGACTATTATTGCGCTTCCTGTTCACTCTGTTCTGACAAGGTGAGCTCTCTGCATATTGTTTCGATTGTTTCTATTGAAAATTTCAATCATCCAGCATCGTAAACAGTGGAGGGCCTGAATATGCGAATTTGTATTCAACCATCACACGATGGGGTAGCTGGAGGAGTGAGTTTGAAAAGAGAGAATGTGGGTTAATGATTTCCTTCTTCTCAGTCTCGTGTTGCATACATCCATTTTTCCCCTCATCACTTATGTGCTGTTTTGCAGATGCTGTTGGATTTCGGAGCGGATGTTAATAGCATTTATCGCACTTCACGGAATGTCGTCATGACACCATTGGATTGTGCCTTGCAGAAGGGATTCCGCTCCACGGCGAAGTTCTTGCAGCTGCACGGTGGCCTGCCAGCCAGCAAATTGCACTTATCCGGAAGGAAAGTGAATGCGCTGAATGATCAACAGCTCGTGACACCATTGAAATTCACTGACAAGTCACCGGGAGACGTCGCGGCCAGGGAGGGTGCGGACAAGCAGTCGAAGCACTACGTGGTGTACGTGAAGCAGTCGGAGTCCGATGAGTCAGCCCAGGGCGCGTCCAAGGGGGTGAAGAAGAGGCGCGCCAGTCCCGAGTGCACCCACCACAAGAGGCAGCGCTACAAGAGGCGCACCAGCAGCTGCAGCGACACTTTCCGCGTGGCCGAGAAGGACGAGGACATGGGCCGCTCCAAGAGCAATCTCGAGATCAGACGCCGTCGCAAGTCCAGGGAGAAGTCCTATTCCACCTCCGAGGAGAGCGACTCAGACGCCAGCGTCTCGAGTGACGTGAGCTTCAACGAGTACAAGAAGCGACGCTCGCGCAAGCACTGCAAGAAGTACAATGTGTCCATACGGCACAAATCACCGACCAAGCATGACAAGAAGCACAAATCACCGAAGATGCTCAAGAAAACCTCCACCGAACTGGCCGACGAGGATGACGGGCAAAAAGACGAGGAAGGAGTTGTCAAAGAAGCGGAAGCTGCTGAGAAATCTGAATGTGAGTTATGTGCAATTTTTCACCTATATAGCACGGATGTGATAAATATGATTGAACGTATTGCTATTGAATAAGGAGCACAACGCGTGCTGAAAAAGGAAGAAAAAGAATCCATATCGACTTTTATTGATCAATTTTATCCACTAAAGAAGAGAGAAATTAAAGACTCTGTTAATTTTTTGCGGCGATATTAGCTTTGTGAGTCCCCTTCTCGGACAGTTTCATAATTGCATTCCACGTAGAGACGCTTTGAACATTACCAAAGAGCTTATTAACACCCTTTCTTGGTGTGCTTCACAAAGGGGATTTTCTCAAAGTCATTCGTCAATTTGTTTGAATTTAATTTGTCAACTTTTCAGACATGAAATTGAGTGAGCGAGAATTTCTCGACAGTTTCATCCTTCCTTTCGGCGACAATGGCTTTTCGCTGTTCACAGCAAATCCTTTTTTTCCCATTGCATGCGACTTCAGTGAAGTCAGAGACTGATGGTGGAGTGAAGGACAAGGCGGGCAGCCGTCCGGGAACTGCCGCTTCCGATGCGGAGAAGAAGCGTCCTCAATCGGCTCGAGTGACTTCGGCTCAGCGCCGCCAGAAAGCCAAAGAGCAATCTGGTAAGCTCGAGGCCACAGCTGAGGTGCACGAGGAGCCGAGCGAGGAGGAGCGGCGGGTGGGCCAGGAAAAGCCCCATGGCGAGGAGGTGGGGAAGGCGGAAGTGACGGAGAGCGTTGGCGCCAGACAGCAAATAACAACACAGGCGGAGGTTCACATAAAGGACGGTGGCCAGGATGGTGCGTTGCTGGATGTCAAAGAGCGGAACGCGGATGATGAAGATGCTCAGAGTGACATCACTTTCACGCTCGACAGAGCTGACAAGGCGGAGGACGAGCGCCAAATGCCGAGTGACATGGGAGAGATTTGCACGCCGCAAGGCAAGGACGCGCCCACCGAAGAGGTGATTGCGGACACCCCCAAGCCTCCGGATCAGCCGTCGGCTCAGGACGACCTGGCGGCGAGAGGTGAGGAGGCAAAGAGTTTTGCCGTGATTGACGTGACGGCCAGCAAGAGTGACGACAAGGGCGTGCGCGGGAGCTTCACTGTGCTGCAGAAGTCTGACTCGAAGGCCGATCTCGGGCGGCCATCGAGCTTCAAGGTGCTGGATGAGAGTGCCCTGCAGACAGGAGGAGACAGGTATGACTACACCTCGGATGAGGAGCAGAAGCTGCCCGAGCGCGATGACAGTGGCGCGAAGGTGGACAATGGGCGGCGCAAGAAGCTGAAGAAGCGCCTGAAGAACAGCAAGGACTCCACGCTGGACAAGTCAGATGACGAGAGTGCGGCTCGGCGACAGCAGCGGGATCAGGACTCGGGATTTGAGCCGAGTCCTCGTGTGGCGAGGACGAAGATTCCAACGCCACGTGCAGCGCCGCGCAAGGAGACCGCCTTCACCACCCTCGACAGCGGTGGTGGCAAATTGAGGCCGGAAGGGAGGAAGCTGGGGGATCAGAATGCCGTCAACATGACGACAGTTACGGCCAGCATTCAGAAGAACATTCGCAGGTAAATCCCCATTTATGTGTCCCAAATGCCGCATGTTCTGTGCGTAAATCCTTTGATCTGGGCGAAAAGGGTGTTTATCGATTGTTAACCGCTTTCTCTCAGCAACTTTTATTGGAATCATTCAGACACTTAAGACCAGGGCGGAGGGATGAAAATGACGGGCTCAGCACAACCCGGAGAATTTAGTATCACAGTTGAGAAATCTTTTGGGAAGTATCGCGCTATTAAGTTGGTGGAGAAAATGGGCTCAGAAAGTTTGGATAAAATGTAAGGAAAATTTAGAGAAGAATATTGAGAGGAAAATCTCTCAGTGAAAAGAAGACGTTTTTCACATAATTAATGCCCTAGTTTGACTGTGGATGCTTTACATGATGAGAGATGAATGAAGAATTCAAACAAGGGTGGATTCTAGGAATACCTCATTATCTCGGCATATTGTGCTTGTTTGAGCAGGAAAACACAAAGCATAATTGCAACCCACAATGCTGTGAATAATGGAAATCAGCTACTATCTTTTTCAAATTATATTGCACGATAGCAATTATTGATATTGGCGATTATCATTTAATATTTATCACACTGCCAGTTTTAATCTCAATACAATGACAGACACACCATGACTATTGACCGTGATTGTAAATTGATTATGCTTATGTGCAACTGCTCTAATTTTCACGATATAATGAGCATTACATGTAATCAAAACATTGGCAAATTGTTACTCTTTGCATATGCGAATATCTTCTATATACACAAAGTTTGCTCAATTTCGGGGGTGTTTAAAAATGCTTGTTCACGTAGTATGATAGATTGTATAGCAAATAAGGCATCAGAAGCATAATTGTCTGGTAATTTTTCGCAAACACAAATTTGCATTTCATTTGTCAAATTGAAAAATTTGGATGTGAATTTATAATTTAAAGCTATTAAGTGGAGTTCTGGCAAAACAGCTAATCATAATCATGATTGAAAATTGTGAAAATTCATGTTTCAATTTTTTATGAATCTCCTGTTAAGCTACAATTTTCATTTTCTGTTATTTTCCAACACTCATGCCATGAATATTTGCGCTATTTGTTAAAGTGTAAAATGCGTTGCAAAATTGTATCCAGAATGCATGTTTGAGTGAACTGGAAAATTGATTGGGAATATGTGAAAATTTAGCAATTAACCACAACCCACGATGCTAAAGGCCTGAAATTTTCATATGACAGACCTCATCGTTGAATATGTTAATTATGGACTATAAAATTAGTTTAGCCCCAATCGATGACCATCACCTGAGTAACTTTGTAGAGGAATTCCGGGAATAATTGGCATAGAATGACATAAAATACAAAGAATTTCCCGGAAATTTTTCATGCAAGAATATGGGGAAAAATATCACGTTTCGTAGAAAGAATTGCGACTATTTTAATTGCACAAAACTCTAACATAGAGAAATTGTGCAAATTTCACACACAGTGTTACAAAATATGACGAAATTTTTCATTTGTAGAGCTTTTGGAACTCTGATGATGACTCCATAATCCGCTTATGTTTTTGCATTTCACTGGCCGCAATACAATCAGCACTGAAGCTTTTTGCTGTGCACTCACAGTCTTTTCCTGCATATTTTCAATGCAATTAAGTCAATTGAAGAGCCATTCTTGTCTAAAGATACGCTCTTCTATGAAGACGGGGGAAAAAGTGTGCTTTCATGGTGCTGAATTGTGTGTTTTTTTCTCTCTCCTCCAAACTGGGGGTGTTTTCCTGAACGTTTTAACGTCCCCTTGAATTTTTTTTTTTTCTATATCCACAAACTCTCGTGCGCTCTGTCTCACTGTGATAACAAATATCACCCTTTGACGGGGAGGAGTGGGGATGTTGTGAGAGAAAAATCATACAAGATTAAGCTTTCGGCGTGCGTTGCGAGGGTGAATCGGCTGAGGCAAAGGGTGAAAAGTAATGGCAAATGGTGATGTACATCTCATAGCGAAAATATGTGCGCTTACGACCATGCTGCGAATTTTTGAAGGCATTGTTTTTGACTCACTGAATTCGACATTCTATTCAGGGGTTTTTTTTTTATGATAAATGATTGGGAATGAAGTTACTCAAGTGGAAAAGGTAATACTGGATGTTGTAAACAGGAAAAATAATAGTCTTTACGGAATATTTATCGAAATCTGCTTGCTTATGTAAAGAGTTCACTTTTCCAGCAATCATAAGAGGCTCTGGAAGAAGGAAAAACCCGGAAAAAAAGAATTGAAAATAGTCCCTTATAATTCTAGTCAATGACATGAGAAGTAACTCGAAAAGAAAAGTTTCTAACTAAATATGTTATTGAATACATTACATAACCATTTGAGTTTATCCACGAGTGTTTTTTTTCTTCTTCTTCTCGCCAAAACCAGTATAAATTTAGCTCTTTCTTCGAATATAAATATCGTGATTATTGACTCATGAGTCTCTTGATATTCCATCGAGCTTTCTGCACTTTCTCTGCCTTTTATACATTTTCACCCGCTTGGCGATTCGATTCCCCGTGCAAAGCAACAAGAAAAGATATCACTATTCGCCTGGCGTCAAATGTATCCTGTGGAAAAATGAAAGTTATGATAGGATCGTGGTGTACCCTTTTCACCTTGCAACAACACATCGAAGCACGGCATCAAAAGGAATCAATAAATTTAAATATTTATTCTGTATTTTCTCAGGTACTACATGGAAAGGAAGATATTTCAGCACTTGCTTGAGCTCAAGAGTCTGCAAATAAGATCGAGTAAAGTAAATGAAGCGATTCTTGTTAAACGTGCTGTTGATGATTATCATAAATCTGTTGATGCTTTGGGATATGAGACAGGAGCAACGCTAAAACGCTACCCTCACAAGGAGTACACTTTCAAGAACTTTGAAGTCTTTCTCTACGAAACACTCAAAAGTATACAGAAAACTGGAACGTACAACTTTCAGAATATCTCCGAAGTTTACAGAGAAGTTGGTGTTTTTTCTGTCTATTTTCCACTTTACTCACCTCTCTGGTATTAGGCATTTGCACTAATGTCTCTATTTTAATTCTTTTGCGGTTCCACAAACTCTTCTCTGCACTTCTTTTTATTGCACTTTTCCGTCTCTTCTCTAATCATACATCTCTTGTTGGTAATCTTCAACTCGTGTACGGCAAAAGGCGGAAAGGAGACTCAGTCCTGACTACAATCAGTATGAAAAAGCTCTTCAGTGTACTACGAAAACCCATCGATGTCTCCATGCAGCTCATGCTTACACGGGAATTCCTTGTGCGGCTTACAGTAAGTGAAAAATTGATGGAACAAATTCAACACATGGTGGCTCATTACAGATGTTCCAATAGTAAATTCAGTGTCTTGTGAGTTTTATTAAGAGGAAAACTTGCAGTTTGTGTGACAATTGCAAGTATTCCAGCCGATTTATGCGAAATTTCCTGGATGGTTGCAAAAAATCACTGGAACTGAGCCACCTTCGAGATGCAGAAAATTCAATTTTTCACCGCTTTTCTCTCTCTCTCTCTCTCTCTCTGCTCGCCATGTTGCAGTTCCCATGATGAATCATCACACAATGCCAAAGCTCGGATTTGGTGCATACAAGCAGACTGGCGTTGGGAGCTTCTACTTGCCGAAGATCCTGACAGCGGGCTTGCCGAAGTGCGGCAGTAAAGTGTCGCTGGAGTTATCACATGGTGGCAATAAGCAATTAATACCACTGCCATCCGATAAATTAGACAGCAATAAGCGCTACTATGTGACTTTTACGGTGAAGGGAAGCGATGGAGTCAACCAGCAAAGTGCTGACACGGAGCACAATACCGATAAAATTTAATGAGTGCGCCATTAGTATATGCCCCCAAAGTTATATCTAGAATCTCCATACATAAATACATATATATATATATGACTATATTTTTCTTCCTGAACCAGAGAAAAAGAAGAGAGAGAGCGACAGAGAGAGCGCAGCGAAAGAAAATATTTTTCTCCCTCCTCACATGTGAGTTATTTTAGATGACAATGAACAACTAAATGTAATTTTGAGTGTCTGTAAATGTTGTGCAAATGATCAAACTTCCACAACAGAGAACATTATATGAAGTATATATTTTAGAAAATAAAAATTATTGAAGAAAATTCACAATTTCCAAGTTTTCTCTCTCTCTTTTCTCTTCATCCCAAGAACACCACCCACCAATCGATTTGCGGAGAAAATCTTCATGCAATCTTCTTTGGTATGAAATACTATTCAAACAGTTTAAACTCCTTTTTGAAAATTTTAAAGTATATCTTTACAATGTAGTCGTCATGTGATACTATAAAAATGAAACGAAAGTTCCATTTCTCTGTGGAAAATTACATTTTTATCCCAAAGAAGAATCACAGGAAAATTCTCAGTAAACATTTGAATATTCTATGAAATTGTTTGGTACTTCTTGTCAATGTGAATTTTGTGCCAAAAATATTTCGAGAGACAACAATTTGTTCTTTAATACACTCTTCATTGCTTTGGTGCATTATTGAAGGAGAATTAAATTAAATTAGCTGGAAATTCATGTTGAAAAATTTCCGCAAAAGCTTCTGAGAAATTTTCTTGAAACAAAAATTGTTAAGAAATTGTATTTTCCTATATCTCAAGTAGAAAGAAAACAGGAAACATGATATAAAGATGCGAAAACACTATGTTTACTAATTTCGTACAAACTGAGATAAACAGTCATAAGTTTTTCATATGTTGCTTGAAATTCTGACAAAGTCTTCTTCTCCAACATCAGAAACATTCACTCATGCTTCCATCGACTTCACAGGAAGCAAGACAGTAGCGAAGAAAGGAGAATTCATAGCGAAATACATCAAGTATTTGTCACCGTGTTGTTTTCTTCTCGAGACATTCAATCTCGAGTGTGAAATTACTGGAAAGAATGAAGAGATTTTCGAAGCAAATGGATTTTCCTGTTTACACCGTGCCTCTTAATTTTCCTTGTCCTTCATTACTGCGTCAATATTCTGGGATTCCTCTTGATTAAATTCTGCACTAATTCCTCACCTGGCTCTTCTCGTCTCCTCTTAGAAAATCAGTCTGCACGGCAAATCTCTGCAATCCATTCCATGAAGTCGCACAAGTTCGAGCATTGGGAACCAGAGCGAATCTCGTTTCGAAATCACAATTTTAATTACATTTTTTTGCCACACTTGGACTTGGAGTTGTCTTAAAAGATTACCCAACGTTGCGGTGAAGCTGAATTCCGAATGTACTTTGCCAATGTGTGCTTGAAATTTCACATGAAACCACAATAGTTAGTGCAGAGATTATTATGGAAGATTTATCAGGTAATAATTTCTCACAAGGGTTAATATGATTTACACTTATTATTAGAAAAGACTCAAAGGTCAATTGTTGAATATTTCAGTGTCTTTTGACAACGGAATCTTTATAAGGATTTCTTCAATTTCACCGAAACTGGGTTGTGAAAATCATCGAGTGAAAAGTCGAGTAAAGAGGAAAACAGTCTTGTGAAGTTGCTTATTGCATTTTGTTTACAATTTTCTATTTCTTCGCCACTTTAGCGTCGCTTTGACACTCTCTTATTCGTCACGATGGAGCATTTTGGAGCTCAGAGATGCGAAAAGGAGAGCGATAAAACACATTGAGAGAGAGATCCATTAGGGGCGCCCAAAAAAAGAATTTCCTTGACAATTTTACATGTGCCACGTAGGAAATAAAATGGGGAATCTCCATGTGAGAGAATGCTACGTAAATTGAAATTTTAGATTGGAATGCAAGAAGAAGTGACACAGAAACGTGAAAATCGTGGCTTTGATGGGTGAATGTTTCGCCATTTCGCGAAGTGGAAGAAGGTTTATTCACATGGAACGGAAATTGTGTGGAAGGAAGCCAGCGCAAGGAGATAGAATAAGTGAAGAGTTTTATTTAAAAAATATCCATTCGTCAGCTTTTATTGCCATTTCCCATTCATATTCATATAAGATGATTTATTTTTCTTCACACCACTTAACATATGTTTTCCATCATTGTTGAATTATCTCCAATCTTCATATATATATATATTTTTCCTCCTTCAAATCTAACAATATTATAACTAACACTTTTGACGACGTAAGTCTATAAATTTTCATCATTCTCCACTCAACCACCTCTAATGGCCACTAATATTCCTGAATTCAAAATCGCTGTGTTGGAGTATTAAATCAGGATCTGTAATATATACTGCAATGAAAGGAGAAAATAAACAGGATGGAAATCATTTAGGGCCGCATATTCTGCAATTTATCCAATATTCTCAACAAATTCGCATTATCATTGAATGCGAATCTTGTGCTAGAGTGTTATGAAAGGGGGAAGGATTTACACTTGAGCGAGATCATCGAGGGGCGTGTACCTCTCTTACATCATATCAAGTTTCACAATCACGATATAGCAATGAAACTTTAGCGAAAGGAGTTTGAAACAAAAATTTGGGAAAAAAATAAATATATTTCTCTCGAAACTTTAAGCATACAAGAAAACTTTCAGTAATTAGTCCCTTTTGCAAAACAACTTGCAATCCAAGGGGAAAGTCACTAGTCGATTTTTGAGGAATCTTAATTATTTTAAATGTTTAAATATTGATTTTTACTTTCAAATTATAAAAAATTTCAATAAAAAAAAGATTATTTTTTAAATTATTGAGGTAATTCTCAGTCACACAAGGAATGTAAAAAATGTGTTAAATGGGTCTAACACATGTCTTTGTTATTCTGAGTCACACATTTAAGGCTCAAAATGGCGATTGTGTAAAAATATTCCGCGCTTGTGTTACAAATTTTAAAACTTGTGTTATTTGCTATTTTGGTCCACATGTGTTAAACCATCTTCAGAGTAACAGATCGTAATCTGCAAATATCTTGCAAAAATGGATCAATCTGCTATTGTGATTTTCATTTTCAAGCATAAACATGAAAAATATTTGCAGTAAATTCTTTTTACCGTAGATTTATTAAATATTTACATGAATTTTAATAATTTAGGCAAATTTCACAATTTTTCCTGTCTTACACATTGTGGTATCACCTAAAACTCTAGATGGGCTGTTTTTCTGTGTGACTGAGAATTGCTCGATATATATAAATATTTTCAGAATATTTAATAAAAATTAGGAGGAGAAAATAATGAAATATATTAATTTGGATAAAATATTCAAAAATTAGTCAAAAATTTAATTATTTCTTGTCATAATCACAAAGTGAATGGCCTGAAATCGCGAGTGACTCTCCCCTTGCTGTTATGCGATTTATTCTAGCCTTCAGAGCTACACACCCCCTGACTATGTATTGAATTTCTCACCATTATTGAGACTCGGCTGTGAATATTGTACGAATCCTTCACTTATATAACGACTACTCCGACTAATTGATGCATGATGTGGTCGAATCGTGGTGGATCCGGCCACTTCCTCCTCGAGAGTCTCCTCGCCAGAGTACATCGATGGCACGTCGGTTCTTGCGGGCCTTTTTGCGATAAGCACGAGAGAGAGAGAAATAAATGAATTAATTAGTGCGGGATTAACGAGACGCGCTCCATCGCAATCACACCTTTGCCGCGTGTATTTAATTAATCACATGCACAAACAAGAAATTTTCACGGTGTGTTAATGAAATTTTGCAAATTTTAATGGTCTTGGCAAAATTTCTGAGCAACTTTTGTTGTTTTCCACTCTCTCTCTCTCTCTCTCACTGTGTAAAATATTGAAGTCTTCTCCCAGGGAGTCTCTTAATTAAATGTGCTTTCGAGGGACTTGTTTTGGCTCTTAAGTTTGCTTGTGTTTGGCACGAAAGTGCTGAGAAATGGTGGATTTTTATGCACTTTTCTTTTGGGCAAATTAAACTATGAAATTGCACTAAAGAAATAAAGAGCGAGTTAATCTAATTATCGTTGTGTGCTTTTCAAAGATTCGACACTCTGAGGCGGATCTTTGAGACATTCGTGCTAAAAGTTTTTGTTTTGCCCCTCTCTAAGACTATCATTTTACCACCCGTCATTGTTGATCCTACTTATTAATTTAGTGATTTATCAGTGTTTTAGATAAAGAGCTTGTCAACAAGGTGAACTTTTATCTCAACAGCATAAATCACAGTGCAAAGTGTGTGAATTATTGACAAACTTTGCAGAACACACACACACACGATGAGAATTTTCCTTGGAATTTTCCCTTCTTCGTTTCGCACCAAAATGTCGAGAAGAACCACAAAACACTCTTTGGATACTTTTTGGCTAAAGAGAATTCTATCGCCGAGAGAGAGAGAGAAACAATCGACGAATGGATGAGGCGGTGATAAAAACATTTTCCTTTCACATGTATTTTACAATTTTCACTGGAAAAAAAAATCTAGTCTGGGCGAGAGATTTGCCGGAGCGCTGGGAAAAATTTATGAAGATGCAATCTCTGGGTTGTACTGCGAAATTCATGAAGAAACTCTGAGGCTGGTCCACACGATTTAGTACGCTTTATCGATAAATCTATGCGGGTCAAGCATAGAGGCAAATCTCCAAATTGTAGCATTTGCTAAAAAGTATAAATCTATGCTGAAAGCAAGAGACTTTTAATCACTGAAATTGCGACAGATTCACTCGTTTGTATGCTTCGCCCGCAGTGGTTTAATATACATATTTGCATAGCAAAAACGTTAGAAGCTCACATTGAATTAAGAATTCGTCAAATATTGAATAATATATAGTTTTTCTTGGCACAGCTCCAGAAGGTTTTAGTGACAAAATAGTGACGATTGAAGTGAGATTTTAACACAATAAAATAATTGTTGCTGAAGTTTTGAATACACATATCAGAACAATGATTTCACAACATATTTGTGCTGTTTGTGCTTATTTGATTCAAGAAGGAAAATACAATAAGACCCCACGATGATCCTCCCCAAGGACTTTATGAAAGACGATTTATTACGAAAATTGTTGATTCCTAGCATTCATATATACGCTGTGGAAATTCTCTCGACTGTTTTCAATTTTACCCCTGGATTTGTTTGTGACTTACATGCTGTGCTACATGAAATATTATACGTTCATAGGGAATATGTGAGTAGGACTGATACCAAATAAACTATCTAATATGATGCCGTAATATGTATGTATATGTACATATGTTTGCTCTGCAAACTCACAGCTTTACAGGTTGGATGTGCTTTGATGACTCTCTCATACTTTGACTACAAAAACAGGAGTTTCTGAATTCAAAATTGCATCAAAATGCTCTTCTTTCTCAAATGTTTAACAACTTCTTTCGCTGCTCTGACGGCTGATACTTTAACATTGCAAGCATATAACAGCAGAAAAAGAAGGGACAGAGAAACATCAAACTCTTCACCTTACGCACAAACACAGTTAACCATTTTGACCTTTACAAGCCATACATATTCTAAATTCTTTTCACACAAAACGGCCCGGAAAAATCCTTGTGAACCTCATTCTAAATGTTATACGCCTTCACGGAAAATTTCCGGCAAATATTGAAGATGCACGGGAAAAAATTCGTTGCCGACGAGCGAAATAAAATTTCAGCACGCCGAGGGAGGAAAAAGTAAAGAGGCGAATATGTTAAGCGAATTAGATGTGTGAGGCGCGCGCGGGAAGGCAGAGTGGAAAAAAAAGCTCACGCGCCCCACCGTGGGGTGGGAATGCGGAGGGTGGAAAGTGAGAAAAGTTGCAGAGTGAAAAGTGGCAAAGTTTGGCGGCTTTTAAAGTGCCCATTTTGATTTGGCAGATGAGTCAGCTTTAATTGGCATTAATGGCAAATTGAATGTAATGGATTCTCTCACCTCATTCTCTTCCTCACATCCTGAGGCTCCGGCGGCTTGGGCCTCATGTGATGATATGTAATCGCAATGGCGGCAATGATAATTGATGTTACAATAATAACTCCCGAAGCAACAATAGCCACCAGGATAATCACTGTCGATTCTCTCTTTTCATTGTTGTCCGTGGCGGGAGGTGAAGATAAATCGTCCGACACGACTGTTTCATCTGCAATGTTGTTGTGCGGTTGATGCCAACAAAAACATACCGACTCAATTGAAAAGTGATTCACCACCGCCGCCGCCGCCGCCCCCGATGGGGCCCACTATCAATCAGACTAGCGGCCTGGGGTGCAGGCGGGGGGCAAAAAAAGGGGGATAATTTGCAGCATCAGGTGACTTACCATAGAGGACATTTAAATTGCTAATTCGCACTTTGTCGAGCACAACTGGCGGAAAACTTCGTCCTTTGGCATTAACAGCATACACAAGCAATTGATATTCTCGGCCATGCTCCAAATTATCCAATTTGAACAATGGCTTATCCTCCTTGAGCCGCAACAATGGTGCCGATGTCGCCTGCAAGTGACAAGGAGTCAGTGTTTCACTTTCAATTTCATTCCACCAACTCTCTCTATGTATAGTTTCCCACATGCCCAGAACGGAACATTTGCTGGCAAAGTTTTATGAAACTTTTTTCCCCTCCGCCACAATCGCCCATCCCGGGGATGCTTTATTACACATCTCACTCTGTCCAACCCGAAGACAATCCATTAGGAGGCACTTTTTATATCACACACACGCTCTGCACATGTATTCAAATGAAAGGACAATTTGCGGAGTTAGAAAAACTCAGCTGTGTGATTGAAATATGGGCGCAAGCTCACAAAGAGACCACTTTTTTTGTCACTCAGCTTCTCCGAACATTGTTTAGATTCAAATTATCGTGTGCGCTAAAAATGTCTGAATTTAAAACACAGGCGATTGCATTATCTTCAGCTCGCTATTCTCTAAAATTCCAAGGCAAGAAATGAAATTCAGGGAATTGCAAGGGGGAAATAATACGTGCCTTAAATCTGAAAGCATTTCCTGACACTTCTGAACGTCTTTAAAGACATTCTCTATCGGTTTTCAGACTCTTTCAACTGGTTTTTACGTGCATTTCTAACTTATCACAATCTAAACCGGATTTTTCAGTCTCAAAAAGTTTAAGCTTTCCAGTTTTGTCTTCGGAAAATGCCTAGAAAAATTCTAATCAAATTTTGAGGTTATAAATCTGGCCTTAAAATCGTCACGATGTTTCTACTGGATAATAAAGTACGAACCGCGGAAATAACTAAGAAAAGAGGCATTTATTTAGGTTAAAATAAAATTTTTGAGGTTATGTGTGACTTCAATGCTGTTTTTCACTTATAAATGCTCATCTCGACGAAGAATAGGGGAAATATTCCCAGTTCAAACATAAATTTAATGATTTTGAAGGTTATTCAACCGACAGAATCGATTTTTAACGTTTTCAATCAATCACATAACCTAGAAAAACAATAAAATTGATTTTTCCAAAGAAAATTATCAAGAAAATGCCTCAATTTATTGAAACCGAAGCTTTTGCAATGCAAATATTCCAAATATTTTACCCTTCCTCAATTCCTAACATTCCGATCATAATATCTCCCCCTTGGGAAATTAATAAATTGTTTTTTATTGTTAATTTCCACATTCAGCCTTGTTTTCTGACCATTTTTTAGAGTTTAGCCAAAGGAATTGGTTTGCAAGTGAGAAAGTGCGACATTTATTGTCAAAATCTTGGCTTCCCCTCGAGACAAACTGTTGCTAACTGAGACTGTTCATTCGCATGGCTGTGTATGTTATTAAACCTCTATTTTGTGGCTTATTCGACCAATATTCCTTCTGTATACAAAAGTGCCTGAGAGGGTTGAATATCATGCCTATAAAAAGATGTTCATTAACACGTAATTCTCCATGTCAAGATTACCCGTTGGGAACATTAGGAGACAAAACAGAAAGCTTATCCATTAAACCAGTTAGTCTGCCATAAGAAACACTATTTGACCTATCAACCGGTCAATTTTGGCTGCTTAACAGGCCGAAAGCACTGCGGGCTTTCGAGGGTTATTATGGATAAACTTTCAGAATCACTTTATAAATAGCGCCATTTTCACAAAGTACATGCAAAGTCCTGCATTTTATGGATATGTATAGGATGGTTTTGAGCATAAGTTCCGTTCCCTGGAATATTCCCATTGAGAGTGTATTTAGGTCACGCCATCAATACCGCCTAATCTCATGGGGGGACGAAATTTGCATTCTTCTGTGCCAAATCGGACATCGAAAGTCTGGGTCTTGGGCGGTGAGTGGGTGAGGAGGAAGAAGAAGAAAAAAAGTCCACGCGGAAGGCCCAAAATGGGTGGCGGGAAAATAAATGTCGGCGGGGATGCTGAGGGGCATTGACAAAGTACATTGACATTTGTCCGTTCGTGCGACCAAAAACAGAGTTGTGTGGCACCTGAGCATTAATCTATGGGCGGGTTTCGGTGGGGTCGTCTTATGGAATTTGCCAAACCTGATCATTCATTGTGGATATCTCGTTCTCTGCATCTGGCGGCAGTGAGAAGGCTCGTCCATAAATATCCTCGCCATTTATCACCTCAAGCAGGAAATGCTGTTCCAGGCCACCATCATTTCCCGCAATACAAACAACCTCCAAATGTGTATTATTGTACAATTCACAGAGACGTGGTGGATCTGGTGTTCCTGTTGAAACATGAGAAATTCATCGTTCACTGAAATTCAATGGAAGCCACACTCAGCGCCAGACATCAAGACTTTGCAGTGCTTTCACGAGTCGCCCACACGTTTCATACCCATTCAACTGACATGTGAAATATTTCCGCAAGACGACGGGGTTGGAGGGGTGGTGTGGGGGATGAGGGAGGAGGTGGCGGGCAAAAAAGCGGGAAGCTAAGACTGGAGAATCTATTAGAATTCATGTTCGTTTGAGTATTTTTGCTCTTTATGCCATATATCCCGCACTCAAGTAGCTCCTCAAATTCCCCGCATCTGTGAGCACGCTTTCTGCATTTGAGGCACTTTCCTGGGGCATGGATATGGAAGCCTCTTGAAAACATTGGACATAATGCTAAAATTATATCCCCACTTATTATCGCATTAAATATGTATTGGATATCGAAAATACTTGTACGGCCGCCCCGATGGAATCCTTTTACATGCGGCAAAGAAATTTCATACCAAACCCTTCGACCCCAGTGTCGCCTAATCTTGTTAGAGATAATCACATAAGGCAACTCCCACCACTTTCAGCCAAACATCATCTCGGGAGTTTGTCTTTCTTTCCCTTCTGGACGACCAAATCTCTCTCTCACTGAGCCCAGTGTTGAGATACCCAACAACGCCTAATGCGTGGAGATATTTTATCTGGCATCTCAATATTACTCGGGAATTTATGAAGAATCTCAGCACTGAGAGGGAGATTTTAGTTAAATTGACAAGGTTCTGTGTTGAGACGCTTTCGCAGGAAAAATGTCTCAACATCCACTCGTGTGGATTCCACAAAGCCACTCTCTCTGTCCGTGCATATATAGACAGATAAGACAATAGAGAGAGACAAGAGCAAGAAAGGATTGAATGGCTTTACATTACTTCGACTGTAGGAGAAAATGAGCAAAATTATTCGTAATGAGTTATTGAGAAAGTTTACTCATCAAAATTGTATCATCAACACTTGGGGGGCTTATAAAAATGCCCTTTATTCGCAAACTTTACAATTTATTGCCTATAAAGAATGGAATTTAAATCGTGCTATGCAACAAAAAAGACCGAGTGTCATTAAATTTTCTTACACAATCGTCTTCTGTCGCTGCCGCGTGTCGACAGTTTAGGGGTGGAAAGAGACACAAAACAGCCCCGAGACTCAATTCCAAAAGCTCTCATGCTCAAGCATGACTGTGAGAGATTCCTTTGATTCCCTCCACAGCCGCACAAGCTCCTAAATATGATAGTTAGAGGGAAAACTTTCCGTGAAAACTTTTCCACTGAACATTATGGCGGCTGTGTTGCTAACAGCGTTCTTCGCAACTTCTTTTCCACACCACTAAAGTAACTGATGGAATAGTGTCAATTTCAAACTTGATTGATGTTTTCACACTAAAACTCTCTTGTCAGTAAGTTTTCAGTAAAATTGGCGAAGATATCAAATGCCAAGTTAATAGAAGTAGAATTTTATGAATAAAAAATAAAATCACGGATATTAAAATAACAAGTGAGTTGGTTAAAAACATATTATTGACGATAATAAAAAGGAAGCATAATTATCGTCATTTTATTCATTTATAATGAAATGTAATAAGTTGAAAATGGTAAAAATATGTATCAAAAACAGATTATATTTTATGACAGTTTTCAATCATTTATTTTTTTCTCTCTCATTCGAATTCTGATTAATTTTATATGAGTGAAAATTAACTTGGCGATGCAATTACAGATTCCGATTCGATTTAAAATGCATTTCGGGGAAAAAGGCTGAAATTGCGATGTTGCCCCCGCTTTTTTATACCCCCAAAATTGGAATGGAAATCACATTTTTCACGCGGTATCGGAGGTGAAAAGAGATATAAATTAATTTTCAGGCCAGCGATATTGATATACAGAAGTTCAATATAGCACAATTCAATTAATGTTGCCGCTGAAAATGAGCACCTCCTGGCACTTTGGGCTCAAAGTTTAATCACACAAGGCACACAAATCATGGAATTAACACGTACTTGTGTGTGAATTAGGTTTTAGCAAGTCGTAAAGTATTAATGTATTAAAGTACAGAAACCGCGCGCCTTCCACTTTGTATTTAATTTTCTTGCCACTAAAGATCCTCCTCTCAGACATCATAATTGCTTTTACTTTGATCAACTTGCTCACAATTTTCTGCCTCCCCATGAAAATTCGCCTCAAACTTTTGCTTGTGTCTCTCCCTTGTGAAATTATACATAAATGCCGAAGTAATTACACCACGTAGTGTAATGGTGGAAAAGGGAAGGGGGAAAAGTGGTCAGCGACGATTGCTCAATGTGGCCTCAAAATGACGCACTTCATAGGAAATTTGCAGATATGCAACATTTATCAATTGCCATTTGAGCCACATCCACAAATTATATAAATGACGGTTTCAACTTTTTCCACTGCCTGTCTATCTCCACCCCAGAATAGACATTTCAATTAACATTTTATTATTTTGAGTAATTGACTTTTTCGCCATGGCTGACACATCGCATATTTTTCATGTCTCGCTGTGGAAGAAGTTATGGAAATTAGCGTCTGGCGTCGAATATTCAAAAATCGTGACGGAAAATTTTCATATATAGACATTCAAAAAGGAGAGTCAACAAGACGAGGACTTTAAATTAAAGCAAATAATGTATGCAAAACATTAAAGTTTCATTGGAATTTTGTATCAACTTGATACGACTTTGTGACATATTTACGTACGACATAATTTAAAATTTTAATCTGAAAGTTATAAATTAGAAATAAATTTTGGCTTCCCCATTGATGAATTATAAATTGTTTCTCTGCAATATTGGCAGATCAAAGTGGATGAATACAATATTTAATAACTGATAAGAGTAGCAATTTTAATGACTTGATATTCATTGATTAAATATTCAATTTATAACTATTAAAATATTGTCAATCATAATTACATTTAATTCCCATTGAAACTTTGCCAGTGAAATGAGAATGTTTTATTGAATTTGTATGTCTTTTATCGTCGCATTGCAATCAGTAAATTTAAATCGCACTTTTCAATCAACCTTTGTGTCACACAGAAGTCTGCTATTCGCATTAGTTTTGTATGGAATGGAAAATAATTCCCTTTTGCCAAGGAACACTGCAGGGTGTGTTGGAGTGAAAATTGTAATTTGGAAAGTTTCCTATTAATGAGAACTGTTTGCATGCCTTTCAAAAGGAAGTCAAGGTATTTATTGGTACTTTATATGACGCCAAGTATTACGCGGAAAATGCAAATAAGGGGATGAAAGACACACGCCAGCGTGAGCTCTCGCAGAAGCATTCAAAGTTGAGAAGCCTGGCGGGCGCAGAAAGAGGATATATGGCATTGTGTGGAGGACTTACTTGCTGGAAAAATGTGTATGAGGCAAGGAATTGTCTGCCTGCCAACGGAATTGCTCGCCCAGCACGCCAGTGTAATAAATTCCGAGTCTGATTGTGGCATATAAGTCATAGAACTGACTAATCCATGTGAATTTATCCGGGAGTTGAGAACCTACGAGAGAGACAAATAAATTCCAAGCAAAAAGCAATAGATGTTAATTGGTGGCACTCTCGCCCGCCCAAGCAATATTGGGTGCTTGTTGACGGAAAACATACTGGAGAGACATTTCTGGTATTGTTGTACGTCCAGCTGAACCGCACAGAATCCGCCGGATCAGCATCGACTTCGCATTTCACAGAAATTGTGTGCAGATTGAGTGCTCCCAAGGAGATCTGCTCAGTGCCTGGCCTGCATCTTGGTGAATCTGACAAAGGAGAATTCAATTTGACTGGCTACACTTCATCAAACACACGGTAAGCATATAAATTTTCCGTATTTCGACAACATTCACGATGAAATAGCTCGAAATATTGAGGATTGTGGACTCAATTCGACATATTTCTCACGCTAAACTGTTCAGACATTTCCGCCTGGCGCTGTGCCAATGGAAAGTACTTGCCACAAACTGTGCCCATAAGAAATTTGCATTGCAAGAAATTCAAATTCCACAAGCAACCACTCGGATATGCATGTTAGTGAAAATGGTAAAAACATAGTTTGCCTTTCGTCAAGCTCTTCGTCTCTAAATTTAATTTAATATTATAACGAAATTGAGAGGAAACTTTTATGAAATGCATGAGAGCAAGATGCTGGAAACTCACAAAAATTGCTAGAACAATGACAAACTATTGTGAATTACAGTCCTTGAATGTTAAATACTATGAGAGACTTGACAAGTTGGTAGAAAAAGAAAGACAATGAATTTTGTACGCAAATAATACATCATTTTATTCTACTTGTCAGCACCCCAAAAGAGTTCAGCTAAGAGGAAAATGACTAGTCGATTTTTGAGGGATGGAAAAAAATCAAAAAATCCTGAATATTTAATTATTTGTCATTTTCTTATGCTGTTATTTTAGGGGTTTAAACGTCTTAAAATAACCTCTAAATTACTATAATTCCCAGCCAAACTTGTCTTTGGGAAATACAATCGGAATTTCTACGTATCTCAAGAGTTTAAACTGACGCCCTCTGGCGGCAATATGTGGAGAATATAATCAAATACTGAATTAAATTCAAATTTTAATTAAATGGACGGAAAATAGTGAAAAAATCCAAAGAATAATCAAATATTGAAATATTTTCTGGAATAATTAAAAAAAAATTATGGAAATTTGTTAATGATCTGAAATTGGTAGTGATTTTCCCCTCAAGTTCAGCTCTGAACTGTTCCACGGCGTCAATTGAATGGACCACAAAGAGATGTGTTTTTTCCCCTCATTGTTGCCCTGCCCAAACTTACATTGCACTTGGAGGACGAGAGGGGTGCTCTGAGTCTCACCCTCGGTATTGAGTGCTGAACAACTGTACGATCCCTCGCTCTCTCTCTCCAGCGCGGTGAGGTGCAGCGTCTCGGAGTTCTCCCCTGTCATTCTCATGCCCTGACCGAATAAATGGGCATTTTTCATGTTAAACTTCCCAACATGGACACCTAATTTATTACTCACATTCTTGTACCATCCAAATGATGTGACTGATGGTCTAGCATTTGCTCGGCACTTCAGTGTTACATTCTGTCCCTCTGATCTTATCACCAGACGACTCGGATCCTCGTTGGCCAAGTGGATGGAGACAACGGGAGGATCTGCAGGGGAGAGACACCATAGAGTTTGAGGAATAAATTTCGATAATTTCCCGCGATAAAATTTTCGCATAGTTTTTCCTCATGGCCTCGAGGCTTCCGCCTCGCTTTATTGTCACTGCTGTCTTCCAATATCTGGCACATGCAGTGTCTGCCATCCCCGAATATGGAGCATTAAAGTGGAAACATAAATTGTGCTGAAATTCCTGGAGAGAGGAGAAGGATTATGCCACAAGCTTCTCACTGTGTCAAGGATACTAGACTTTATACACACAAAAATGGAAATAAGCTCAACATAACATGGGATTCAACTTTTATTGCAGCTCGTCACTTATTGCCGCATACAAATACACTGTGTGTCCAAAATATGATACATTCTATGCACTTATTGTGATGCCAATTGTAATTACTGCACAAAATTGAGTGCAAATGATACTTTTAATTGCGAGAAATTGCACAGAAAATGAAATTTGAATACTCGCAAATTGGAAGAAACCACACAATTATGCTCTATCAACAAGTCCTGAACACACCGTGATCCATCCTTCTCTGACAGCATGTCAATAGATTAAAGAGTGTTGCTATCCGCGGCGTATCGCGCAGTATAAAATTCCAATAAAGTTATTTTTGATGGAGTTGAACTAAAAGCAACACTAATTTTCATGCGAAGCCATCGCTGAATGAATTTTGACAGAGAGCTTTTTCCCATTTTCTCCCCGAGAGCTTTTCTGTAATAGTGTTGAGAGGAGGAAGAAAAAAAATATGAATAATATTTCACTAGAACCCATTTTCATCCTTCGCAACCAACTTTTATGAGGGAGTTGGCTTAAGTGATGAGCAGAAGGATAGACTGACTTTCTCTACTTGGTTTTTTGGCAGTTTTTTCTCCATTTTTTTCGCTCCTATGAATAAAATTATCCATGTCAAAGCTGTGGGAAATGTGTGTGTGTGTGTTTTCTAAGCATGAAATCAATACTCAAAGAGGTAATGGATGGATTAACAAATACTCCTGTAGTCAGAAAATCAATCATCAAAGAAAAATATGGAACTTCTTTGGGAGTCAAATTCCAAACATATCGATTTTATGGCTTAGACTGCGATGCAGAGATTTTCTTCGTCACAGAAAAGTCAACTCGTAGGCATCAAAATCACGCTGAAAATAGCCTTTCTTCTGTGATTTATGTTGAAGAGTGACTTTCCTGCTTTTGTGGAACATTTTATTTTGGCTTTTCCACTTTTCTCAAATAAAATAAATCAAATTGTGCAGTGTTGGAGTGCATAAAAATACATCGCATCAGCTCTAGAGCATGAGGACCAACGAAATTCTCCAGAGGAATTGCATTCCACTTCGTGGATATTGATTTCACACAAGGAGGAAGCAAGAAAAACTATACATTTTCTCAAAATAGCGACACTTCAGCTGACTCTAAACTTCTCCAAGCCACTGTGAATTGTGATGGAAAAAAAAGTTCAGCGCCGTGCATTGTTTGAGAAAATCCGGTGGTAAAAAGTGTCGCTTTAAAATTGAAAGAAATCCCAAAGAGGATTGTCTTGCGGGAAAGATGGGCAAGATTGAGTGTACAAAAACTGGAGTGGGTGGTGATCTCCCGCACCCCATTTCGCGGTGGTTCTTTTTTGTTTATGACGGATAAAGTGTTAATTCTCTCCATCTCTCTCTCTCTGTGTGTGTGGAAATGGTGGTAGTTCTTTCCCTGGCGAGCAACAATGTCGCGTGCTAAATCCATCTTCCTCGCCATTAACTGGGAAGCTTTTCAAATATTCATTTGATGTGAAAATGTGGCCATGAGTTGTGCCTAAAAGCGCCCAAACATAATTCCACATCTTACTCAAGTGCTTTATTGAGGCGAAATATTTTGCATAAACTCCCACCGCCTTTGCAACATACTGTCCAGCCACATTCCCCCATTGTTCCCCATGCAATAATTCCATATGAACTGGACAAGCCAATCGCTTGGCCCCATTGTTGAGTCCACAGCGAAGATACAGTCTCAAGATTTATCTTATTAGCCTGGGCAACAGTACAGTTTAAAGCCATAGTAAATGGATTTGCTCACTCTCCATTCTTCTCTGCAGTTTCATTTAGCCGTCAGAGAAAAGAAAAACAGACAAGAAAGTCTCGAAGACTTGAGTGCCTCCCATTTTCCCGATTCTCGCTATCGCACAAGATCAATCATCGCGATAGGGCGAGTTTAGTGGGAGAAACTCATAGAATGAAGTACATAAAAGTTCATTTTCTCCCAGCTCACATACAATTTCCACCCTCCACTGAATGGTGGGAAACTGAGACGTTTGCTGGGGTTGCGGAAAAATCGAGTGAAAGTTGAGTGGGAACTCATAAGAAATGCAAATGAGCAACTTTTACAATTTTCAAAGTGTTTTTTCACTTAAAAGCATCTGACACAAATTTCATCTAATTAAGTGATTTTCAAATTGATTGAATGATAATTTGGGGGCTGAAGCCTTTGTGTGACGTGTTATTTTGAGAGCGAGAGAAACGCGAAAAGTGAAAGGATAATTTATTCGACGCTCTAAGTGGGTGTCAGGGATGAAAAACACGATTTCTTGACGACCCAATTTTGCATTCATTAGCAATCACTGGGAACGCGTATTGCGAGTCAGAAAAGGATTTTGCTCAATTCACGAAGAATACAGGATGAAACGTGAGTAAATCACTTATTGAAAGATATTAACGGAAAAATTCATTTCGCATAAATTACGGATATGAATTATTTATTCATGTTGCTCAGTTTAGCCTTTGAATTTTTAATGAAAATTTTTTATTAGACCGTTTTTGCATCGGAAAATGCTGCGCATTTGAGAAAAAATTCGTAACAGAAACGCTTGAAAACAATTCTTGCACAGTAATAATCGGATAATAATATTGAATCTCAGTCGAACAACATTATTGTATAATTTTCACTGTGATTTTTCCCTGTTTTCCCTTGATTTTTCAAGTAAATATGCGAAATTTTACATAATCTGCATCTTCATAATCAATTTTCAAACATATTTTTCGCCTCTCTCGCGTGTTTATGACGACAAAATATTGCAATTCATCATGTCACGAGTTTTATTAACTTTTCCCATCCTGACGCAATATTTTTTTTCCACCTCTTGCACTGGCAATAATGCTGCTGGAATATTGTTGACTGCAGCAAAAGTTGTGGGATAATTGTAGGGTGAGTGGGTGGAATGAAAAATGGTGCACTTTTCCCAGAGCTCAAACAATTTTTCCACATCTTCAGTGTGAAAAGGAATTCTCTCTGCACTCGTGGCAACAATTGACGGGACATAATTGAAATATCCATCAATTTATATGGTGTAAAATTCATAGCAACAACTCACATGCAACGTGGATAATTCGCTTATCCTGCAGAGTTCCCGCTGAGAACCAAGGATTAGTGGCTCGGCACGTCAATTCAGCACCATCATATTCGGCAATAACCCGCAGTGGCAGAATGCTGCATGTGAAATTACCGTCCTGCTGAAGGGTGAGAGGAGAGCCATGAGGGCCGCGGAAGATATGTATTACGAGGCGTGTGGCCTTCTCGCATACACTAGACCTCACATGGTAGTGGACACATGTTGTGAAATCTCAGGAAACTCTCAGGAGAAGGATGCAATTTAGTCTGTCCCGTTTCTGGGCCACTTGGGAAAATTGTCGGTTTGAAACTCTCTCCCGGAATGAAGTATGTAATTATTTAATGTTAAGGAAGAGGAAAAAGAAGTGCATTTCTCGTCTGCATTTACCACACAGTGTTCCTGCATAAATTATTTTCCACTCCTGGACGTTGAGTGCCTCATTTCAAACCGGAATCTAAGCCTTTAATATTCTTTTTATTTGGCGCCTTTGAGCCTTATTATATACCTCAACAGGAGAGGAATTTTCACATCCAGAAGAAGGCCTCTCAATTGGGTCAAGTAGGTTAATTATTTCATCTAATAAACTCGCCCAGAGAGCACTTCATTTTCACTGAACATGCAAAATTTTAATAAAGAAGAAAATCATAACTATTTATGAGTCTCCCGCGCTCGTATGTGTCCACAACCATTTGCGCCTCAGTGTGTGCGAGTAGGTGTAAAAAGATAATGATAATGTCTGCTGAATTTTGCATTATTAAATTAAACCATACAATATGTGTGTTAATTTGACAATAACTCACATCTCTGTCGCTGCATATTGTGAGGTTGGGATTCCGGACGGGCTCCCCGTCGAGCAGCCACACAATTTTCGCCGGGGGATGCGACCCCCAGGCCTCACAGCGCAGCGGAACTATCTGTCCAGCCCGCAGAAGTTCATTCGGCGACACGACTTTCACGGCGAGGGGTTTCACTTTTTTTGCCCATCCATCAATCGATGAACACCCGTCAAGAAGCATGATATTTCAGTGGAGACAGAGAAAGAGGAAAAAATCAATTATTGCCAAGACTACGAGAAACGCCAAGGGGAAGATAATATGGTCAGAAAGTGGTGTACACAGATCAGAATGAGTTTTAGGAAGTGAAAGTTTTTTACTCTCAGAAATTAGTTTGAATTCTCAAATTTTGACACATTTTTCTAGGTTATGTGAGTGATTTAAGATTATCTCTTGACTTTATTGGCAGAATTGCGTCCTTTTACTCAATGAAAATCATGACTTTAGGAAACAATGCTCAAATATAACCTCAAATTTTTATAATAAACTGTTGCGATTTTAAGTTAGAAATAGAAAAGAAAATTTATTCAAGAATTATGATCAAGAAAAATACACTATTTTTGCATGAAAACGTGAGTTTTAAAGTTGTCAGTTAGATTTCAGTTAGATTATAGTCATATTCCAGTCATTTGTTGATTTTAGTCTTGTTTTAAACAATCCATGAAGTCTGAAGTCCTGGGAAATGTCAAAAATTCATCATACAAATTGTGGAAGTGGTGTACAGATTTTAGCCATATTATCTTCCCCTTGAGATATGGTCAGAGTGCAGTGTGACTGACATTGTTGGACAACTTGAAATTAAATCTGTGCGGAAAATATGGGAAAATTCAATACGTCATAACTGAGAAAAATTGCCAATCTTAAGTATCTATCAAGTGCAATCATGCTATTAAATTTAGAGACACGCCGTTGAAACTATTAAATTAAGGTTTAGGGGCATAAATTTATGATGTTTGCACATTAAATGTAATAAGTTCGGCAAATTGAACGTGATCTTGATGTCAGAATTCTGTGCAGAAAGTAAATTATGGGGTCCACGAGTCTATTTACCAGCCACACCCACTCTGACCAATCACTGTGTATATAGCAGAGAGAGATTTTCTAGCATGAGGTGAAAATTATGTTGTATGTATCATCTTAAAATTATTTACAATGTACTTGAATGGCAAACTCCTTCACCACCGGAGCAATTAGCTTGGATCCTTGAGCGCGACACTGGAGTCTCGTGCCAAAATACTCCCTCGTGATGTTCTCAATGAAGAGCTGATTCACAACGGTCGTCCGCACGTCAGCCGAAGGGTGACTAATGCCAGAAATTTCTTCGTTGTTCCGCCACCAAGTGACTTTGGGCTGAGGACGTCCTGGAAAGAGCATTTCCTTGTACTCGCCGGATTTATCTCTATCGATGGTGGGACGGTGGGAAAAGTTTCGCCAACTGCTAATTGCACCTCCATCGACTTCCTCCTCAACACCCACTAATTTATGCCTTGGCAGAGCGAGGAAAATTAAAGATTGTGCTGGTATTTTACATCTTCTCTCTCTCCCATGGCAATACAGCCATGATTTTAATGACTATTTAACACAAAATTTTACGCTCATCGCATAAACAAGAACATTCTCTCCCTCTGGAGAGGGCTTAAGCGGCGAGAATTGCTCATGGCCTCTGACGACGGCATATCGAAAATACTGTTGGTAAATTATATAGTTCGATGGTGTATGGAAATTAAAGGAAATGTTCACAGCAATTTTCTCACTCTCTCTCTCTCTGATGAAACATAAGGAATGCATCAATCCGCGTGTTCATCTGGCTCCGGATATTTTATTGAAATTGCCAATTGAGAGATTTAGGAGTTCACTGTCTTTCCCACTATAAATATTTATGCTGTAAAATACAAGGCACGTTTATAGCTTCACCATCCAGTGATTGGCAAGTGCAAGATGGACAGAAAACACTTCTATGTCATAGACAACTCTGGGTTAATTCTGTTTGTTTAAATTTCATTACAAATTTATATTGGAAAATAAAGCAATAACGCATCCGCGACAGAGTGTGAAATATTTTGATTTCTCATTAATTATAATGTGTGTTGGAAAAATAACATGCATTTAATGTCATTTAGCCATAAGCGATAAAAAGATTTATTAAAGCACACTCTTTATGAGCAAAGTTGGTTGAAAATATCGAAATTTTTAGATGTCATGTTGCACATTAATTTTTTACCACCTGCAATTAGAGTTTGTGGAACTCATTTCCGCACTCATCTATCCATCACTTCAGTCAGAGCCAGCAATTTTGCCATCTCATCCCAAACTATACTGATCAATCACGCAAATATTGGGCGCATAGTTTGTGGTAAACAAGGGAGATGACTGAAGAGATGGAATTTTAAACCCATTCTCGAAAATTTGATCGCAAATACAAATTGCGGTGTGAATTGCTGGAATCGTCGCTTCTCTCTTGCTTTATTTGCACCTCAAAAGTGGTCTGTGACGTGAAAATGCAATCCATCATCACCTTTCATGTCACCAAAACATGCTGAGAAGAACCTCACACCTAAGCTAAATTACCATGTTTGAGGTGAGGATTTAAAAATCACCCACAAGAAGTGTCTGTGTCGACACGGCGGAGCCTTTTTGAATCACAAATGCATGCATTAAAATTAATAAGCTTCCCTCATAGAAATTCACGAATTCATGATCTGTTGTGAGGTGTTGGGAAATAGGAAAAGAAAAACCGTAAGCCTGCGATTTGCCCTCTTTTGACCTCGGCGCGTCGTTGAATACAAATAACGTGTGTGACTATAAAGGATGAGTTTTCAAGATACAAATGTGCGTTAGGAAACATACACTCTAATCAATTAACGAGAGGCAGAAGAAAAAAGACTGCTACAAATTCCTCAATTAATTCAGGGGTTGATGCTTACATTTCTGTTTTTCCCCTGAAATAAAACATTTGGTTGCGTGAGAAAATTCCCTCAAAGTTGGGCAACAATTCACGGTGACGCATTTAAAATCCAGCGGAAGATGTGCCAGAGAGGGAAAAAACTACACTGACGATAAATATCAATAATGGAAACATCTGTGCACAATAAAATGCTATACTTTGTCCAATATAATGCCGACAATGATCACCATGTGTTGCTCATAATTTGTGTGCATTGCTTTTTAAATCTGCCACCGCTTTGATCACGCGATTCTGGAAAATTTGCGACAGGGAATTGATGTGACAAAAAGTATTTAAGTAAGGAGAGATAATATATATGTCCAGTTTACACTGGCGAAATGTATTTGTAACCGACAAATCCTGCATCATATCATCGAATATGCAGAACGACAATTTCATTGGTCACCATTTGTGGGTGGTTTGCTATGCATATTGCTTTTTGAAATCATACCCAGATAGCATTGATGATACATATTTCATTGATCTTTATGATGAACAGGGTTTTATAGAGCTTTATATTTGTGCTTTCTTTATTGAATTACTCCCCATTCTCTTTATACTGCGTGACTGAACGATTTGCGTCACATTTATGCAAACGACATTATTATACTATGCAATTCTTATTCTTGTGAGAAAAATGCGAACTATTTTGTTGTTCTCTATATGATACGAAAGCCAGTGTGAATGGACTTCGAAATACCAGCACAATACAACATACTTTCCCAAATATGCATAAATATACAGGGTGGAATTTCTCACCTCCGGAAACCTGGCACGAGAGGAAGAGTTCGTGACCTTCACGGAATGGTCCAGCGGCTCCACCTGCGACTTCCTTCCCCTGGGCATCGAATATCTTGGGCTCATCGGGCGGAACTACGAGAGACAGAGCATGAGAATGAGGGTCAGAGTGGTCAGAAGCGAAGCCCATAAATCCACACAACAGCCCTGAAATTTGATTGCCAGAATCTGGGGCGGAAACTTACCGACTAAAGTTAAATTAACTCTAAAATTTCTGGTGGGTGAATTGAAGAAGTCCACTCGGCATCGATAGACACCCTCATCTGTAGTCTTCACGCCTCGGATCTGCAGCTTGGCGTCATGTGGTCGGGTTCCGGATGAGAAGTACAGTCGATTCCCGAGATCACTGGCCAGGGCGGAATGGGTGGCGGACTCGAATGGGCCACCACCTCTCGAATCCAGGCTGCAAAGAGAGCACAGAAAGGCCGGGATTACAGCGAGCCATGTGGAAAAAAAGAGCATCTATCTCAGTCTTTTCACAATTATCCCAAACTCCTGCGGCCAGTGCCACATACAAACACCGCAATTCTGCTGACCCACAGTCAAATGCAACACTCTTGAGATTTCAAATCGTCCACCATCTGGACGAGGGCAGAAAAATAACATTTCGCAATTTGATTTATCTCTCCAAATCCACTCTTAATAATTTTTTCATGATGTCAATCCGCTCTGGCTCTCGCCACAGTTTGGCGAAACTTTGGCCTCCCAAGAACAAATAAACACTGCCGGAGGGATAGATTCGAACGGGCCCAACATTGATGAAGGTTAGAGTTTTCTAACATAAATATTTTAAAAATAAACAGAAAATCTATTGGCAAAAGTTATTCTCTCTGGCATTTTTTTTCGACTTCAACCCCGTAAAACTTCTATGTCGCATCAAACTGGGTACATTGATTAAATTCTGAGGCTTTAAATTTTTAAAATCCAAGTACTTTAAGATTCACCCCTCCTAAATTACAGTCTCAGATATTTTGAAATCAATAACGTTTCATAGGAAAATGCCTGGGAATTTGCGAAAAGAAGGGTTTTATAAGCATAGTTTGTGATAAAGAGATATTAAATTTCTGAAGGAAATTTTAAAACACTCCCCACTCCTCGCAATGTTTTATTTTTCCCTAAAATTCACCACAATGTGTGAAATATTGCATGCAATTTATGCGATTTGTATTGAAAATTCACGAGAGACATTCCAATTGTGCGCATTTACAGCAATTACCCAAAAAACAAGGCATCACAGGGAGATTTATCACATATGAATGTTCAAATATTGAACGAGGTCAGTGTATGTCGGAGGCGAGCTTGTGGAATTTTCAGCATAAGTGGATTTCGTCGCTAAGTTTCCCTGGAGCCTCGCAGAGCATGTTTGTGGTATATTTGCGGACTAAAAACATACACTACATGGAATTTCACAATCTCAGGAGAAATTAACGCGAATAAAGTGCTGTTTGTGCGTGCAAAAGTGCTTCCAATTCTAACTTTCCCCAAAAAAAATACTCTGTCAAGTGTCCAAAAATGTGAAAATCAAACATAAGAGGATTTCCACCTCAATTCTATGTTTGATTTTCATTCATGCACCCTGACTTGTCGTTGATTCAATAAACTCTGTGTGGATAAGCCAACGTTCTAAATCACCCTCTTTAGCACACTTTACACAGCTCTGGGTATTTTTGGGGGTATATTTTTTGCAGTGAGTGTGGAGAAAAAAAAATCCCTCGCGGCGAGCAAAAACCCCCAATTTTTATGCATTTGAGGTGGAACACTTTCACAGAGTGTTCCATTGTTTTTCCACGGGACATGGCGTTTTTTTTCACCACGTTTTCACTGTTCAGCAAATATATCAATAGTAAATGTGTTTTTCTTCCCATGAACTTTTTTTTCTGCTCCATTCAATGTAATATCGCCCTCTTGTGCCCTGTGCTTGCGCAATTTTAATCACAGAATCTCATTATTTCTCTACATTTTTTCGCCTTGTTTTGGATTTTCGCTTTCTCTCTGTTCATTTCGCGAACGTCATTAAAGCAGGAAGTGATTTGACCGAGAAAAAGACAATCGAAAAGAGATTTTTCAAAAATCATACTTCGATAACTCAATAGTTGCTGATATTTAGTGAACTTTCATACTTAATCCCAGAGAGGAAATATGTAAATTATTAAATGTATAAATAAATAGATGGTCAGTAATAGAATCCTAGAATTACAGTGACTCCAAATTAAATAGGGCCGCCTTATGCGTTGTGTCTGAATTCTTTAAGAGAGACTTTAGGGAGCAATTCTTAATAATTCTCAGGAGAAGAAATCCGCGAAATCGACCTTTTTTGCAGTCAATTGCACTCCAAACTCCTTTTTCTGGAATAAAAGGTCCTTCTAGTTATTACCCTGAATAAATATCCTTTCTTATGCAGCCGATACACTTATAAAGTTCAGATAAAATATGAAAATCTACAGGATAATTATCGATCGGACGATTTATTACTTGGTTCTGTTTTAATATCATAAAGAGATCAAAAATTAGGCCGAATGTCTTCAAACTTGGCATGGTAAATTCTTATTAATGAGGGATGATTGATTGAAAAAATCAGCCCTCTAGCTTTACGTGGAAATTCGCGGCACTTCGATTTGTCCCAGATCTTCAGGAGTTTCTATTTAATTTGGCGTCACTGTGAATAAATTCTGAATCTGCGTGACTTTTCCACAGTCTTGAAATAAAATTCTAATTCTATTTTATATACATGTAAACATTTGATTGGATAATGGTGTGTATCTCACAATCGGAATAACCCTGTGCGTGTGCGCAAGTAAAGAGTTTTTCCCTGTGAAAAATCTCATGGAATGTTAATTAATTCCACTGATTATTTATTTAGTAGAATTGTACATACATGTATAGGCAAAGTTTTGGGATGTTGGGAAGAAAAATAAATCGTGGCTTTCACTTTGGGAAATTAAAACCACCAAGAGTGTTGCGCACACAAGAATTCATGGGCTCTCTTTGATAAACCACACAATGATTAATTCAGAACACTGCACATCATCCACCATGCACAGAATCATCAAAATACACCATATGCGCGCCGCTCACATACCTGTAGATGGGAATCCCAGTTGAGTCCTTAAACCACAGCACGAGTTTTGCGGAATCCCGTGGTGTGGATGGCGTGACGTCACATGGCAATTCGGCGTCGTGATCCAGAGCCGCCCAAACGAGGCGGGTGGGAACTGCAGGGGGAGAGAGAAGCATAATTTGCCATTTAATTTATTATTTACTGGACACTCGCAAGTACATATGGGGCATTCGGGGGTGCTTTTCATGTGAAACACTCCATGGCGAATCATTTGAATTTGAGTTCAAGTGCATCGGAAATGTCTCTGTCAGGGATTGGAAAAATTGCGGCTTTTCTAGGCCATGCTTGACACAATTTATGCTGAGCACAAAAGCGTTGAAAGTCCTGTGATATTTTCCGGTGGTCTGGAATTTTCTCAGCTATGAATGAAGATTAGCAGGATGAGCTCAAGATCATTGGGATAAGTACGTGCAAATATGAATAATATCTTTCAAGTGTCTTCCTTGTGAAAATGTGGAATTTTCTCACAATGCCACTTATGCGGCCATGGAAGACTTTATATTGCAGTTGAACTTGAATGCTTATACTATTTGAAAACCATGAACAGTTTAAGTGTCACTGCCATTTGAATTCACTATACAGATTAACTCCAACTTGGAAAATTCTTCTCTTAGAGCAAGAAAAAAAGCAAGTGAGTAGTTGTAACGGAGCACTTGTGCTACCATAAGCGCGTAAAAGTTATCATGGAAAACATGAGAGCACATGAGAGTATCAAGCGAATTTGCGGTGAATAAAATGTGTATACGTATTTTGCATTGTTGCCAAAGTCACATCCAAGAGAAGTTTCCTCACATTTGCTCTCATGGGAGCACACAATTCTCTTCTCCAACACCGGGAAAACTCTGCGTTGCAGAGCAGCAGTCCCGGTGTAGGAAAATCTATTTTGGTTAATTCTATTCGTTTACTCTCTTGCACACTCTCATGTTTAACTTTTGTATAAATGATCTTGAGGAATAAACTGTGTAAGTAGCATGAGCGTGAGAGTGGCAAAAAGTGTTGAAGTTGCAAAGGTACAACATTAATTTGTGTGTGGGTAAGGTGAAGGCCTATTTATAGTGGCTCCAAGCTGTTTGGGTGGGAAAAGCACCAATATTTACCACCGCCATTGAACTGTGATTACGGGGTAAAAATGTTTATGCTCTTGCCACGATCCTCCTTAGAATTTAGCCAAAGACAGTCCCATATGTGTTGACTCGAGGAAAACAGAGGGACTTGTGGGTCTCTGAAGGAATCCCAGAAATGCAAAACAAGCGAGCTGAGCATAAAAATCTGCACTGCGAAGAATTATTTCTATGAGAGCAAACAAATAAGACAAATCGACGTCCATTTGCAACAAAATAGCAAAATATGTACAAATGAAGCTCTCCACGTTCATGTTTACGTCCAGAGAACATTATATTGGAAATAAAACTTTATATGAAGCAAACATTCCATGTCAATATTCAGGAAAGTGTATGTAAAAGTTGCCTGTAAATTATTTCTCCTTTAACACTTTCCAGATGACTTTTCACGCGAATGATAAGCAGGCTCCAAAAAGTTATTGAGAAAAGTTTTCCACTTTCAAATCCAAAACTTTTCTCTCAGTGCAAAAATAGCAGATTTAACAAGTTTCCCCATTTTACAGAGATTCATCACACAAATCTCACTCTCCTTGCCTATAAATAAATTCTTGAGAAAAATTCTGCCTATAGAATTCTTTTAAGGCAGAGAGAGAGAGGGAGATAGAAAGGAGATTGAGTAGCGTCACATGTTGCGGGCATGTTATTTTTAATCTTTCGGCGACACTTTGGCACCGAAAGCATTTCATATGGAAAATATTGCGCTATAGAGAAAAAAACACCCAATGGATTCCTTGTTTTTACGTCCCTTCTGTGGTGGTTCTTTTCCGTTTTGCCACCCGGCAAAAAATCCCCACTAATTGCTCATTGAATATCAACTAATACGCACTTCTGAGAAAGGGGATTCAGTGTGGATAAATTTCATAAATTTCCCAGCCCGCCACGCGCGCACCTAATACTTGTCGCTCAGTGTCACTGGCCCAAATTCTGCCTCATCATTTCACTCACAGCTTAACCCTACCGTTGATGATGTCTCTCGGCATCAAAATAAAAATTTCCACGCATTTTCCTCGACTCAATTTCCATAATCATTGCAATGGTGCTTTTTTTTCCTCCCAACCATCTCTCATCTCGTTATGCCACGAGTTTCCGCTCATTTAATGTAAAAGTCATGTTAGGCAAAAAGTGCCACTTTTTCCTCTGTCACACCACAGATGTACATATTCACTGGGAAAAATTACCACCGCCATCCCCCAAATGCACTCCCACTCGTGTGTTCTTACGCAAAATGACGCGATTCATTTTATGTTGGAAATTAATAATGCAAGCTCAATGTGTCATTTGCGAAATTCTAGCATTTACGCCATGCTTAGAGTTGAGATCATGCGGACTATTTGCATTAATGTATGCTGTGCGAATTGAATTTTTAATGCAAATGCCAAAGTGAAGCAGGAATGTTCATGATCAAATATTAAATTAATTCAAAATACATTCACAAGCAATGACAATAATTATGCAGTTTCATAAGAGAATACTTGCAAAATCCACATTTTTCCCCATTAAGAGTTAATTCAGGATTTATTTTAAATTCTCAAAATTCACAAAGTGAAAATACTTCTCATCGGCTTTAAAGGATAATCGCTCTAACAAATGGGCTAAAGCTTTTGTGATAAAGCCACTGTGTGAGGCGAATAATTTTAATTAGTTCTTTTATGTATTCATCGGCCATTTTTTGGTAAACAACAATAAATGCTGAAAGAGAATGTAATAAAATAAAATCTGAATATTTTTATCAAAAAATAAATAGTAAATACTCAACTTTTTTTCCCGCAAACAATTAATTGAAATAAAATGAGAAATTTCCTCATTTACACATCCGCAATTTAAATGTATTTTTGTATATGAAAATAATGTATTAAAGGCCTCTGAGTTATTTCTATTGACTCCCGTGCTTTTCAGGATGAATAGAAAAGAAGAAAAATATAAACAATATCCTTGAACAACAATTTAAAAATATATTTCAACCTGACAACAGACAATTTGTGGCAATATTGGGATAAATTGTATAGATATTTGGCAAAGAATCTGGGAAACTTCAACTTGAAACTTTGGAGCGTTCACAGGGAGAGAAAATAAGAAAGAAAATTGTGTACTGAGAGCAGAAAAAAAAGTTGATTAGTGTTTTGCCAGACGGGTTAAAAAGCTTAAAACTCATTCTTTCCATGTGATTGCGGAAAACTTGGTCGTGTCGCTGGTAAATTGATTTCATAGCAAATAATATAGCAAGTGCTTTTTGTCTTGTATGCCCTCGAAATTGCTTTCTAACAACATTATAAACTTTTCTTCTTGCTGGCCAACAATTTCGGGTGCACAATTTCTTTAATAACACCACATTTTTTTTTCCTCAAGAAAGCTACAACGCAATGCTTTCTATAGTTATCAAAAGTATTAATGACAATTAATTTCAATTGAGCAGAGCTAATTAACCCTAAAAGCTTTGAGAAACAGCAAAAGTTTAAATCATCTCTTGTGCGGAATAATGCTAAAGTGTAGATTAAAATTGATGGTTTTTTTGAGCTGCTAGAGCAGACAGAACTTTGCGGAAATTACTCTTGCAGTTATCTTTGGAAAATTGCACTCTTTTGTTAATTCGCTTCGCCTCACAACTCTGGAATCGCACAAGAGTAAGAATGAAATATTCACTTGAGCATAAATTCTGACTTCCTGCGGGTGGTGAAATAGAATTACCAAACTTTTGCATGTTTCCCAAATATTTTCCCCTTCAACTGTGCTAAGAAGACATTTTGGAAGATGCCGAAGCGAGGGTGGGAAGAAAATCACCTCCCGCATAATCTTGCCAACAAGTCCCAAAATTTATCCCGCCTTGGATGACAAATAGACGGATATTTTTCACTGAAATTAATCAATTGACGGCAATTTTTCTCCACGGAATCTCGTCGGGATGCCTGGGAAAAAAAATGTGACACGCGGCGAGATGAGAATGCGGGAAACGAGAGCTTTTCTTGCAAAATATTATGTTACACAACCCTCATAGAAGACAATAAAAAATATTCCACATAATGGGGTGATAATAGCGACCCCATCAATTGAGGAAAAGGGGAATTACCGCATTTGTGGAAATGCCTTCAATATTGCTTCTGCATCATTTAAATTGCCTCACAGATATGATACGGACAGCCTTTTAAATAGTGCACAAGATGAATTTAAGCCTGAATTTAGTGCTTTTGTCTCTCTGCACATTATTCCACAACATAAATTGTCTGTCTCCCCCCCCCGAATCACGTGAATGGGTTTTAGATTCACACCGTTCCGAAAACCCACCTTGCCGTGCAATAATAGATGATTTTCATCCTGAGCTGCGGGCAAAATATCTCCAATCATAAATCGTGTGCAATCATTTAATTAATTCAAGTGATTAATTATATCATGATATTCTCTCAGACTAACACACAAAGAGACTCAATATTCAGAAAAGGCTCCAAAGAGCACAAATCCTGGGCCTTTAAAAATTCCAAAATTGATTTGTTTCGTGAGTTTGACGAATTTATTTTTCCCAAAACTTTTCCACCACATCAAATTCGAATGACTTCTCAAACTGAAAGTCATGACCTTTTTGTGCTAAAAACCATGAAAGATTTTCACCTTAAATAGAGAACATTTTAGCTAAAAGCGTTCAATTGATTATTTCCATTTCTTATAGCATGTTTACATAGTTTTCTCCATTTCTTCTCTCCATTTTACGCACAAACATCGCCCAGTGTTTGAGATAAGATTTTAGGAATTTACCAAAGTTTGCAACTAAATAAATTATAGCAATAATTTATCAGTCTTTGCTTTCTCAAGTTTATAAAAAGTACAGTAAAAATTGCAATACTTTGCCGTGGAAAAATACAATTTCCTTTGGAGTGAATAAATTGTGAAAGGAAGAAAACACTTAAATGGGTGTTTGTGAGATTCCTGTTTCAAAGAGGAGGTAATAATGCTGCCAAGAGGAAGTGAAAACCAGAACATGAAGAATGGAAAGCAGAGATTCTCTCCCTGAAATATGTCTTTATATGGATGCTTTTTTTCTTACTTCAATGTATATACCAAAATTTCCGTCATCTTCAGTTAACATTGAAAATGAACTTTCTTTGCAAAGTTTTTGATATGGCAAAGAATTCGAAGTTTGTCAGAAGAAGTGGAAAATTATAATACCGAACATTTTAAACTGAATGTTTTCCACTATCTGTGGTTGTCAAATTGTCTCAAGAGTGTCTTTGAGAGACGCGTAAAAAAAATATGTCATGACGAAATCAGTCACATCTTGGGGGCACTTTTTATCCTCCGTCGAAATCTTTGTGTCATCTCCATGAGATGTATCTTTAATATGGATTTAATAACTTTTCATGGTTGTGCATAGAAGGGCCGTACATGCGAGTGGGTGGGAAAAATGTTAAAAGACATGGGAAAAGGTTGCCCGAAATCCTAAGAAGTGCGGCCAAAGGAGAAAAAAAAGTTATGCCGCAATCTCAAATGAGAAATTTTAAATTTTTTATCACAGACTCTCTTCCCTTCTCCGCAGAGTGTTTCTTATGGCATTTGCATTTGGCGGGCGAATTTCGTGGAAAGAGGGAAGACTTTTTGCTCTCTTTCTCTCTCTCCTCAGTATCACGTGTCATAAAACAGTGTTTCAGAATGCTAAAGTGCACTTGGCTTCGCTTTTTCCACTGCATTCTCATATGTTACAGTTCCATCAAAATATTTCTCTGTTGAGAAAATCTTCTGACTAGGGTTCTCGTCTTCTTTTTTCGCTTTTACATGAATAATTCCCCAACATGAAGCGCTCTTTCAGTCTCGATTCACTTTCTGCTATTCACATTTAATGCTTCACATCAGAAAACATTGCCGTGCGGTCTTATTAGCCTAAACCCTTAAGTAGCGCTAGAATTCTCACATCTAGGAATGTAAATTGTATGTAAAAGTTACTTTCTTGCATGACTTAATTATTTATCTAATAGAAAAAAAAATTCCATAAATTAATTCCACATAAAATCACAAATAAATTGAAAAATTTAATTTAATTTAATTTAAATGCATTCAGTGGAAAACTCCCAAATAACAGAGCCAAAAAAGCTGGTTTCCATTTTATTTCGAAATTAATTAAAATCTCCCTCGAGTGCAATTGTAATTGGCTAACATTAGAATCAGAGGAATCATGAAGCTCACTTCATTTATTAGTAGATTTGGTTAGCATGTTGCCAACCCAGAAGCACATGTTTGAAGAGACGCTCACAGTGACGGAGAATTATGAACATTTTGGAGGAGAATCTTCAAAAGGTTACGAGTTTTGCATGTTTTTAATTAAATTCAGCAGCTCTATCCAGCATGTGAAGACTAAGTAGGGAATTAAATATAAAATATGTAGAGTGTGTGCGAGTGAGAAAAAGCAGAGCCTATGCCAATGCCTTTGAATGTGGCGAGATGAGGAAGAGGAGAGAGAGAGGACATAAAGTAGGGAAAAAGGCTCCCAAATATATGTTTATGTGTACACATGGGAACTTACTATGTTTCTGAAAATCCTGTGATCCATTGCACTGTATTCTCAATGGACACATTCCAATCATACATAAAATATACAAGAGAAAATGCCGAATTAGGGTTTTACCACCGATATTCCACTGATAAAACTTGTGAACCTTTTCCATGTTTCACATAAAACTTTCATTCTCGATACATTTGAGAGAATGGACAACCACAACTTTCACCACACACCACATTGAAATTCATTAGGGAATCCTCACACTCTTCAATTTCATTTCACACTCAAGAGCTTCCGGTTGTTTTAATTTCCTATTTTCATTTAAATCTTTATCCACTTTTTCTTGTGCTGCCGCATGTTTTCTCACTTGTTCTTTTGCTCCCTGGAGCCCATGCCGGGTCTCTTGTATCTTCAGCACTGTCCTAAGTACATTGCCATCAGGCTCTTGTGGAAAGTGACGAGAAAACACAGGAGAGATGTGAAGAGGGGAAAAAACTTCCTGTAAGCAATTGAAATTCCTCCTTGGCGAAAGTCAAATAAATAACACTGCAAATTCCTCACAATCCGCGCTCTTGTTCGCAAAGAGACGTCGCACTAAAATCACTCTCGAGTCTCCAGAATCAACCCTATTGACACAGTGCGACACAATTTAATTATTTTATTTATGGCCTCACTTAATCATTCGTCCGGCGGGGGAGAGTCGAGAAAAAATTCCACCCACGATCTTCCGCAAAGTCCCAGATTCTTCTGCAGAGCAAAAGGAATCCCTCCGACACTTCGCACTCTCTCCACAACACTCGTGAGGCCTGAAATGTGCGCTCCGGCGCTGAGACAACACGTCCGGCGGCTTCGAGCACGACGAGAATTGGTTACAAACTGAGGCACAACGTCGAGCTGCAGCAGAAAGGATGATGCTTTTCGCCTCTCGCGCTCTCTCGCTCTCTTCACTCGCCTTCTCCGCACTTTTCCGACTAACTCCGATACCAGCCACCAGAGAAAATCGGAGCGCTGACGGCCAGGGGAAAACTTCTCCTCATGATGGGTTCGTTAACTCCTCTCTCGCATTCCACTCTCTTCCACTTAATCATGGCCAGAGTTGAAGGGATGCGTAAGCGAGAGTGTAGTTTAGAGATAAAGATGGACCGGAAATTATCAGTGTCTCAAAATATTATAAATAAATTGAAAGGAAGGCGTCGTTGCAACATTACAAATTTCGTATTTTAGTTTATAAAAGTTACGATTTTTGGTTGCAACTTTACGCTTTCAATAGCTTATATTGGCGTCCGCCCGGCGGCGCTAGTGTAGAGTTTGAATGAAATACGAACGAGAAGGCGTTGCAATGCAAAGTTGGAAATTTATTTAATACGAATTTCAGCTGTCAAAAAACCTCCTTCTCGACGATGACGTAAGGAAATGTTTTTCAGTGTCAGGGAAGCGTATTTGTCTTTGGAAAACCAACCAATTTCCTTGAAAAGACTCAAAATCCTCAAAATATGTCTGAAAACACATAAATTGCGAGATAAATGCTAAATATTGTCTATTTTCTTGATTTTCACGTGAATTATCAAGCTTTTTATGCCTTTATGCGACAAAATATATTAATTGATTTCAAGCGTCATCATTTGAAACGTTTCATGTCTCGCAGAAAATAAATTCAGTCTTACGAATGAATAATTTTGACACTTTATTTAAAATGTCATGAAAATAAAGTTACAACGACCACGAAATCTCTTCACAATTCAATGCAAGGATTTTTTTTTGAACCCATCAATCTGCCACTTAAATCTAATTGTTCATCAACTCTAGCCTCACATGGGACAAAAATATCTCTCTCGTTCTCACACATCACCCTCTTTGTCAGTCGCTGGTCTCTCTTCACGAAAGGAGCACACATAATAATGAGGGGAATAAATTGAGTGTATAACAACACAACAATATGTTTCTTATGTATTTACATTGTCATTACAATAGAGAGTTTCACATCCAAATGCTAAATCCATCTGCAGTGCTAGAACAATTGTGCCAAGTATTATCTTGAACGACACACAGAAGTGCCCAAGAGACGGACACAAAATGAGACACTTCTCAGCGAGTCTCATAAGTAATTAGCTACAACATGATTTTTACAGCTCAATTTCAGGCCCGCAGGCTGAGCGCCAAGTGAAATTTATTGAAAATCAATGGATTTCGGGGGGTTGGAGGGTTGGAGGGTGGCGAATCTGGTGGCGTCAGATGAAGGGGGTGAAAAGAAAGTACAGCGAGAGAGGAGGGAATTGAAAGTGAAAGCTATACCCTTTCCCAAACCTTTTTATTAGCCTCCCACGCCATCCCTTTGACTGCTCGGGGAATTTATTGAACTTTCTCTGCTGGTGCTCACGATTCCGACTCTTGAGTTTATGTGCAAGAATTCCACAGTGCACAGGCAGAAATTGTTAAAAATATTCTTTAATAAAAAAAAGGACTCTCTCTCTCTATCCATCCACACTTGCACGCACAATATCCAAACCCAAAGAGGAAATCACCAAGTGTTTTCGAGTAGTTTGTGAAAATTATATGAGAAATCTCTCCGAAATATCTTGGTGAGAATCCCCTTCAAGAAAGAAAACACAAAACCATTATGGGGAAAATTTACGAGAATATTTTCATGTGTGAGTGTGGGTAGAAGAAAAAGGAACCTCTCAAGCCAAAAAACCCTCCTCCGCCCCGAAACCAATAGGGACGAAACATATCGTAAAGAATGTTGAGAACACACTATAAAAATTGCATCGATTAGCAATTTTCTGCAAAAGTTTGTGCAGAGAGAGAAAATCAAAATTCCCCAACTGATATTTCGCAATCTAATTGGATCCCAAACACACGAAGCGTGGTTGAAGAGTGCGCGGAGATTAAAATGAGAAATTGGCGATGATGGAAAATAGGTCAGTAGAATTACAATTAACCTACCAACACCACATCAGTCCCTATTTACCCACTTCACTGCTCTCCGTGTTTTTTTGTGTTGACCACCAATTTGTGAAAAAACACTGTTGGGAAAAGAGATAAATTTTTAAACATAAATATATTTTATTGGCCAAGAAAGTGCGGGAAAACTTCAATAACTTTTATTGCCTGAAATTTTACGTTAAATCAAATACATTTTTTCAAATATCCATCAGTTTGTGATTGATCTTATATTTCTTAAGATTCAATGTTATGTCGCTGATCCTTGTGTTTTTGGGGCACATTTTCGGAAATGCTTGTAAAACTGTATAGGAATTTGCCATAGGAAATGTGAGCATGTGTTATGTTCGTCTCTCAAATGAACTAATAGTGTGTAATAGTGAGTAATGGGAAGAGATGAGCCTTTTGGCATTTGCTTCCCTTGCGCAGAATGTTGTTATAATTATAACAATCCCTAGAAATTGTTTCAACAGAAGTATTTCGAGGCATTTTAACATGGAAGTAATTTCCATTCTTTCATGATCTCTCATTTGCATGATAATTCAGCTATGTATATCTCTATATAGCTCCGCAGAGTAAGAGTTTTCCATTGAATTAATATGACAAAATTACGATTATTGTTTTCCGGAGTTCAGGAATTACAAAGGAGAAAAAAAAATCGGACGTGACTGTAATGCAAAATTAAATCACATTCGTATTGATTTTTCAGCTCACCCCGTGCGTCATTTCTCTGGAGTTTTTGATGAACTATAGAGAAGTAATCATAAATTTATGAAATTCCTTTTCATTCGCAAGACGAAACGTGGTGCCAAAAACTTTTCTCCCAAGTCAAACTCACTCGCGTAGTGTAGAACTTTCCAATAAAACGTAAGAACTTTCATTTTCACATTTTAAATTTTTCATCGTGGTAATAAACGCAATTTCAACTTATTGCATTCCCATTTAAGACTACCGTCGAAGAATAATCCTGCACTTCGCGAACGGAGCGCGAAGTGTTGCGCAGACTTTTTCACCAGGAGAGAAAGATACAATGTAAAATGCATCATTAATTCAAATTCCTCGCTCGACGTTGGAGGAGGAAAAACTTTTGCGGAAAGTCGCGCAAGGAGCATATTTTCTTCGGGCGTAAAATCCTCACAGATGACTAGAGATTTTCACCCGGAAGAGAGAGAGAGGGAAAATGTAAAGTGAAAATTAAGTATGTACACTGAGGAAGATTCAGTTGAAGAAAAGAAGCGAAAATCGATCAATTCCGTCCACCTTTTGTCTCTGTCATTGACTTGGAATTTCCTTTCTCGTTGTCGCAAAAGTATTTTTCACATCAAATACAGCCCGCGAGGAGCATTAATTGATGACTCCTGATCTTCAAGCGAGACTCCCAAGATAAATTCCCCAAGCATTTTGATGTAGAGCGTGAATATAAATAAACTCTCGCTTCTCTATATTGAGCAACATTTCAATCTCATACCCCGCAAAATGCGTGTGTTCCACCGAGAATTGCCTTGCGCTCTTCGTAAACATTAGTGAATTTATTGGCTCTGAGAATAGAGAGAGAGACGCAGTGAAAGGAAAGAGATTTCCATCTGAAGATGTCAGTTTCATGGAATCTCGTTAGTAAGTTTTATACGGTGGAAAAAAAGGGGTAAAATTTCCAGGAAGATTTTCTTACATGCAAAAGTCAGGCCAAAGAGGATTTTCTCATATTGGGAAAATTTCTATCTCCAGCATGTAAAGCATGATGGGAACTTTTGCAATATATAATTTCGCATGTTTTCCAAAGAGGATTGGATTGTTTGTTGCATCATATTACGTCGGTCTGGCCAAATAACTGTAAAGTTGCACTGTGAGCCTCAGGCCATTTTTCATTGGGAAATTTTCCAATACTCTCCGATGCACATAGGAAAAGTTTCATCGGATAATAGAAAGCAATTGAATCCTTTTCGTCCTCGCCATTGATCTCATGCCTCGGGCTGTATTTATTGTGTATTTGTTGGTTCACCGCATAAACTTGAGTGGAGATTAAGAAAAAGAAATGTAGATGAAAATCCATCGGAGCGAAAACTAAGCTTGGAGGAAGTGTAGCAAACATATCAATAATTTTTCTTCATAGTATTTTATATGAATCAAGGGGCTATAATACGGTCAGAAGTGGTGTTCAGACTAATAGAAATTTTAAGAAGTGGAAATGCTTCTATTTTTTCAATATTGGGTTCACATATTTGATTTTCTGTTGATTATTTTACTCTCAGAAATTAATTTTTGTCTAAATCCTAATTTTGACATATTTTTCTAGGTTATGTTAATGATTTAAAACTAAATAACATCTTAAAGTAGTAATTCTTGCGCCTAAATTGAAAACCTGAAATTTTAAGTTGTCAGTTATTTTTCAGTAAGTTAGATTTGAGTTAGATTCCAGTTATTTGTTGATTTCAGTGTTGTTTTAAACAATTCATGAAATTTGAGCTCTTGGAAAATGTTAAGGAATTTTCATACAAATTATGGAGGTGGTGTACAGATTTTAGCCATATTATCATCCCCCTGGAATGAACATATTTTACTCTATCAAATTCACAGAATTCTTGACATTGTTAATTAACAACAAACCAGAACACTGTGAATCATGTTAATATATTAATGAAATTCCCTCACAGAAAAAAAACACTCGTCGAAATGCCTTTACAGACATTTTTCAAGTATCTGAACTCCTTTTTATATCAGGGCCAAGTTATTCAATATTGATGAAATTTTCCCTGGCGGCGGAATTTAACTTCTGACGTTACGCAGGCAGTCGTTTGATCGGTAAAATATTGAAGGAGCAACAAATTGTCTCGATAGTCAGTCAGTCGAGAGACAATTGCAGATTTCCAGAAAATCAATATATATACATATAGACGAAATATGAGTAGGTGAGGGTGAGTGACGTGAATTGAATAACTCGTCCCCACCAACTGTTCCAAAATTCAATTACCACCATCGACATTGGGTCCATTAATTTTATGGTGATACAACCCTTTGATTGGGCGTCGTTTCCTTTCTGCGATATGAGCGAAAGACGGAGGGCAAAAAAAGAAGAAAAAAGATATGGATGTGAGAGAAGGAAAACAAGACGAAATCAGACGCATTTACCAAATGTTTGAGCGCGAGAGTGATGACAAGAAAAATCAATAAGAGACCACAATGAAGGAAATGTTTACCCCATTTACTTCATTCATTATTATATAGACGACGAGAGATACCCAATGTTATTATTTATTGTGTGTATTGGGAAGTTGTAGCAGAATACCAACACCAAATGGAGAGGACTCAAAGTATAACCCACAGGAGAAGTGCTGCGAGGGTGTTACGGAAAAAGGGTGCCGATGTTGAGGTGCGAGCCGAACAGGAGTGCTGAAGTAATGCGATTGTCACAGAGTTATTGCAAAACAACATAACATCTCGCGATGCTCTTGAACTTCAAACATACATAAATTTGTAAATAAATTCCTCGCAGTTCAAATCACTCAAATACGAACATGATTTTCTACACTTTTCTCTTTTCTTTTTCTCTCATCGTCAGCCTTTGTAGTCTTTCTTTCGAGCTGTTGAGAGCCGCCTTGGCTGCCATCGCTGAGCTGAAGCTCGAAATACTTCATGTCAAGTCCATTTAACGATGAGAACCTTGGTCTCCATGGATTCTTCAACAAAACAGAATATTTTGTTTGGTATTAAAAAGGTGGAAATTTGTAGCCTGGGCTTAAGCAGTGCAGACACCAACACAGATAGACAACACACCCCTTATTCGTTGCTCGCGTCGTTGCCCAAAAATTGAGCAGTTGCACCCTCAGTTGAGGTTGAGTCCCATATTGTGGTGGTCATAGTGGTGAGCCGTTGCATTTCGAAGGAGTGTCCTGACATAGATAACGAGCGAAATTAAACCATCAGGCTATCTCTCATCTAGTTGTTGTGTGTGTATGTTGCCCAGTTTGTTGGACCCATTGGCAAGTGAAAGGAATTTCATTACACAACTTCTCTTTACCCAATTTCGACAGTAATTCCTGGGGGACATCTCAAGTCCCGGAGTGTGAGTTTTGGGTCTGGGAAGAAAAATGCATTCACAAATGGAATATAAAGTACATGGAAATAAATTTGAGAGACTCCAGGCGAAAATCCGGAAGAGGTATTGCGCAAATTTAGTATTCTAGTGCCATTCACTCATCAAAGACGAGGGCTGTGATGGGGGGAAAATGGGCGGAAGGAGGAAAAGTATATACTGCGAGAAAAAAAACAGTGAAATTAAGCATGCATTGAAGGAGACATAGAGAATTTCAATCATTCAAATATTCATCATACAAAGAGAGTCTCTCTTCGCATACACTTTTTCCTGATATGTCCCCTAATAAAGAATACCAATGCAAAAATGTCTCTTCACAGTGAAATGGAGCGTCAGGAGTTGGAATGTAGATTTCAGAATTTGATGAGGAGCTCCAATGAATGGTAAAAAAAAATTATTCTGTCTCTCATTTCCATTCCTCGCCTTTTCACTTCTCCCCAAAACTTGATCAGACACAATCTCTATACACACACAGAGCAATTCCAAGAAGCATCCCTTGGGATGCTGTTGCTTCGCGCCAACAAAGCCTTCTTCCCCGTCAGAAGAGCATAATTGCTGCTCTATCATAATTCAATCTCTCGCCTGTGAGAAGGAAGAATTCCATGTCAATATTGAAATTTATGTGTTTCGTTTCCTACTTTTCCGCCCCTTTCTTCCATTGTCAGTGTTCCCGATCACAAACCCAAATTATGCTTTCAATAGCAGATGGTTCGGAAGAAAAAAAAGTGTATGTTCGTGTGTGTCCTTTTTCCTCAAATATAGGACAACCCCCGATAAAGCCTGGAAGTTCTCGCCCGAAACAATTTCCTTGGTCAATGCTTCAAATAATCCTCCCTTGAAAGTAATTCTCGAGAAAATGCGACTGTGTACTTTGACCATGATGGGATTTACTTTATATCAATTTAATACAATAGTTTGCTCGACAAAGTCCAATAACTGATCAAATATTTGACGTGCTGCACTATTACATATAGTCGAATTGATTGCAATGTACATGATAAACATTCACAGAGTCATTCAGCCAAAAACCTTGGTTCAAGCCATATATTTGCCCTCTGAAGCTTCTAGCTTAATATATAGTGTCTTAAATTGAGCATTTTTCTTCTCAACAACATTGTCGTGGAGCTGGACTTTGAATTGCTTTGGTAATTTGCCAAAATAATGATAAAACGCTTGGCTGTGCAAGTGCAATCAAGTAAATTGAACTCGCCAAAATGATTAAGGCTTCATATCTTCTGGAGAAACGCAATTTATGACCTCAAAATGCTACAGAGAACACTCGAAAATGTCAAACATAAGCAGAAGACTTACATTTACATTGTAAGCACAAATCTTGGAGGTTTTTTTTTATCGAAATATTCATATTTATTACTACGCAGTGGGTTTCTTTATTAATCAATCCCAAACCCACCCTAACAAAGAACACCCCCGCGAAGCCAGTCTCTCAGTTGTTCCTAACAAATTTGACCCTAAATGCCATGGAGCTCTTTGTTTGAGTGCATTTCTATTAATTTCCATTGAAATCTCTCCCTAATTCCTCGAACACCTTTCACACCCATTTGCCTTCCGCCATTTCCACCCTAATTTGACAATCAACTATTAGACTTATTACTATTCACCCTTCTCTCTCTCTATATATATACCCCATTATCTCAACAGCGAAAAATCCTCACTGAAAGTGCTTCGTGCTGAGTACAAAAAATTCATGGATGAGGACAGGCAGCGTGCGGAACGAAATGAGAATCTACTGCAAACCTTGGATCGTATTGATTTCCAGGCGGCGGCTCTGGCCGCCAAAACGGAGCGTTTAAAGTTGCTAAAGGTGAGAAAGGTTGGGACGTTGAGAATTTATAGCCTATTTTGGGCCTCACAGCCTTACTCACACCGTCGCGACATTCCTTGCCAAAATATCACCCGAAAAAATCAAATATTCAAAACTTTTCCCATTATCTGGTGGTGAATTCATGGAATGTTTTTTTTTCTCTTCCTCTCTCTCACTCTCTCCCCATTTTCCCGATGGTGCAGACACAGTATAAAACACTGCTGCTGAAAAATTGGAACGACACTGGAAGTCGAATAGTTTCGCATAGATCAAATATATCAAGTCCACAGGACTCTGTGCCGATGAGATATGCCAGGACGTCCCCAGTTTACCACTATCAGGGGCCGAATTACTGGTCTGAGGCGGAATGCGGTGCGAAGAGTGCACCACAGATTCGTGATATGGAAATTCAAACGTCACTTTCCATGTTTGACATGGAGCAATCTTCATCCGTGAGCTCTTGGGCGGCGTCAGGAGTCTGGCGCGAGAGTCAGGCGCCCCGAGGGGGCAATCAAGGTGGAAAATCGTCGAGAGGTGGGGCAAATCACCTGGATAACTCCGAGTCTGGTGAAAAAGTAACACCTGAGCTGAATAAAACGCTTCCCAATTCCGCAGCAACTTCCACAATTACAACTTCTAAATCTGATTATTCCACTCCGGCCATTGAGAGTCACAGTGAGGCGATCAGTGAGGCGGCGGCGGTGGGTGGGAGGGTAATGAATGAGGATACGCCGAAGACACCCACACCGACTGAGGAGCCACACAAGGAGCCGTTCTATCTGCGCGATGTGCCGGAGAGGAGCGCAGATGAGCAGGAAGTGGAGGATGGCAGAGGAATGCCCGAGTGTGACATACCTGCGAACCGTGAGGGACACGAGGAAGTGGCACAGAAGACAATTGATAGTGGACAAGAGATAAGGGAACAATTGGGTAATTTATCAAGAGAGCCAGCAAAGCCACATACCTCATCTCTGCGACATGCTCTCCTCAAGAACACAAAGCACGAGCTGATGGGGAGTCGAAGCGGAGGTGACAAGGGTGGCCAGAAGGTCGTTAAGAGAGTGGAATTTTGTCTAGATCAAAATGAATCACACGAAGACACCAAGAGTCAATGGAATGTAGATGGGATTAGAGCAACAGCCCCAACCCACCAGTCGGCAGAGATTGAAGAGGATACCCAAGAATACACCGCGGAGGAGAGGCCTTTGATGTCACCCTATCAACGCCAGCCCCCGGAGACCTTTGAGGCTCACCAGATGGATGACCAATTCGACGATGAATACGATCCCGATGAACTCGAGAGTGTGACACAAGAGGAGTCACATACAGATGGTATACAGTTTCAAGAGGACTCTGGCGAAGTGACAGGGGAAATTCTCGATGGTCAAAGGGATTACATCACTGAGGATTCTCACACTGAATTGACTCAACAGACAGCCAATTACCAACACTATCCTGACACAGTTCAAGAAACCGATTCCTATTACGCGGGCGTTGAGGACAACCTCCAACCGGTGGTTGGTGAGGGTGCATATATTCAAGGTGAGTAATCAAATGAGATTTAATCTAATTATTTCATCAAATATCGAAGCACAGAAATTGGAATTAATGCTGGCGATGCTGACTATTCTGGTGGTGGAAACAATTATTGTGCAGCGCGTAAAATCAATTGTGGCTTCCTTCTTCTCATTTTCCCCGCACAGTTTAAATTTTCGGCAAATTTCCACTTCTGCTCTCTGTGTGCACTTTCAGACGCATCATTTGCCGCTCAGGGTGACTACATGCCTGACAACGTTGAACCTCAGAGCGACTCATCGTCAACACCGGCGGCGCAAGTGTTGACTCAAGACACAATGGTGGAGCAGAGCGAATCATCCTATCAACAATTCATTAGCCCCGATGCCACTGCTCAGCCAGACACGTACCTGGACAGCGGTTTCACAGCTCAGGCTGAGTACTTGGGCGCGCCGCAGCAGCAGCAGCAGGAATTCGGCCCTAATGAAGTGTACCCGGCCAGTGAGTACCAGTACGAGGGGGCGGCAATCAATCAGCAGCCGGCGGAGTATGTGAACTATGACGTCACGGGTGCAGCTCAGGAGTACGATCCCAATCAGGGCATGGTGGCTTATGAGCAGAATTATGCGACATACGACGGACAGGATGTCCATTATCCTGCCGCTGGAACAATGCAGGAGGGCTACGAGCAGGGTTATTCAGATGTAAATTACGTGGAGGCCGGCGGTGGGGACTATGCGGGCGCGGACGCGGGACAGGGCTACGAGCAGGGCCGTGAGGGGGTGTACATGAGTGAGGCGCCGCAGGAGCAAATTTACCCAAACTTCCAGAACAATCAATACGGCCAGCAGGAAGAGCCGGGCGATTACTACAACTTGAGCGAACAACCAGTGGCATCTAATCAAGAGGCCGGCTCTGTGCAAACCCTTCAGGCGGAAAATGCAAATCAGGAAGCCACCTCACTCCCCACAACATACTCCGATGACTCAGCCACCTTCGCCCCCCAGCAGCCACTGGCCGAGCCCGAGGACACCAAAGTGGCCAAGAGCAACTTCTTGGACAGCAGCAGCAGCAGCGAGTCTGAGAGGAGGCCAAAAGTGAAGTTCGCAGATGAGGTGCAAAAGGCAGCAGTCAACGATGAGAGCGACTTTGACTTCTCATCGCACAGAGATGATAAATAAAATTATGTGAACTCGTCCAATAGACACAAACACCTGTAGACATTTCAGAATTCACGCTTCAATTGCAGCTGCATCCACATTGACTTTGTTGCTGAAGCATTCCCTCTTTTCCTTGACAATAAATGGCCAGACAAAGGAGTATCCTTTTCGTTTGATTTACATCTGCTGAGACATGAAAAGGTGCTGATGAAGTGAAGTTAACAATTGCTTTGTTCAGAGCAATTTGTCTAACTGATTTTCATAGAATATATTTTTCATCGAATATGACCCAAAACCGCAAACTTTTCCCAGTATAGTTATGACTTTTTAATTACCAGTTGTATCTCACGTACACACGAGGGAGGAAAATACTTTTCTATGGTTGCAATGATAATAGTTTTACTGCTTTTCTCTGGGTGAATTGTGCTGTTATATACCTTACGACTTCCTCAAGACTTGCTAAGCCATGGAATTTTTCCATGTAATTCATTACACGAGTGCGATTATACATACATAATGTGGGTCATTCGGATATACTTTTCCCGCAATTATTTTTCAACTGAAATGTATTATTGAATTTAATGATGTGTTTCTTCAACTTGATTGCATTTTTGCAACTTCTCAACTTTCCTACGCAATTAGATTCATTAATTTCATCACAAATGAGAGCTAATGAATTGAAATAAATTTATATTTATCGAGAAATTTGTGGGAGTTTTTGATGAAGCGCTATTTCAAATTTCAACCCCCTTTAATCTGGGAAAATAATGGAAAATGTTTATGGATTTATAACATATTGAAATTCGGCCGTAAAATAATTACATTTCTGTGTGCTCAGTGAGAACTATAATGTAGATAATGAAAATAGTGCTCTATTCGTCGAAACATGTTGATGTTTTTCCGCAATATCAGTAATAATTAATCAAAAATATCCTTGATTTAAAAGCATCAACATGGAGGATTATCAAGTTATTTCCATCAATTAACCCACATCTCACAGCCGCGCAATGTGAATTGAATAAATCCCGTGAAATTGGAGAAAAAACAACACTATTGCAGAGCTTTAAGTGATGGAAAATTCTCTGTCTGCTGGTGACTTAAGGAAAATCAAACTCAGTCTCTGATTCCTCAAATTCCTGCAGCTTAGAAGGGTGCAATTTGCAGGGTGAGTTGCAAAAGCTCATGAGAGTTTATGAGTGAGTAAAAAGCTTGGATCATTAAAAGTTTCACTCCGTTTATTTAGAATACATTCATTGGCGCTGCAAATCGCTCATGTTTTCATAGTTTTATGGTAATATGGATTGCATGGAAAAGTGTGCAAACATGCCGAATTCTGGTCAGATTTTATCCTCGTTAATTTTCCTCAAAACAAATGCAAAGGGAAAAAAGAGGAGCGTGTTTTTATCAATTTATATGTAAATTTTGACTAAAACAACAGCAAAATATTTTATAGTACTTTTCAGCCAAACTCTTGATTCTCTACGCTTTTTTTCCCACAATTCCTCAAATGAATTATTTGGAGTGATGCTGAAGATTAAAAAAAAATTCTATTTGTACTCTCATTGTCAACCCCTTTTCCTGTCACCGAAAAGCACAGTGACAGAATTTATGGCAATAACAAGCACATTTCGCATTTAGTGATAAAAATTGGCGCGACAATGAAATATATTTCTTCACTTTCTGGTAAAATTTTTCATTTAAAAAATTAATGACATGAAAACTACTCGTGCAGTTGGTTTCTGCGCGATAAAACCACATCAAAAGACAATAAATGGACTTTTCTTTTTTTTTAATAACCCTTCGTGCTCAGAGGCACTGAATGGCTGGAGAAAATATGCAATTGTAGAAAAAGGTTGAATGAGCACAAAGTAAACTCTAATCCCCTTTCTTTTATGCCAATAACTCTTCAGGTTGCACAACGACTGAATGAGATATGAAATTGTGAGATTACATTGCATTCTGTCTCATCGTGGAGGATTATTCAATTATCTTTTTCTCATTCATTCCCCAGATTGAGTCAATATTGACGGTAAAAGTTGATCATCGGAAGAGAAACCCTTTATTACCACACTTTTCTCCAATTCTTCACTTTTCATCAATAGTTAATTTCGTTTAAAATCTCCGTGGAGCAACATTGTTGAATTTCCTTGGAAGTTTGTCTTCAAATCCTTCCTTACCTTCAGTTTCACCGTGAGTTTCCACGTTGAATTGAAACTTGGAAGAGTTCTCATGAGGAAAATGTGGAAATTTTCCTCCAGAGAAATACACTTTCTTAATCAGACATCAACTGATATGCACTTTACGTTATATTCAGTTCACTTGATTGGAAATTTAATAACAATTCACCATATTAATATAATTAAAATTTTAATGACATGAACTTAATTGACTTCATCACGAGTTCTTTAGTGCAAAAAGAAATTGCTCCTGCTTCGTGGTAAATTCAAAATTTATCTCATCTCCAGAAGAACGGAAATTTGATTTCTGACACAACGCTTAATCAGCGCACAATTTATTTGGCTTTCATACTATGGAAAAAGCGTAAAAAGCGTCACTAAATTCCTTCTTCGTTTGCTATGCATTTTCAAATGATAAATTTATTGGATCGCTGAACAATAAATGAAGAAATATAATTCGTAGAGCAAGAATGAATGAATTTTCACAACAATTGTATTCAACGTGCGGCAAAATTCAAACTGCCACAGAGTCACAAATAAATAATAAATATGCATGTATATTTTATGGACATTGATTTTTTTTTGGTCGTGCAATGTATATTTTTCCAACATTTTATGGTATTGTGTTTAAATCGTGATAATATTTTTATATTTTTGCATTCATTGTATAATTAAGGGATCATTTTATGGATCTCTTGCAATTTCTTTACAGCCAATGAACTTTGATGAATCCAATCAATTTTATTGTTCATCAATTGCAATAAAATGCTTCGCTTTTCTGTCTCTGATCTGAGATTATTCCTTGGATTCATTCAATGCGAAGCAATTGCAGAAGAAATCAAAACAGTTCTCATAAAATTACCAAAACACGCCCTGAGCAAATCCAATTGAAGAGCAAATATGCATGAAAAACCACTCAATCGTTGACTGGCTTCTTTGAGAACTTTTAGCAAAGACTCATTGAGCTTTTTGTGAAAATTCACACATAAACTCCTGAGATCGGCCTGAAAATATGTTTAGTTGATTTTCTCTATGAGCAAAATCGCAATTGGAAAACACATTAAATTCAGCGATAGAGAGAGAGAGAAATGAAGATAATCGCTCGGCAATTGAAATGACGGAGGGAAAATTCTGGTGATCCACACTTGAGGAAGCTTTTCATGAAACTCTCTGGCGCTCTCGCGGAATTGATCACAAAAATAGATCTCAATTTTCACACACGAAGAGTTTGTGAGGAGTAAAGTCGGTGCTGTGATTTCAGTTGGATGTCAAGTTGTGAGCTTATTAGACGGACTTTTTGCCTTTTCCTCGTTAGCACAGAAATTTCCCACACACACAAACACTCGAGCATACAAAGACGATTTGAGTAGATTTAGCACTTTCCATTTCTTGGACGCGGTGAAAATCTGTGTGGTCTTTTGGAGTTTAAGTATAGTAAAGTTACAAGCGACAGAAGTCATTCTTTGTGAGTGAAAAGCTTGAGAGATGTTACAGTTGAAATTCCCCCTTGTGAAATTGAACATGTGAGTAAATTTTCCACCAGAAAAGTTTATACATTTCGTGTGCCTGTGGCGAGGAGAAGAGTCTTAAAAATACACCATCACACAGACACAAGTGGCTTCAGTGCAGTTCCTTATGTGTTGTTAATTTATATTTAAACCCAATGTGCCTGGTACGATCGAGTGGATCCGTCCGGACGCCACTCTCATCACATCCCAGCACATTTCGACTGCATTTGACGAGAGAAATACGGCTGGGAAGCTGTGCTGCCAGAAATCAACCCGCGGGGTGGCGAATTTGCCACCGCTAATTGCGCACACATCAGCAACCCTGAAGGCCAGTGTCGAAGAGCCAAAGTTGGAACGATTTCTACTCTCTTGCGCACTTTCTCTTGCTCCCCATTGTGACTTTTGCGCTATTTTTGCTGTTGATGTGAGGATTTTCAATTAAATTTTGCGGTCAGAAAACACATCCGAAAGCAAGCGAGAGAGAGAGAGAGTGAAAGACATTTTGTGTTGTGCTCCGCGCGGCGATTTGGCAGCCGGTGGAGAACACACAGGAAAAAGGGGAGCAGACAGTTTGTGGGGTACGAATGTGGAATTCGGGAAATTCGGTCACACAACACAGTGATGATGCACGCAGAGATGCAAGCTTGATGAGCTGAGAGGACGCAGACGAGATGAACACAAATCGCAAGAATATCGGACACATTCACAGAGTCCGGGAATTTGAGCTAGAAAAGGTATCACAAGAGAGTTATTTCATGAATGGGCCACAGAAAACCAGAGTTGGAAAGATGTTGATGAGAGAAACTGATAAGATTCTCAGTGAACAGCAAGAAAACTTATCCAATTAAGTGTGATGCAGAGGTTTTGAATTTATTGTATGATGTTTAGATGCCGCTTAATCAATATCATTTCACTTAATGTCACCATAAAATCCCTCTTTCCTCATTCTTTGCCAAATATATAATTTTATCGTATCTCAATGAGGCCATCAATATTAATTTCTTCCGGTCGGTTGATTTCCATACAATCTTCGGCACACAATCAACCACAAAGCAAAAGCCCCCTTTTTACCTACATTACAACCCAAGCCAATAGATTTTCCACGCTCCTACGCATCATTGCGACATAGAGAATTTATCAAATGGTTGCCAATCGATTTTGTGTGGTAATTGAAAACAAATTGGAAAACTTTCTATTTTATCTTGTCGAAGCCATCATGACAATTTTCCAACTCTGGCGCTTGGCGTCCTGCCAATGAGGACCATGTCTCTGGCATTCTCACAAAGTCTGTCTTCCCCATTCAAATTACGTTGACACTCTGTGTGATGAATCGCGGCCGAAGGTGAGCCTCGCTGATGAATTTGATATCCTGCAAATTGTCGGCGAGGGATGGTTCGGCAAGATCCTGCTGGTGGAGCACAAGGCCACGGACATGGAGATGGTACTGAAGGCACTGCCGAAGCCCTACGTCTCCCTGCGCGACTTCTATCGCGAATTCCACTTTGGGCTGCACTTGGGCGCCCACAAGAACATCGTCACCACATACGATGTGGCCTTCGAGACAGCCGGCTTCTACGTCTTCACGCAGGAGTACGCGCCACTGGGCGATCTCACGTCCAACGTCCTGGACACGGGCATCGGGGAGATCCACTCGAAGAAGGTGGCCAAGCAGATCGCCTCGGCCCTGGATTACATGCACTTCAGGTGAGGATTATATTGATCACGCGGCGCAGCTTTTCGTGCCGCTTCCGCGATGGAATCCTTCGCCAATTGCCAGAGATGCAATCACACACGTCAATCGAACTTATAGCGAAAAAGGCGTTATTAATGATGAGTCAGATTAGCTGTCTGTTGAGGTAGCCAAATATTTAAGCATGAGTCAATTAATGGCGGTCTAATTTGAAATCGGTTGACTTGCAGTCATGTCAAGTTTATAACTAATCGGAGACTTCTCGTGAATTCAATTGAATCAAATACATTGGGGCTAATCGAATGTCCTTCAAAAGCATTGACGCTCAATATTAATCGAACACAAGATCGAACTGTTCAAGATAATCAATTCTGAGAACAATTATATGTATCTCAACTCAACTATTCATATCTAATTGAATGGAATGGCTAATTACTATTTAAATCACCGAGCATAATTACCTGTTGTGGGAATTTGTAGCGACATTAGCCAAATTAAATAATCATTGCTCGTCAAGTGACTATGAATTGCATTCGGGAATCAAATTCATTGACTATGCACGGATTCAATTCAGAATAATTCATCTGACAAACATGTTTAATTTACCCCATAAGCAATGAGGCATTTGATTTTGATATATACGATCTCAAGATAATTTTGATAACACAGAAAAAAGAATTATAAATCTATGCAATGTTTCCATATTGATTCCAAAATTATAATGGATTTCTCAAATTTCCACTTGCTTTTCTGCAAGAATCTATTAAGGACAGCTTATTTGGATATTTTTTCGACCATAACCTCAAAATATCACTAAGAGATCTTCAAAAACTTCATTTGGATGCTTTCTAGATCATAAAATTGTCGATTATGATTTGCCAATGAACTCAAAATTGCTGATTCAGCATCAAAATCGTTCTGAAAGTTTTCTAAATAAACATTTTCCACGTTCAAATGACTATTTTTGAGGTTATGTTCCACTTCAATACAATTTACAGTGTTTCTTGGCACAAAAAGATCAGAATAGAGATGTTTAATGCATGAAATTGATTTCTCTGACTTGAGCATAAGAATTGATGCCCTAGAATGCGATTTATTCACTAAATCTATCCTCGATTCGTTACATAACCTAGAAAAAGATTTTTTTATTGACTTTGCGTGAAAATCGAAGGAAATCCAAAGAAAAGGGATAAATTGTCAGTAAAATAAGCACTCTGGAAAGAAATATTGTAAGTTTCTGGACATTTCTTCTGACTTTATTATCTCCCCCTTGGGCTAAACTCCGGAACGTGATGAAAAGGAAACTTTATATAAAACTCATTGCATATTGCAGTATTCATTCGAAATTACCCTGAATTGAGGGCGTTTCTGTGTTGAATGAGATTTGAATTGAAACTAAAACCATAATTCTTTACTCTGTGACTAATTAAAATGCAGCACTTTCTAAGAATTGCCTAAAACCAACAGGTTCACTACTTCTATCGTTTTAGTCGGAAAAGCCAACGCACAAATTTTCCTACATTATTCACAAGGTGCTGATTTTAGAGCAGCTCAAGCTAGATTTGTGTAAATTCATGGGAAAACTGCTTCCTTCTGCCGCCCATGAGAATATACTCCTCATGGGAGAGCGAGCAAATGTTATTAATATTTTTATTTCATCTCGTGTAAACATTCAGGCTGCAGAAGCAGCATTTCAGAGAAGCAGATATGGTATGAAAGGCATAATTCTGGGGAGTGTTTAGAAAGGTGGAAAATAATTTATGTCTCGCATGTCCTCTGGCGGCTGAAATAATTGAATATTTGTACAGGCACCACTTTATTAGGCATAATTGATTGAATCAGAGGGGATTCAATCCCAATGGCTTCATCAACTAATGCCATCCCCCTAAATGCCCAAATCGCCCCAAATAATGCTGCGTATTTGCGGCCACGAGGGACCTTTGATATGCCATCGAGCGCCCATTTACGCTCCGATGAATTTATAATCACGCGCGCGGCGCTTTGTCATGGAAAATGCAATGGAAAGTGCATTAGGAAAACTGCAAAATAATGATTCGCGTGTATTTTAGTTTCAATGAGTTTTCATCTCATTTAGCGAAGCTTTTATGCGGTGGTGTCTATTACACGTGAAAAACCGATGGTAAATTAACCAAAATATTCATGGCGTATTCATGCAGTGATTAAATTATTGCCTATTCTACGAAACGGCCACTATATTGCTTTTAAGAGCAATTAATTAGACATCGCCTTGTGTGTGCGTGTTCATATTGAATATTTCGTGTTAATTCGAGGAGGAACATTTAACACGAGCACCGAGAGTATTTTGTTCACCGAATTTAACAGTCCAGTAAAATGATTTAATGCAATTCACGCCGTTTATCAACCAAATATTTTAATCTTCTAATGTGCATGAATGACCACCGATGTAATTCCCTGAAAAACATGTACATCGGCCGGCAATGAATCAATTATGCAGAGCTTTCAATGCAGCTCGCAATAACATTTGCCAATAATACAAGTGACTCATTATTATTTCATAATTCAATAAAATCTCTCTCTCTCTCTTGCGCTTCTCAATTCCTCCAGAGACATCGTCCATCGTGACGTGAAACTGGACAACGTCCTCGTGTTCAAGTCCGACTTTTCCCGCGTGAAACTCTGTGACTTTGGCGAATCCAGGAGGATCAACGCCAGCGTTCAGCGCCGCAACGAGTGGCTGGCCTACAGTCCTCCGGAAGTCCTGGCTGTGCGCACGGACGACACTTACAAGTAAATGACTGCTTCATTCCATCACGCTTAGCAGCCCAAGACGTGTCTTATCGGCAGATTTCAACTACTTGCAGGACAAATCCATCGCATGACGTGTGGCAGTTCGCAATTGTGGTGTTTGTGTGCCTCACAGGCTGTCTTCCGTGGCAAAAAGCGGCTCAAGATGATCCTCGCTATGTGCGCTACTACGCCTGGCACACTTCCAACCTGGCATTTCCTCTCAAAAGACAACCCAAACTATTCAAACTCGTCTCGGCGCGTGCCAGCAAAATGTTCCGTAAGTTTCTGGAGCCGCGATTCGAGCGGCGACCCAAGAGCCTCAGTGAGCTTTCGAAGTTCCTTGACGATCGATGGCTGGCCAAAGGGGCTGAGAAGGAGATATCATGTAAGAAATCACTCTGTGAAAATTCATCATTTGCTAATAATTCATTATTTTCACCTCCATCTTCTCTAGCTAACGAACCTGATGAACTCTGCCCGTCGATGTACTCCTTCCACAGCAGTCCCGAGGAGAAGAACAAGCTTCTGTCCGCCTTGGCTGAGGCGGGAATTGAGACAACCGTTGATCGCGTGGCGAAGAAGGCGCGCATTCGCGACTGGATTCAATCCTCCGTGATCACAGAGGAGGACGAAGAGGAGGATGACTCAGGCACAAACACACCTTCGTCCACCATGTCCAGAACCCCTGTGGCTGGCCATGTGTCCTCGGTGAAGGCGGAGGAGCAGCAGCAGGAGCAGAAGTACAACAGCACCGTGAAGGACGCTTCGAAGAAGCACATTGATCCGCGCACGGGAATGATTCAGAACGGTCCCAGTGAAATGCGAGCTTCTGAGCAGATAATTGAAGATCAAGCTCAAGACGTCAAGAAAGAAGTCCCCAACGGTGTGAAGATGAACGGAAATCACGCTGAAGACGTTGATCGTCGCATGTCAGTCGCATCGACAGGATCAACCATGCAGACAATGGTGAATGCTCGACTAGAGATCCCCATGAAGGGTCCTAGCAACAACATAAGAACCTACAATGAGACACAAAACTACTCCTCGAGATCCCTGAAGAACAACGCCAATGATCGCGGCCCAATCTCCAAGGGAATCATGTCAACCATCAGATCATTTGCCAATGCAACCGTTCCCGAGCTGGCGAACTCCTTCGCTGCAGCTGGAAAGGGTCAGAAGGAGAAGGATCCGGAGAATGCAGCACCGACAGTCATCTCCCCAGTCGCCGTCAAGAGATCTTCCGTGCGATCTTCAGACTCGGGCGGATCACTTCTCATCAACAATTCATCTTCCTCGAAGGATCCCAGCCCCTTTGACTCTGATGACATCGAGAGTTCGCGCGGTTCCACGGGCTTTGTGAATCTTGTTGGCTCATCAACGGCAATGACATCATCCATGAAGGACACTCCATATGATCGCGTGGTGCCTAAACAGAAGAAGAAATGACCTCTTCCCCATTTTTGACTCATATAAATAATCCCAGATCATCAATAAACACAATGTTCCAGATAAATATACACTCTTTTACTCTCAAGATCATCTTTAAAGCTGCTCAGGATCTCTTTCACACTCTCGATCGTCGACATTCTCGCTGTTCCTCTTCTCTCTCGTCGGTGGCGGATGAACACCCAGCAGATCCCTTCGTATCGTGTCCACATTCTCCTTGGACGACTCCACTTGGTCCTTCACTTTCACCTCCTCCTTGGACACATTTGGCTTCTCCTCCTTCCTCACCGGAGTCTCCACAGGAGTCTCTATTGTCGCCTTTATCGTGTCCACGAGCTTCGGCACTTCCACAGGCTTCTGCGGCACACCAGCCACCACATCCACCGTTCCATTCTTTGGCATGTTTGGCCTCCCGAGCGCCTCATCGTGCTTCAGTGATGCATTTGGCAGGAGAGCAATTGGAATAGGATTGGGGAATTTGCTTGTAATGTTCTGAATTAGTTTCTCTCGCGATCCAACATCCGGCGGTGCAATCTTCACCGGCTCCTGTGCCTTCATCTCCCCCTCAATAGGCTTCTGCTGATCCACCGCGTGATCATCAGCCTTTGGCGCTTGCAGCTTCAGACTAGATTCCTTGAGTTTCTCCGGCGCAATATTCTCCTTGGAACTCTTCTCACTGTCAATCTTCCCAGCAATCTGCTCAAGTTTCTCCATCATCTCCTTATTCTGACGCTGAATCTCATTGACAACCGCATGAAACTCATGATCGTGCTTCTTAGCATCGGCCGAATCTTCAACAGCAATCTCGTGATCCTCCTTCAAGATCGCATCGGCGTCAAGGTTTCTCTCCTTCTCCTTTGCATCACTCTTAACCACCTCTTTGGCTGCTCCTCCTGTTTCCCCAATCACAGCGGATTCCTTCACCTCATGCACAATATCTGGCGGTTTAACTTTCTCCGTGATCTTCTCTTCATCCACTTTTGCACTCTCCGGCAGTTTCAGGTCAGGAACCTTCACGTTGGGCATCTGAACGACTTCCTCCTTCGCATTCATCATGTCGAGATCATCATTGCTCATAGGACCGGATTTTTTCTCATCAATAGCACTCAAGTTGGCATAAGTTCCGAGGATCATGAGAACAAAGCCAAACACGCACATAAATTTGGCGGCAGATTTCTCCGTGGAGTCCTTCTTGGCCACTCGCTTGAAGCACAGCGCTGGGAAGATCACACAAATTGACACACCCATTGTCGATCCAATTAGTCCAATCACCAGCTCGATTGAGGGAATGAGAATGCCAATGATCAGACAAATGATCACAATCACCACTGTTAGCATTCGAAATTTCAACTCGGGAATGTAGTTCACGGCATCAATGTGATCCTGTTGAGGAGCAGAGGGACATTTAATTGATGGGGACAACAGTTGATAGATAATTTTCCTTACCTTTCTGTACAACAATGAATAGAGAGACGCTCTGCAAGGGAAGATGACCAGAGGAAAACTACAAGCCACCGAGATGACGAAGCCAATCTTGATGACATCACTTATCAGAGTGGCTGAGAAGTTCAGCAGGATGTTTCCGGCGAAGTCTTGCGTGCAAAAAGCCACGTAACCGAAGAATCCCACGAAAATGTAAACTATGCAGCACATTGCAGTGGCTGATCGCACTGTTTGGTTCATCTTCTCGAGTGACACGCCTGGCATGGTCTCAATCACCTCGAACAGCTGCATTTGACAGCCCAGAGCCATGCTGAAGATCGGAAGACACTGCATCACGCCACTCGGTTGCCACAGCAGCACGACGCTTCGCCACTCTCCCATGAGAAAAGGTGCCTTCGCCTCGGCGATCACCTTCAGCACGAGACAGAGGTAGAAGCCAATGGAAGCTGTGCTCACAGTGGCCAGACTGTCGACATTCTTGAGCAGTCCCAGCGGCAGGACGCAGAGAAGAGTCACCAGCACCATCACGTAGAGTCGCAGAAGATCTGTCTGCGGAATATTGAGCATCTTGGCGGTTATTTGTGGGCCGAGATCGCCAACAACCACATAATACGCTATGCAAGTGCCCATCAAGTAGCCGATCACGAAGAGCTCCACCATCAGCTTCCCTGACGTCCCGAAGGCGTGAAAAGCTGGCAAAGAGAAGCGATGGAAAAATCCACTTGAGCAGAGATCATAAAAGAACTAATAAATGATGAAGAATAAAGCAAAATTTTTTGGCTTTTCTACAATTTGGAGATTTTTCTGGCAACCTGACAAAATACTATCAAATTTCGTACAAAAGTTAATTCGGCGTTTGAAAAATAGCTCGAATTTTCGCAAGTTCTAAAGGTGTCACGAATAACGACTGACGCTCATAAAATGTTAATAAAGTTCTGTGCTAATCTTTATGGAATATCGCCACTGTTCATAAAATTTATTCATGAAATTTGTATTCTGAATATCGCGCTCCAATTCATTTCCTCATAAGAATGTGCTTCGGATCAGTTCAGGCAATTGGTCAGCGTCTTACCCAGAAACTCAAAGTTGCGCTTCTTCGTGAGGAAGGAGGACTTGATGAGGAAGTGGCAGGAGATCCTCGTGATGTACATGCTGCCGATCAGCAGCAGCACCGCCAACACGACGCCGCACTGAAAGAGAAGTGCAGTGATCTCACCGTCAGTGATTGTCCCGGAAGTGTGGGCAGATGAGGCTCACCTTGAGGAAGCAGAATGGCATGGCCAGTATGCCAACGCCAATAATGCTGTTGGACAGCGTTATCACGTTGGTGGTCTGTGTGCCCATGATAGCAGCTCGCACACCTCATAGGTTATCACACAAAACAGCCCTCAGAAGTGCCACGAAGAAGTCGCAGAAAAGCAGGAAAGACACCCCAGAAAAACACCTCAAACGCACATTCTTCCACGTAATCCCTGACAGCACTGACACACGCTGACACTGCGGGCGGTCGTCAAGGAGCCTTATCGCGTATCCACCTCGCTAAATTATCAAATTGCTCGCTAATAATTCTAATAAACACCGAGTGTGCAACGTCGTCAGATTGGTGACAGCTGGTGTAAACAAACACAAGGAAATGTGGGTCATTTCCAGATTCCACACAACACTCGCTCTCGCGCCTATCTTCATTCCGGAGGGGAATTCACCACTGATTGTGGCGGGAAAGAAAAATTCGCATTGTACTTTTGTCAAAAATAAATGCATTTAGAAGCTGCGATAGAAATATTTAAATATTTGAACTCATGCACGAGAGGATACATTAGGCTTTACACTTGAGACGCTCGAGGTCATACAGGACTTCCAGGACGGTGGCCATGCTCCAGGCTTGCGTCCTGCACGAGTCTCCGCAGTAACTGCCATTGGAGTTGGTCAATTCGGGGAGTCCTCGCCACGCTGAGGACTTCACTTCACTCAGATGAGCAGTCAGGATGGCCCTGATAAGACATCACAATAAATATCCTTCCACAACCTTAAGAAGCACCCAAAAACATACCATGTTTCTGCTACAGTTTCCTTCAGACAATCATTTCGGGCAGCAAAGATCAGACGAGCTCTCAAGTAGAAGCCAATTGGCCAGACCCATTCCTGCAAAAATCAAGAATACAAAGAAATAACCTTATAAGATAAGAGCCTTCTGAGGGAGAGACAAAATACTCACAGGTCCTTGATGATAATTCGCACCATGAGCCACTCTTGGATCATCAGAATCATTGGCATTATTGTAATCTCCACGATAGCCCCAATCCTCGAGATCCAGTGTCTTCATCCCTAATGGACCAAGGAGGTATTTCTTAGCCTGCTCAAGAGCCTCCCAACCGTGCTTAGCATTAAACAGTTCAGGAGCCGCAACCATTGCGATGGGAAAGTTTGGACGGAGTTGAAAGTCCTGCCAAGTGTGAGTAGCTCCGCAGGAGTCCTTGTAAATCCCCCTCTTATTAGCCAAGGGAATTTCTCCTGGTCCCACGAAGAAGTTCTTCTCAAAACTAGCCTTTATCCTATCCGCCCATTCCTTATAAGTCCAGATAGTTTTTGACCCTGAAACCAAAAAATGTTTTAAAATCTACATAAAACACTGGTATAAAAATCCTCACCATTCTTGGAGATCCTTTCGACAGAATTGTAGGGAAACTTCCCCTGAGAACTCTTCTTCTCCAGGAATCGAAGAGCAGCCATCTGAAGACCCACCAATTCAACTGCTGAACCATCTCTTGGTGTGCTGGGAATTCCTCTATTCTTCGCCTTCTCAGACGATCCCATCTTGTCCATCCATGTGCCACAATTGGCATCGTTTCCGCCAAATACGAAGCCCGTGTCTGGATGAATCCCAATCTGATTGTTGAAGCCCTTCTCCGTCATGTGAGCATCAATGGCAGGACCTGCATTCCTCTCGCGATAAATCAATCCCTGGAAGTGAACAGTCAAGGCCTCCTGAATGACATCATAGAGGAATTGATCGCATTTTCCAGCTTTCTGGGCTTCACTGTCGTCCGTGGGAAAGATTCTGGACACCTTTTCCGTCAAGATCTCCTCACCATTCGGCACTTCCTCCACATAGTACTTGATGGAGAAGAGCCACCACCAGACAGCGTCTCGACAATTGAATCTCGCCTTGTAGCCTCCATCGAGGAGATTGGGAACAAGTCCGTGTCGCAGACAGGAGCCAAAGCCCAAGATCATCAAGCGTGCTTCGTCAAATCTCCCCGTCAGAAGCATGAGTCCTCGCAGGGAGATGAACGTGTCCCTTCCCCAGCATCTCATGTAGCCCGTGGAGAAGTGAGGCAATCCCGCTGACATTGTGGAGCACTGACTTGGTGGCTTGGGTGGCTTTGTGGCCGGACTGAGAGCTGGTAGATTGGCTGATGGACACTCGGCGACGCACTGAACTGTGCCCATTGCCAGAGCCTGGACGAAGGAGCTGCCCTTCCGCACGAAATCCGACATCAGAGTCACACTCTGAGCTCTCAACAGCGCATGAAGTCCTGTGAGAATGACATCGAAGTAACTGGGAACAAGATATCGAGGCATCTCCTTAATGTCCACAGTATTCTTATCCCACCACTCGGACAACGCCTTGGTTCCTGGCCACTTGGCAAATCTGTCTCGAATGTAGTCCATCATCCAATTGCCACGACGAAGATTGTCACAGAAAGGATGTCCCAAATCATTGTAAGGCGCAATTTGGCTGAGAAGAGAGGCAAATCCTTGAGTGCCACAGTAAACCAATCGACCGAAGCCAGGAATATCGTATGTTCCCGAACCCAAGCCCATGTCCTTCTCCTCTTCGTCACACCGATAGACAGCCCTGTTCAGATCGATGAGATTGAGTTTGGACACAATCTTCTGGAGATCCGTCAAGATTTCTCCCTTCTCACAGTGGAAGACATCGACAAGATTCTGTGCTTTGGCAAAGTGAGGTCGTGTGTGCTCATGAAGGGACACTCGCACAGCCACAACAGATCCTGGCGTGAGGTTCTTAAAGTTCAATTGAGTAATGTTACCATCGTGGGTGACTTCATGACTGAAAATTGAGGATTCTTCCAAGGAAATATGCTCCATGATCTTAAGTTTGTACTCGGTCAATCCGTTGATGTACTTTTCGTCCTTTTCATACCGATAAGGACGATCAAAGGGCTTCGAAGACCTACAATAGCATGAATTAATAGAGGAAAAAATGTGTATTTTTCCAATTATTGAAACTTACTCGTGAGTAATTCCAGCTTCCAGGATGATTTCCTCAAGATGACCCTCAAATCTCAAAGGTCGCACATTTGTTGGTCCACTGTAAGGATCTGGATAGCTAAAGCTTGTGTGAGCGACCAAGATTACACTTTGACGCGTTGCCGGACAACTTCTAGTCACCGCAACAATATTGTAGTCCATTTGATCAACGAAAACCTCACTAAATCCCTTCTCAGCCAATTCACCGTGAAGAAGATTCAGCGCTTTCTTTCCAGCAATAATTCCACTCTCAGCATTCACCGTCTTTCCCCACTCTTGATACTCTCGCTCCTCATCAACAACGTGAATCTATAGTGAAGAAAGATCACAAAGGATCATGGAAAACAGTTAAGGAAAATCTCTTGCAGTGCAAACTCACGTGATGAGGAACAAGTTCGTCATATCCTCTGTTGCTCCCAGTGGCGCAGCAAGCCATGGAAACCAGTGCAGCCGAAGGAAGCAAGTCGAAGACGGAGCGCTTTTGAACAGGAGACGGATTGTCATGCGTGAGATCCAGGAAGAGAGCATGAGCTATGCACGGCGCCAGAAGTCTCTTGGGTGAGCTGAAGAATGCCCCAACAGGAGCTCCTCCGAAGCGATACACCAGACGTCCTTCCTCGTGAGAATCCCAGGCGGAAAGAGCTTCTCGGATGAGAGAAGTTATGCCCAAACGATTGACGAAGATGTTGTCCGTGTTATCGGAATTGGTGAAGAGTTCAGCGACAACATAGAGTTCAGGATTGATTTTTCTCGCGGCATCCAAGAGATATTCAGCAACCTGAGAAGTTAAGATCACTTTAGCAAAAAACACTTTAAATGTGACTGAAAGATCTCACATGAAGTGGTGTTGAGTGGCAATTGTCCAGACGAACTCCATCGAAAATCTTCGCTGTAATTTCCACGTATTTCTTCATGTGATCCCACAAATATGGACAATCCTCAGGTTTATCTCCGTACCTCAGCTTCACACTGTCACCCCAGGCGATCAACTCACGTCTGATGTAGACGTTGGCCGTTGTGGGCTGAGGACGAGCGAAATCCTGCAGAGGATCTCCATTCATAACCCACCCATTGTGAGCCATGAGGAACTTCGCCTTGTCCCCATACATAACATCCTCAATATCTTTGACGGTCTTGCAAGTAACTCCGCCGTCTGTGAAGTATCTGCAGAACAAGGGATGCTTAACACTTATCTCCTTAATCCTGGGTCCATCGTCCTGAATTCTCTCGTATCGCAGCCCTGAGAGACAATTCTCAACGGCCGAACGCAAGTGTTCAGCAATGTCTTGACGAACGGTTTCATTCAATTCCTCCAGACGCTTTCTAAAGTCCTCAGCACACTTCCGCAATCTCGTGTCCTCATCGAAGCAATCATTGCGAAAGACATTAAAGATGTCAAAGGCGCTCTCGAAGTCAATTGTGCCAGTCAAACGACCAAAAGCTGGATCTTGCTTCAGAATAATTGTCTCTCTAGACTTTGTGTCTGCTTGAGTGGCCTTTGGCGGTGGTCTTGTGCGCATTCCTTCCATGAACTTCTTCACATATTCCTCCACATTGCACTGATACAACTCGTGAATCCTCGCTTTGGCCAAGTAATTCGAGTGGAGTTGATGACGAAGAGCATTTATATGATTTTCATGATCAATTTCCACAGGAACGCCAAAGGTTTCAAGAAGCCCAGCTCCTGTGTCTGCTGAAGCCATCGCAAGGACACTGTCCAGGAGGAAAGCAGGTCTCAAGTGTGGACAAGTTGCACAGGAGTAAGTCGTTTCTGGATGCTCCTTCAGCCAAGTGGACTCATTTGCTGTGTGATTGAGAACTATGTCACAAATCGAGGCAATTCCCCATTCTTCGCGACACTTCTTCACCACCTTGGCGACTTTGTCATAGTTTGCGCCCGGTCCAAAGTCCGGATTCACCGCCAATTGATCAGACAGTGAGTATCCTGAGCGTGAACCGCCGAGCTTCTGAATGGGCGTGAAATGGAGAAGATTGTAACCACTTTCGTGGGTCACTTTCAACTTGTCCTCCCACGTTTGCAAGTGTCCAAGACACTTTGCCATGACCGTTTGGCATCGAATTGAATCCAGCGGAAGTTCGCGTTCGGCGCCTTTTCGTCCAACCTGTATTTTAGGCTCCACTTGAACGTACAGGGAATTTTCATGGACATCAGGACTATAAAAAATGAAAAATTTATTGCATATCCAACTGTTCGCTTTTCCAATCTTGACTTTTTTACCATTCTTGAAAGGTGAAGTAAAAGTGAAAAGCTCCCGCGCGATTGGCTGTGATTTCGCAATAGATATCCAAATCTGTGACTTCCACGAATGGTTTGGAGGAATCTGTGAGCTTTTTGCCGTTACTGGATTGCCACGACAAAGCTGCATAGTTTTTCCTCTCGAAATTTGCATTATCTTAGAAAGAGTTGTAAGAAGAAAATAAATAAAGTCTTGTTGTGAATGAAACGAATACAATAAAGCTTTTTCTCATGTAATTAAATCTTCATTTCAATTTCATCTCTGTGATTGTAAAACACTTTATTACCACAAATAGACGTTGAAAAAGTGAAAGAGAAACATCTCAAGAACTTTAATTTGTAGCTAAGTAAGTCAGTGCCACTGAAGTCTCGGGATTATAAGCATCGCTTAGTCGAATAGTGAATATTTCACTTACAGCAAGCAAAATGGTTAAATATATTCAAAAATTAATTTCTCAATTAATTTCACCGATTAGAAGTCTGAAAAACTTAGTGAGTTTCTCAATCTTAATCATAATAGTGATGAAAATCAATTTCTACACCAATTTTTCATGGATTTTCCAGTTTCGTTTTGCCACGTTCACCGAAATGTGTATCATCACAATTTTACTGAGTCTCACTTTTTTGGTCTCTGTGTGTTTTCCACTTTCCGCGGTAGTGTTTGCAGAAGTTGTTGGAATAATAATGGATCGCACAACTTCAAATACGACAAAAATCACCACTGTTTTACTGCCAATGTTTGGCGGTGGAAGATTTCTGACAAACGCCACCAATTCTGAAATTGCTTCAGCTCTAAATGAGGACGTTTGGGCACACTTCTATATCTGTGCATTGCTAGTTGCAATGATCGTGATTGTCCTCTCAACGACTCTCTACACAATTAATCTCTTGGCCTTAAAGCAAACTGTGAGAATTAAGCAAAAATTCCTAAAATCAATTCTCAGTCAAGACATGACTTGGTTTGACAGCAAAACATCTTTGGATTTTGCCAGTGATATTACAACGAATGTTAACTTGATAAAAGAAGCAATCAGTGAGAAATTGGTGATTGCATGGTTCTTAGTATCAGCCTTCATTTTTGGCATTATAATCGCCTTCACATTTGGATGGCAATTGACTCTAGCAATCGCAGGAATTTACACAGTAATTTTGGTTGCACTTTCCATCTATGTGGGAAAATCCGAAAAGCGCCTGAGTGAGAAGGAAGTTGAAAGCTACTCAGAAGCAGGATTGATCGCTGAAGAAGTTTTCAGTTCAATTAGAACTGTTGTTGCCTTTGGTGGAGAAGATAAAGAGTCCCAAAGATATGCAGAAAGTCTCAAGATTGCTGATAAATCAAGTCTTCAGAAGAGTTTCTTCTCCGGACTGCAAAGTGGAATTATGTGGTTTCTCGTGTTTGCCTCCTTTGGATCAGCTTTCTTCTATGGAATACATCTCATGATAGGAGAATTCAATCTACCGGAAGTGGAGAAAACCTACTATATAATATCAATAGTGACAATCGTAACCAGCATGACTAATTTATCGCAGTTTCTATCATTTGCTGTGCCCAATTTCGAGACAATTGCATCGGCATGTGGAGTTTCGCAGCATATCTATGATGTCATTGATCAGAGATCAGCAATTGATCCTTTCAGCAAAACAGGACTCATGAGCAGCAATTTGAGAAGCAATATTGAGTTTAGAAATGTCAATTTTCATTATCCATCAAGAAGTGATATTCAAGTTTTGAAAGGAATCAGTTTCTCTGCCGAACATGGCCAAAAGGTAGCCTTGGCAGGACGTTCAGGATGTGGAAAATCTACTTGTTTGCAACTTCTTCAGCGATTTTACGATCCAATTGCGGTAAAAATGTATCAAAATGCATTTTTCACATACAATAATAATTTGTCTTTCCAGGGAGAAATCCTCATTGATGGTGTTAACATCAAGGATATCAACATTTCCCACCTCAGATCCTTAATAGGAGTGGTTGCCCAAGAACCTGTACTTTTCTCAACGACCATTGCGGAGAACATTCGTTTCGGACAGCCAGAAGCCACTCAAGAAGACATCGTGAAAGCGGCTTTGGTTGCAAATTGCCACAACTTCATTGTGAATTTGTCTAAAGGATATGAGACGCTGGTTGGCGAGAATGGGGCTCAATTGTCGGGTGGACAGAAGCAAAGGATCGCTATTGCAAGAGCAATTGTGAGAAATCCAAAAATCCTCCTTCTCGACGAAGCCACGTCAGCTTTAGACGCACAATCTGAAACAATTGTCCAGGAAGCTCTGGACAAGGCATCGGAAGGACGAACAACTCTGATTGTCTCTCATCGTTTGTCTGCTGTGAGAAAAGCCGATCTAATAGTTGTCATTGATCAGGGATTAATTGTTGAGAAGGGAACTCATGAGGAGCTGATGAATCTAAACGGACACTATTGCTACTTAAGGACACTCACTCGCCAAGTCATTGAGTCAAATGCCGTCGAAAGGGAAAAAGAGGAATTTGAGTTTGAAGAACTTCCAAACAGTTTCACAAGCGAATCAAATGGCGAAGATATTGAAGACATTGAAGTGGATGAATTTCACAAGGAAAAGAAGGGAAAAGTGTTGACTCAACTCATGAGAATGACCTTAAAAGATTGGAAATTACTATTGATTGGCTACATATGTTCAGTAATTGTGGGTTCTTCCTTTCCCATCAGCGGAATTCTCTGTGCAGAATACTTCAAAGCATTCCAAACTAACGACATCAGCAGAATTAGTGATGTCGCGAAATATGGCTTGATTGGATTCATCGCAGTTGCGACAATTACTGGTTTAGCAGCTGTTGTTCAAGCCTTTGTCTTAAGTAAAGCCGGCATTCGATTAACATCCCAACTGAGAGTCAAATATTTCCAACATGCATTGAAACAGGAAATGTCTTGGTTTGATAAGCCAAGAAATGCCGTTGGCGCCTTAACAGTTCGCCTGTCGACAGATTGCGCCAACGTTCAAGGAGCCACAGGAATTCGCATATCCGGAATCCTTCAGGCAACGTCTTCACTCATAATTGGCGTCATCATAGGACTCTTTGTCCTATGGAAATTGGCCTTAATCATTTCACTGAGTCTACCTTTGCTCATGTTTCTGGGAATATTTGAATCTCTCTATTCAAAATCAAGTGCAGCAAATGAGAGAAAAGCCATGGAAAATGCTTCTAGAATCGCAACAGAAGCCATTAGAAACATCAAAACTGTAGCTTCGCTGGGTTTGGAGAGTGAAATTCTTCGCAGATTTGCTCAAGAAGTCGCTGAAGCTGAACGAGCAGCTGAGAAAAGCACAAGATATCGAGGATTACTTTACAGCTTGAATTTCTCAATTTGCTTCTTAGCTTACGGTTATGCTTTCCTTTCTGTGCCGTCGTTGCTGTCAGATGACGGAATTGACTTTGTTGATGCTATATTGTAAGGACTCTTTGCAAAAATAACGTCAAAATTATTCAAATCGACCTAAAATTCATATATTTTCAGGGTTATCGAAACTATCATTTACGCAACGTGGATGTTGGGAATTGTTCTTAACACTGCTCCTAATGTAAACGAAGCAATTTCCTCTGCAATGAATATCATGAATTTCTTGAACAAATCAACCAAAGATTCCCAACAACTTGAGACTCATAAGCAAGAAATTTCGTCTGCTTCTGTTGATTACAAACACGTAAAGTTTCGTTATCCATCAAGACCAGAAACGGAGATCCTGAAAGACTTGACTTTCAAGATAGATCCTGGCAAGACTGTGGCTTTGGTTGGATCATCAGGATGTGGAAAATCTACCTGTCTTCAATTGCTTCTAAGATTCTACGAACCGAATGACGGAAGTGTGGAAATGGATGGAAAATCTCTCAAATACTACACTTTTAACAACTTGCGAATGCATCTTGGCCTAGTTTCGCAAGAACCTGTGCTTTTTAATCGCACCATTGGAGAAAATATCGCCTATGGAGCCAACTACAGGACAGTTTTTAAGGATGAAATCATTTCTGCAGCCAAAGAAGCCAGAATTCACCATGAATTCATTGCTAAATTGCCAATGGTAAGATTTCTAGCTCAATTTCGGAAGTGTGATTAACTCAAACACTCTTTTTCAGGGATACGACACTCCTTTAGGGCCAAGAGGTGCTCATTTGTCTGGTGGACAGAAGCAGCGCATTGCCATTGCCAGGGCTCTCATCAGGCGCCCTAAGATCCTTCTCCTGGACGAAGCCACGTCCGCTCTGGACGCAGAGAGTGAACAATCAGTTCAGGAGACTCTCAACAGAGCAAGTGCGAACAGAACTTGCATTATCGTGACACACAGACTCTCTTCAATACGCAACGCTGATCTTATTTGTGTTCTCGATCGCGGAGAGATCTCTGAAATGGGTTCTCATGACGAACTCATGAGCGCAGGTGGAGTTTATTCGAGATTGTATAAGTCCTTCGCTTGAGTAAACAGCAATCATCAGACTATAATTAGTGCACACAAACATTCCTGCTTACCTTTGGCGGGATAATTGCAGAACAGCGCAATGTGTCTGCCAAGGAGATTCGGTCCAGGAACAATGTGCAGAATTGCTCCTCTCTTGAGCCTGAAGAGAGTTCCTTGCTGGTTCTCACCATGCGATATGGCTAAACTCAGAACATCTTGACGCCCCATTCTGACCTCAATCTGGCGGGAAAACAACACGCGTTAGAAGGAAAACCAGCGAGAGATCAGGGCCAGAGATTTTTCAATATTTCACTTAAGTAACTCCAGTCAAGAGTCACCTCGGAAATTCACTGGAATTCTGCACTTTTTATGCACCACACAAGTAGGAAATCGTAAAATCTGACAATTCCAACTCCTTGGCGGGGTTTTTCCTGTGTGAAAGTGGCGGAAAAAAGGCTTTTTCACCACGAATTCTCCGATCCCCAAGGTGACCTCTGGGCTGTCAGTTTTCACTTTACTTTTAGAGCTGCGACTTTGGCGCCGGTTCTTGTGTGACTGACTCTCTCGCCGCTGATAAATCCCCACCAGAGCCAGCAAAAAAACCCGCTCTCGGCCTAGAGAAGCGAGAGCGCGAGTGTTGTGGGAAATCAGGGGGGCATTCACACATGTTGTGACGTTGGGGAAAGAGCGAATTATAATTGTGGCGCACGCGCGAAGCCCAAAAATTCACGTGCTCGTGCGAAAATCATAGCAAAAACGCTTCGGAAACAAGAGTCAGGAGGGATTTCCGATGTTTGCCATGAATGATTTCGGCCACAGGTGGACGTCGTGACGTCAGATGTTTGCCAAGGAGCTTTAAGACTTGTTATTTTCATGGCTTTCCGTGCATTCTACAGAAAAAGGCATTTCAACATTAACTGATAACAGCTAATTAGCCAGCAAAATTGACAGAGACAAAACAAGGTCCGAAAATAAATATTCCGCAGAGTTGCATAAAGTTGAGTGTTGCTGATAAGAAAAAGCTCTTTGTCAATCTCGTCTTCAAATAGAACTTCAAATGCCAGGGATGAAAAAATATGCAAATTTTACTGAAATCTTGACTGAAATATTCTGAACAAAAATGAAGACTTTATTCTTGTCTCTTCAGCGTCAAAAAGTCATCATTCTCTGTTTTGTCAGACAGCACACTTTGGGATTTTTCCATTAAGGATTACAGTGCGATGAATATAAAACCACAAATTGAACTTTTTTTTCTTCATATGTAACTCAATTCTAAATTTTTATTTCATAGTTCATAAACACTTCACAAACATTCTCAAGGCAAACGAGAAGTAAATTGTGTCGCATAATTGAGAAATATTGCTTCCTAAATAATTGCTGGTCGGCTAAATTAATATCCTAAGAATTTGTACCGAAATGCCAATTAAGATTCTCTAAAAATGAGCTACTTACTATCTAAATATATTGCAATGATTTGCTGCTTAAAATGCCCAAAATGTTCGACTAAGTAAAAAAAAATTCAACTAAAAATTCCATAAGCTAAAAGATCGTGTAAATAAATAAATTATCCAAAATAAAGATCAGAAAATTACATTGTTTCATCTCCGTATTTTTGTGTCCTCATTTCATGTACAAATTTCACTTTTCCTCCCCCCAATTTCTCAAGGCAATCATTAAGTCTGCATTGTCCAACATCCTCACGTGTTAATTACCCCTTTAACAGACCACACAAAAAATATACTCTTGGCGTCAACAATTACGCTACTGTGCAAATCTCTTTGAAATCTTCCACCTCTCAGCCTTTGTCGGCGACTTAGACAAGACCGCAAGACATTCAGTTAGCAAAGGAGAGCAAAAAAGATGGAAAAGACCCAGCAGAAGCGAAAGCTTGTGGGGATTTCTCGAGAGGAAAGGTTTCTCTTCGCCTTATTTGGATGCATCGTCAGAGTTGACCAGCGGTTGAATATCCTCATTTGCCGTCTGGCCGTCCGCGGAGCTCGAGACGTCCTTCAGCTCAATTCCCTTGTCCAGAGAATCGTTGTCGAAGGAGTACGATCGGGTCATCTTGAAGGCTTTCTCCGCCCTTTCGTTCTTAGTGGTGTAAACCAAAGCCACTGGTCGACCTGCAACTCAAACAAGCAATCTCATTAGAGTCTTCTGTTCGAGGAATAAGCCAAGGGGGAGATAATTTGGTCAGAAGCAAGGTCAGAAGTTTGGGAATTGTTCAAAAACTTCCATTATTCCTTTCCTCAGTCCTTTTTTACTGCCCAATCATCGCGATTCATTAGATTTATTGTGAGTTTCACGCAGAATCAATCATAAAAATCTTTTTCTAGGTTATTTAATCAATCAAGGACAGATTTAGTGAATAATTTGCATTCAAGTATAACAATTCTCACTTGTTATCAGCATAATTAAGCGTTTGCATGTAATAAAGTTCGCTATTCTCAATCTTTCATTCCAAAAACACTGCAAATTGTGCAAAGATTGAACATAACCTCAAAAATACTGATTTGGACCCAGAAAATGTTCTTTTGGGAAACTTTTTGCTCGATTTTGACCGTGAATAATCAATTTTGAGTTCCTTGACAAATCATAAGAGATGATTTTGTGATCTGAAAGCTTTCAAAATGAGTCATTCAACAACCTTTTAGTGATAATTTTGAGGTTATGGTCAGAAAAATACCCGAAAAAGCTGTTATAATTCGATTCCTACAGAAATATCGGATGGAAACTTAGAAGATTTATTTTAATTTGAGAATTAATGAGGAATAAGCGAAGGTATTTGATCAAGCTTTACCTGGCGCTGCAGAGGTAATCTTCCCGGTGGATCCCGATGATCCCAGCCTCTTCTCGCCAACGTACTCAATATTGACGGGAATGTCACCCTTGAAGGACAACTTCTTCTCCGATTTCACACTCCCGCGCGGCTTCAGGATCGGCTCTCGACGCACAACTAGTGGCGAAGCTGACCAACTGGATGTGGGCGAGGACTTTCCATCTACAAGAAAGCACCAGTAATCTCTTAACAAACTCATCACTTGCCGCAATGCTTTGGATAAATCGATACTCATTTGCATTGAAAAGGCTCATGTGCAGCTGTTTTTAGTAGACGCAGTAGCGGCAGCAACAACAGCAGCTAAAAGCCCAGTGCAAAAGCAGATAAAAGTCTTGAGCAAAACTTTGCGATAATGCTTTGGACGCTTTTCAAACGCTTTCACGGTGCTGAATTAGCCAAAAGGGGGTTGATTAATAAGGCGCAAACAAAGACAAAATCACAACACAAACAATGTTCAGTGGCGAATTCCGTGGTGGGTTTTATTAAGGTGCCTTTTTTTTGAACGGTGCTCATCATTGCTCTTCTCAAACATATGGAATAAACAAAATGTCAGTTTTTCTTCAAATTCTCTTAACATTATTTCTCTCCAATTCAAACAAATAATTGCACAATTGAGTTAATTTTGCTTTATTAATTTCAATTATATATATATATTAAATTTTGGTATAATTTCTTCATCTACAGCATCGCATTTTGTCAAATTTCTACACTTCCTTTCATGCATTTATTACAAGAAACATTATATTTGAACACTAAAATATAGATATATTATTCCAATACATTGTAATAAATATAAAGCATCGCTCTTTCTGTCGCATATGAATAAATGATTTTTTTTTCTTTAGCTTCAACAGTGTTTCTATCGTCCACGTGGTGCATTTTTAAATTCCGAACAACACACAATTCCCTCTTTTTTTTATTTAATCATGTGTCTGAATGCATTCTGCACTCGCGACAATGCTCCTCATGGTGTGTAATTAATGATATTCCATAGATTCGAAATGCATATGAAGTGTGTGCCAGTGAGAAAATTCACTTTTATGCATGAGTTTGGCGCTTGTGTTGAGCTTGAAGCTCATAAATAAATCGCGATATTCAAATTAATCAAAGGTGTTTTAGCGGCTTTTTCTCACTCACTAAATATACATAATCTCTTCAGTTGGTGCAACAATTAATCACTCTCTGTATAACACTTTTTATTACTCCATTCAATTGTTAAATTGTAAAGTGTTGTAAATCAACACGGAATAAGTGAAAAAGAGAACACAACAACAACCGCGAAACTCCTTCGAGTGGCTCAAAATCACAATTATAAAGTGGTCATAAATGCAAAACTTCATCATCTGCAATCAATTCTCTCTCTCAGATGTTAAGAACATTTTCACACACACACACACACACACAGATTTTATGGCTTTTCATTTAATTGCGACATTTGTCTGGTCGGTGGCGAAAAAAAGTGCGAATGGACCCATTAAACAGTCACATATGTAAATATAAACACAGCTAAAATAGCTTATAAATCACCAAACGAATTACCCATTAAACACTCCTATTAAAATTAGATGATTTTTACTCTTAATCTCTTCAACAAGCGCTGCACACGCAATATTACAACGCCACAACATTTGTGGGAAAGTTTTGTGGAGTTTCTCCTGGCCAAAATTCGCATTTGGTATGTAAATTTGGCGGAAATAGTTTGAAATTGCACTATTTTGAGGAAATTAAAACAATATTGAGAGATTCAATCAGCCAAAAATTTGTACACGTAATTTACAAACTTCACCGTAAAGTCTGTAAAACGCACGAATGTCAAGGTTTATTGATCACACGTTATTATTCATTTGTGAATAATGACGGGAATATTCTGTATTATTTGACCACACATTTTCTTATTATTCATATTTGAACCACTCAATTGAGCATCGAAACATTAATGATTAAATTTCTCTTCTTATCTTTTTCTCAACCACTGTGAATCTTCAATCAATTTATCATTAATAAATTGATAAACACTCAATCGACAATCATTTCCTTGACAGTGCAAAACAAGAACACTGAAGTGAAACCATAAACAAAGTGTCTTTTTCTGCGCAGAAAAAGTACTGACATTAATTTACTTGATATTGCCAAAGGAAATATATAAAAAGGAGGAACTCAGCATTGCGACCGATTAAGAGACAAACAGAAAAGAGGCGGGAAAACTTGATGTGACAGAACATGAAGAAAAAGAATTGCATTCAAATCCGCATTTAAACCTAATAAATTCACTTGAGTATAATTCAAATCAATATCCTTCTTGTAATCTTATCAGCATTCTCACCTTGTAAACATTCCAAATCCAATTTATTGACATGTTCAGTGAAAAAAAAATTGTTCTGTCACGATTCATCAAATGTATAGTAATTAATATTCTATATTTGTTACACTTGATATGGAAATTAGTGTTATTTAGTTGAACTTTTCTGAGAATATTTACAAAACTTCTCTCGCTCAATTTTCTATATATACAAAAAAACAAACAATAAATTAACTTTTCTCACACAGAAAGAGTCCAAATATAAAGTTAGTTCGTTTCATCAGATCAATTATTAAAAACTGTTAATTCGTTACAATTGTTACAAATGTTAAATAAACTTTAATGAATGCAATAGCCAGCAAAATTATGAATAAAAATCGCTTAAGCTTAGAACAAAATACAAATTAAAATCATATTAATATTCATCCTAATGTTATTATCACTCATTTTTCTTTCTTAATTACTCTCTCTTTTTTTTTAGCAAAATACTACATAGAAATAATAAAATATAATCAAAACACTACTAAATTTCCTCTTTTTTTCTCATGTCTTCTCACTGGAATTTGCATCGTAAAACTTAATAATGTACAAATTAAATTCTCTCTAAAGGACAACAATTCACTTTTTTTTTGTTGAGAAGGAGAGGCGACAAAAAGAGTCGCACTGTTGTGCAAACACACAGAGATTAGAGTGGCGTATCGTCAATATTTTGCGTGAATGGTGGCGACATGACGATCACCGTGGGAACGGGATCAGTGTTATCGGTTAGATCGGCTGTGTAGGGAATCGGCGACGTGGGGATCATCACTGTGTGAACACCGCTCCCAAAGTCAGAGCCGGGCGAGCTAAATTCGAAGCTCTCCCGAATTGGGTCTAATTGGTGCATTATCTCACCTGCTGTCTGGCTCCCACCCGCGCGATCGCTGCCCACGACATCCTCAAATGCCTCCTCATTGAGTGTCTGAAGAGCGCCACAGATCATCTGCTCCTCCAGCGTCACCTGCGTGGGAAGCAAAAGCAGATTAGTCAAAACTCTCTTCACAAATCAAAATAATTAGAGTGGGAATTTCTCTAAACTCAGTTAAGCAAAATAATACTTAAAAACAACCAACAGGGTCGCAAAAACCACACGGAAAAGACACACACCTGCAACAATTCATAATCGTGCACCCTTTGCTGCTTGAAAAGATTGAATAAAATAACAGAACGTCACTCAAATTTGTCCTCTCAATTCGCGTCCCATCTTGAGAACACAAAAGTCATTCACAAGTGCCACAATCACGACGGTAAATCCCAGAGCAATTAACAATTAATGAATTGACATTCATTACCTGCTTCTCCATAATGCTCTGCGGTTTTTGGCGTGAATAGTTGGACACAGATGACGTCGGTGGTTGCTGTATATTATTTTGACTATCAGTTTTATCGTCATCCTGCACGCGTATCGCCGATGTTGGTGGATGTTTCTCCAGATTTCTCAATGTAATGATGAGCAATCTGAATATTTCCCAATGACCGAAGCTTAAATTTAGTAACTGTGAAAGAAAACCAATCCATAAAACACTAAATTCACATCAATTGTCAGAATTATAACTCACATTTTTCAACTCTTGAAGATCACAGTGCATTAAGACACGACCAGAAATGGAGTGTTGCTTCAATGCTGGAAGAAGATTATCTAAGGCAGGTCGCAGCTCATCAATTTGCTGCAGTAAATCACTGAGACCATTCACATTTAACTTTGACAGTCGGATTTGGTGCAAATTCGCCTACAAAAAGAAACAGAATAGAGTCATTCTCACCCTTTATCATCACTAATCTTTCAGGTAAACTCACAGGAACATTCGTGAGAATGTCCGCAAGGGCAGTTTGAGATGTCTCACTGGATTGTGACTGAATTTTCTTCCGAACACCCTCAACTGTGGGCACTGGTGGCGGTTTGGCTTGATATGACTGATACGTGAGGACAGGAATTGCCGGATTTGTGGCTGCAAAGATATTCTGATAAGGCGGATAAGGCTGCGGAAAGCGCGGAAGACTCGAACGAGGATTCAATGGTGCACTGGGCTTGATTGGAATGATTATTCCCTCGTCCTCCATGGCTTGTTGGTCCTCTGAAAATTGTACAACATCAAATTAGACATCATCATTCAATTTCTCCTTCACTCAAGCATCTCACCTTTGAGGACTTTTCTCAGATAAGGATCCAAATTGATTGTAAATGGTAGGAAAATTCTCAAATCAGCCACAAGAAGGTCAGATTTGTGAAGCTGCAGAAACGCATCGAGTTTCCTCTCATCGCGATCAAGCTCCAAAAGTGCTGCTGCTTCACGCAAACAACTTATCTTAGGTCTGACCCTGAAAAATGCACAGAAAACAAGTGTTTAACAAAACATCTTAAAGACAAACTCTTTAGAAGTCACTCACTTGTCATAGACCGACTGCAGAGACGTTGAATCATCCAGAGAATCACCATTTTGATCGTGCTGTAGCACAATCATGCTCGCCCTCACGGGCCATTGTTCAGTGAGATTAATCCAAGAGCTGAGGCGATACCAGCTGAAGTCAATCTGGAATGCTTTCAGCAATCTCACCGTGATGTAAATCACATTCATCAGGCGTCTCATGCTCCTCGGATTCACATCACTGAAGTAGTCATCTGTGAGGAGAATCTTCGACATGTCCAGCGTCCCCTGAGGATTTTGTCCCACCCGATGGAGATTCGATCCAATGGAACTCGCCACAGATTCTGACAAGCGTAACTTCTTCGAGCCACCACGAGAAGTTCCCGGCGGTGCTCGCAACTTCTCCTGACTCGACATAATCTCCGAGGCATTTGATAATCGCCTCGCCGAGGCTGAATGACTCAAGATTGGATCATCAGCAGCATCTGAGATATTCCTTCGATATGTCAAGGCAGTATTTTGAGCCCTCTGCACTTTCCTCAATCCCGAATTCTGCAGATACACTGGCAAATGCACGAGATTCCGAAGAAAATCATGACCACCAATTCCACCCTCTGTAAACAATCGTCGACTATTCGCCTCCGCCGCTTTGGCAATCACATGAGGATCCACAGCCAGAAGGAGGACGAAAGGTCGATTCGGCGATGACAGAAGCGTCTGAATGGCATTCAGCATTGTGAGTGTTCTCTCAGTATCACACGAATCCAGTGCATCAACCACTCCAACAAGACGACTCTGTTGCCCAGTAAATGCATCCAAGCACTGAAAAAAGAGAGCAATAAAATCAGTCAATAAAACCCATTCAATGTGTTCCGGAAGAAACATCAATTATTATACCCTTATCATGTCCGCCATGAGGGAAACCTCAGCTCCTAATGCTGTCAGGGACGAATGATCGGCGGATGTCATGGCTTTCTTCAGTTGTCGTCCTTGGGAAAAGAAGAGTGCCCGCAGAGCCTTCGCCCACGAGTGTAAATTCCCCACAAATCCCACCAGCAACACCGATCCCAATGCATACAGAGCAATGAGGATTCCATCGTTGTGTTCAGCATCGAGATTGCTGAGATAGAGAATTAGTAGTGCCATTCCGGACACAGTCACGGCCAGAGCGAGCTCAAAGAGCAGAATCAGAGGCATGCAGCACATCCTTCGCCATCGCCAGTGACTCGAGGAGGAGTGTTTTGGTCGGAAGGCACGAAAGAGACGCGTCGGCAGTGATCCGTAGTGAGTTTCTATGGCCTCAAATAGGGATGCTAGCATATGACCAACGGCTCCTTCACCACTGGGCGCTGCACTGCTGGCTTCGGCGAAGTGGAAGCGCACCGGCATTGCGTGAGGATCACCCTGAGTGCCTGGTGGATGACAGAAGGCCACTTGCATGATCAGGCTGAGACGTCCAATTCGCTTCATCAGTCCATGGTGGAATGAATAGGCCCAAGACACATCGTAGCGTCGACTGGCAAACTTAATGGCAATAATTGCGGTGTAGATGAGCACCAGAGAACCACCCGCCGCCGACAATCCCCACACGTAGGACCAACAGCTGAGGCCCACAACGATGCCCAACAGCAGACAAATGTGCAGGCACACGGTGAAAAGCAACCACGGCGCTTTGATGGGCGGTTCAGCCCACTGTCGAGCAAAACTCTTCATTTCATCCCTCAATTTTGCCAGCAGAAAGCTCTTGCCGCTGCCCCACTTTGCATACAGACCCACTGTGATGGGAGTGGTGAGAGTGGGCTCACTGAGAACATCCGCCAATGCTGATGAGTACAATTCATAGCCTAGCATTCCCTCCGAATCTTCATTGGTATTCAATGGTCGTGCCCCAAAAACCTGTCCAAGAATTGTCTTCTGATGCACCGTATCCAATCCATAAGGCGTCTCACCAGACTTATTGGCTCGATAGAGTAATTTGCTGTTCTTTGGATTGCGCAGCAGAGCCTCAACAATAGCCTTTGATCTCGCCCTCATTGCAATGTGAAGACAAGTATCTCCTCTCCTATCAACAGTGCTCACTTTTGCCTTCTTCTCCAGCAACATGTGCACAATGTCCAGATGGCGATTTCTTACAGCCTTCAGCAATGGAGTATCCCCATCTTTCGTCGCCAACTCCACATCCGGATTCGAGGAGAGCAAGAGCTTCACAATAGCCGTGTGACCTTTCTCCACTGCTGTGTAAAGTGCCGTCTTTCGCTCCTTTCCCTGTATATCTATATCCACATGACGCTTTAGGAGCGCCTCCACCACACCTCTGTGGCCCCCCTTCACTGCATGGATCAGAGGAGTGTCACCAGCCCGATCTTGAATGTTCACATAAGCTCCGGCCGCAATCAGTGCCGACGCTGTGTCTTGCAATCCCTCACGACACGCTATCGACAGCGCCGTGAGTCCATCCTTGTCCAAGGCATTCACATTGGGCCTCTTCTCCAGCAGCAGCGTCACACACTCCTGATGCCCACCAGCCACGGAGACAAGGAGTGGCGTCCATGAGTACATCCCGGCTGTGTCCACATTGGCTCCCGCCTTCAGCAGAGTGTCCACAATATCGGCATTTCCCTTCCGGCACGCCCACACCAGCGCCGTCGTCCCATACTTGTCACCCACATTCACCTTGGCTCCGCGCTGCACCAGCAACTCCACAATCTCCTTGTGCCCCCGTCCCGCCGCCCACAGCAGCGGACCCAGGTGATAATTCCCGTGCGCATGCACATCAGCGCCGCGCTGCAGCAGCACAGCCACGACATCCGTGTGACCCTTGTAGGAGCTCCACATCAGCGCCGACCATCCACCCATGTCCCGATGCTCCTGATTCGCATCGTGCTCCAGCAGCAGCTGCACCACCTCCACATGACCCTCCTTGGCGGCACTCAGCAGTGGCGTCCAGTTGTCCACATCTTCAGCCTAAGCAAATTGATCGATTGCTAAATGCTTATGTGTGAATAAAACTATGATTCTCACCTGAACATCCGCTCCGCGAGCAATCAACTCCCGGACGAAGGAAACCATGCCCCTTGCAGAGCACACCATAAGTATCGTCGTCTGATTCTCATCTCGATCATCCACCGGCAGATGTCGAGTGTCCAGGAGTGTCTTGAGTCCCTGCAAGTCATTGGAGTCCACATACTGAAGCAGTGCCCTGTAGCCAAAGGCCCCCATCGACTCACACCGATTGAGAGTCTGCAATCAGATGAAGATCCACACATTAATTACCGCATTAATCCCAATTGACGTCAAGCGGAGATTATGGCTACTTTATTCACTACGTGGTTGGTATTTATCTCGGAAATTTATCCATGAATCAACGCATGTCAACTACTGAAATAAACCAAAAATTCTTAATGAACCACACATTGGGAAGTTTAAAGTAAGAAAAAGGAGAACTAATTAACTGATTCATTTCCTTTACCGCAAAAAAACTTGAATTGAATGATCTTTATTATTCGCACGTACTGGATGATTTGCAGGGAATTTCTCTTACAAAAAAAAGAGTGTTAATTTATCTTGGAAATCTCAAAATACCAACCACGGTGACCTCTTTGATCAGCCAAAAACACTCTCAAATTCGAAATCAGCAAAACACTTCCAAGAATCACTTAAATCCTAATATATATATATATATATTTTAAAGCTTTTCACCACATTTCACCATCTCTACGCATTGAAATAGATTTAGCAAATAAATAATTCCATACAAAATAGAGGCACAACTATTCTACATGGTGAAAATATCAACCTCTAATTGGGTTATGACTTTACCTGATCCACCAGGTTATTTATCAACTTATTCTCTACAGAATTAGCACATTTTATCATTTTGTGAAATTGTTAATTACACTTTTTGTAGCCTTTCCTAATCACACAAGGACAAAAATTTACATACAGCAGGAAATTTCACACAGAGTTCAATTCCCCATCTAAACATGTCTCACTCTTTCTGCTTAAAATGTCACACATCGCGCGCGATCATGTCTCTCTTTTTTTGTATATCTTCGTTGCAGCAATGGGGAATTCCCCCATGAAAGGGCCATTAAGTGAAAACCCAGAGATTCCCGCAAATTACATGCGCGAGATTCAACATGCATAAAAGCGTGTGAGATGGAGTTACGGAAAGTCAAAATAAAAAATAAAAAACCACCGTGTCGTGTATCAAAATGGTTATAGAGAGAGAGAGATGGAGAGGAAACAAGACTTGTCATCGTCCACAGGGCACTTGTCACACACATTTTCATTCACTATGGCGAAGCACATTTGAGATGAAGAAATGCAGAGACTCCTTTTTGGACAATTTCCTCTTCTATTTATAAACCAACCTGCAATTTGTGGTGCTTTTTAAAAGCAACACAAAACTCGTTTCATCGACATGGAATTCAGGTGTATTATATCAAAAACGGTTTTGAAATTTTGTACACATATCCGAAGAGGAGGCCATCAAGAGAGTCATCTCGAAAAAAAGCCAACCATCGAACCACGTACATCGCCTCAGAGAAGGCCTTTAAAGAATTCAATGAAGATGCGCGCGCGCGCGTTTCTCGTTCACATCTTTTTCAAATGCTTCAAATTCTTCTATATTAAAAGGTTTTATTGCGCAATTTTTTTTTTTTCGCTACACTCATTTAGATAAAATAATAATTTTTGTAAAGCTCGAATAGTTGAATGTGTCACCGAAGCTATCAAATTCAATACTATATTGGGAAAATGTCGAGGCTATATTACATGCAAAATGACGTAGTGTGACGACATGATGACTTTATCGATAAAATTGCCGTTTTTCGGCTTTTTTTCTTCTTCTTCTCTCCTCAAAATGCTGAAAAGGTGTGACAGAAATATTTATAGATAAATAAAGTTTCAATTGTAAGTACCTCCTCCCAAGGAGACTTCAAATCACCTCAGAAAAGCATTAACACCATCACCAAGAGAGTCATTTTTCAAGCAGTTTTCTTCCATCACATTATTTGCTGCCTTAGCAAGAAAACTAAATTATCCAAAGCTTCCAATTGAAAAAATGCTTGCAAAAATGCTTGACAAATTACTTTAGATCTCGATGGTCGCAATCTGTGCAACTTCAATCGGGAAACACTTAAAATTAACTCCTCAAACGGTCCAGATAATTGTCTCATTTTTGCGAGTGTTTTTTTTTCTACTCTTCGTTTCAATACGTTTTCTCTACATAAGACACTCGACGACGTGTTGTGACTCCCAAAGACTCCTAATGGATCCTAAATGTTGATTTCCGTATGTTGGAATGGCAAATATCACAGATTTTTCTTTCTTTCAGCCAATATAGTTTGAAGCACAAAACAACAATTCAACACTGCGCCTAAACTATCTTGAGCATTTTTAGCCCGAAAAAAAATGCACAACATTAAAATGCAATGTTGACTATTGATGATCGTCTTCAGGGCATAATAGACCCCCGATCGAATGGTTTGGAATTGATTCACCAAGTGCACTGTGTGTATAAAATTGCCCCACACAGGGTCATTCACCACAATATCTCTTCTCCTTTCTTAATTCCTTATATATTTTGTTCTTATTGTTCACTCCGCACTGTCTTCTCTTCTCTCCAATTCTTTCAATTTCACTCCTCCTTTTGCACTTCTCGCGGGATTATTGATGGGCCATCTTATATCTTCAGGTGGGTTTACTTTGCATAAATAAACCTCCAGACACGAACCCCCGAAAAACACATCAAATGCACTCTCTCACAAACTGCACACACATATGGCAAAAGAAGAAGAAAAAAACTGTGAGGACACTCAAGTCCGTGTGAGAATCTTTGAATCCAATTGATTACAGAAGATATTCGTCTCAATAATTCGCCACAACACTCTGTTTTTTCCCCAGTTCAACACGTCTTCGTGGGCAATAGGAGATGATCTTCTGCCCTAGATAGTCCTCAAAGGATTCACACGCACACACACCGCAATTGACACACTCAAGCGCACTCAAGACGGACACAGAGAGAGAGAGCTCTGGACAGAGTGCGTTTGGCGGGACAGCAGTCGCGAGTTTGCCAATCTTTCCAGCAGCAAGAATCAGATGCGACTGAGGAAACTCACTCAGTCAATCCATGGATTTAACGCGCGATCGCGCACGAGATCACCAACAACAGCCACCCAGTTTGTGTGTGCCTTTCCCGCCGCGGCACGCTACCTCTTTTGTCACCCGACTGTGAGAAATTCCCCGTGAGACGATCTCAGGTGGACTGATTTAGTGTTTGTCGATCAACGCGATCTATTTACCTATATACTCTCTCCCCTCAATTTACTGCGTCACTCACAATTTTTGCCCACACCAACACACACTCACGATCTCATCCCTTCCCCACTCTGACGAAGCGACCATCAGCATGAGCAAAGTTGATCATAAACCATATTATATAGAATCATTTAAATATTTTACAGTCAGACAAATCTGTCGCAATAGATCCTTTGTTGCTTGTATTGACTCTTATTCAAAATAGGCAGAACTTGCGCGCGGATTTCACTACAAGAATTCCAACCTTTGCGAATATTTTAATTAATATAATATTGCAACATATGATAATACTTCTCTTTCAATATTCAATATCATGATAACATATACACACGAGTCATGTCTGCAAGAAACTCCCTCTGATTTATGACATTTTTATTGCGACTTGTGTGCCGTTCTCGACTTGAATTACACTCTTTTCTTGTTTCCTGGCGAAAAAATAAACTTCCGAACAACACAATCCAGTGAAAAAGGTCAATTTTCATCGCGCGCATAAAAATCCATGAAAAAAAAACCAATCAACCTGTCGCCCAAGTCGCAAATTGCCCAACATCTTCTAACCAAAATATATGCAAAAATCATAAGAAGATTTTCAGTTTATCACATTTGAGAATTCCATCAACCCAACATCTTCACACCTGAAACAAGTATTCAAAATGTTGCGACAGCGCCAACCTGTAGTTTCCACTATCAGAACCATCATCATCATCAGACATTACAGAGCGGAAAAGCATGGACTTCCATGACGTAAAAGCTCGCGGTCAACTTGTGAATCGCCGTGGAATGAACTTTACATCTCTAAAGTGTAATTCGTCTATGTTTTTTGTCCTCTCACAACGCCGTGACGTTGTGAGAATTTTGCAGAGCAACATGCAAAAAAGGCATTCTAATAACGAGTGACCTTTTGGGAATTCAACGACCATATGATATGGACAAAAAACGAAAAAATAAAAATCCAAACATTTGCGGCAAAAAAATGGAAGAATTATCAATGAAAACGTCGCAGAGATCGGAAGTTTAGCGCGCATGGCGTTGAGAATAGAGAAGGAGGCGTCAAAACTAGCAGATTGCTCGATATTAGAACATAAGAATTTCAGAATTCTCACGAAACACCTTCGCCTATTGCATCATATTTAACATCAAAACATAATATGCAAATTATAGAACTTCCAAATATCCTAGAGAAATATATTCAGGCCTAAAAAGCCTCAAGACAGCTGAAGAATTTTGATTCCTTGTATTGACCTTTAAAAGCCTTTAAATTTTGAGAATTAATTTTTCACGTCAAATAATATGTATAATCAGATGTTTAAAATTTCCATAACAAGAGCTTAGAATTCTTTTTTTGGTAAATTTAATCAAGGAAAATAAATAAATTTGATAACATTTAAGTCTGTAATCTTCAGATATGAAAATATTCTTTGTTTACGTGTCATTCTTGGCTGAATTTTATCATAACAAAAAGTTCTTTATTATTTTTCCTAAAAACCTCTGTTTATCAACGTAATCAAGCTTAATACCAATGCAAAATCATACATTTTATCGATGCATTTTAGAAATTGTCTCTTTAACCCTCCAACACAAATCGAGATTCGTTAATCCAAATAAGCAAATTTCGTGACTTTGGACACAAGTCAAGTGTATACTAATTCATGATTATTTCCTACTTTTTTTACCCCCTCAGTCGATATCCAAAAAATGCGTTGTCGTCTCTTTGAGGCATTTTTTGTCGGTCTGGCGCCTCAACACATTCAGTCACACATTGAGGTGTGATTTAACTGCCATTTCGGCATACATGTGCGCGCATTTCGATATCATTTCAGGTCATTCTCTCTCTTTCTCGGCGAGATTCGCGCTCGTAAAATCGATGAGAGAAAGCTTCGGCGGCAAGATCGCAAAATTATAAGAAGTAAAAAAAAAACATCCATATTGAATAAGATTGCCAAAAATATCATATAAATTAATATGTGTCGCTTTGGGATTTCCCACACCATTAAGCGTATCACAGGAATTGTAATCTTCGCAAATCGCGCGCGCCATGAGACAGATGCTTCACGAAAATATGCAAAAATCACTCTGAGTCATAAATATGGATTGTTAAGCTTGTGGAAATCCACTCTGGGAAATTCATGCTAAACACACAAAAAAGCATAAATAAAAAGTCCACAAAACACGCACATTATATATAGTTAATTCTTCATACCAGCCAGCCAGCCAGCATGAATTTATTCATGAGACTCTCGTATTTATCACACAAAACCAGAAATTTATGCCATATCCATTGATTGGAAGTCGCAATGCTTAGAAGCTATACACACATATTTTTTTTCGCCAATTCTTCTTCCAACCTCAAATTTTCCATCAACACCATCAGCTCAAGTTTCCCCACTTTTGCCAATCCGCCCACTCCCAAAGCTCAACCATCCAGTTTTATCATCTCCTCGCTGTCCAATGAGAGGAAATTGGATGGCAGATATTTTTTAGTGGTTAAAGTGGCAGCGCGCTCGAAGAAGAAGAAGAGTCAGTTATGTGAGTTTTGCGAAGAAAGGTAACAGGAGAAAAAAAACACCACATCAACAGCGCTGGAGCGAAGAAATGGCGCCAAGTCATCTTCATTCTCCACCTCCTGCACCGCCAATCAGCGCACCACCAGCGAGCGCAGCTAAAAGATGGTCATTGCGAAGCAACAAACTTGTCAGTGGCGAAAAAGTGGCGCAAAATACCGTGCTGGTATGTGAGTGTCTCCGGAGTCCAAAACTGAAACGCTTGTGTGGTGAGTGTTCGTGATCAGCACCGGTGACAATCAGACTGGGTATCTGGAAGCTGGAGATGCTGTGGCGTCCCAGACGGAGATTCAGGAACGTCGTCCCAGACGACGTGGGACTGGCCGATCTCTGGCTCGTCACTGAGTCCTGAGACGCTCTGCGACCCATGAACATCGGCCGCAGATTGAATGACGGCCGCAGCAGTGACGTGGACTCCGTGATCCTCTGCTCAGCACCATCACCACCACCTCGATCACTGGCATCAGCGCCACCTCCGCCCGCGCCATCGCCATGATCACTGCCCTGGTCACTGCCATCGCCATGCAGGCCCCTCACCAAAGCCGCAATGTGCTCATACTCACTCGAATTCATCGCGTGCTCTCTCTCTAAAAGCAAGGTAAACCCTTTCTTGCCCAACTCCATCGACAACATCACAAGAATACATAGTCACTACATCGAATAACATCTCTCCATACGCCAAAAATACACATAATCACTCTCCTCTCTCAAGTGTGGTGTTACGAGCCAAATCGATTAAGAGATTTATGGGATTTCCGGCATAATGAGATGCACGTGTGTCTTTTAATAGACAACACACATCTTTGAAAGCCGCCTTTTCATGTGCAAGAAATGTCAGGTGCAGAGTTTGAACTTCACGCACTGCAGTTGAAGAAAATCACAAAATGTCGAGCATTTAAAGTTAATCCTTGATTAACTTTAAAGACCTTCCATCAAAAACTTCTCATTATAAAAATCACCTGTTTTTCACTGTGACAATTGTGAGTCAAAATAATGAAATTTTCAAGAATATCACGTTCCAACAGACGATCAACAGGTGATTTCTTTGTCAATAAACTTTTGTCATAAATTCTCAGAATTTTATTTCCCAGACAAAACCATTTATTTATTTATTTAGAGAATCTTTCAGAGATTTATTCACCTCACTTCAACATTTCGTCCGAATTAATGATATTCAACCGACGAATCCCCCATGAAATCCACAAAAATGACTCAACTCTGTCTCTTCTTTGGACAATTTTCACGATAATCACAATCATCATGACGAGATATATATATATAATATTGCTGTTGTACATGCAATCAGAAAGAGTAAATGATATATGCATACTGATAAAATCAATGCCAACTTGGAAGTGCCATTCCTTGGATTGTGTAATGCCTCTCAGAGAGTTTTTTCTCTTTATCATTTATCAAGACAAGAATGGGAGAAAGATAACTTTTTTTTTTCCTTTACCTGATCCAAGGATATTCTTAGTCCTTTAAGCATGGTTGAATGAGAAATATATACTCGTTAACTTCACAACAACTACTCGTTTCGCGCACACTTTTAGCATTCGACTAAACACCAAAGTGGGTTGATTGTCTTATTTAAGGTAGCTAAAGACTGTATTTACAATAATATTTTTCTTTCTCATTTCGCCTTTCCCTCTCACACACGACAAAAGTCATAAACACGTGTTGTATTGCAAGAGAGGGTGGAAGTTCGCACTATCTTAAAATTTATTTACTTATTAGACTTGATTTTATCTTTGGTAAATATTAAGAATGATATTTAATATCTCTCCCGGTGTAATTAAATCTCCCTGTCTCTGTTTATTCTGTGCAGATTACACTAAAAAGAAAAATATTTTTAAACCACCGAGTCACACTTCCACTCTGACGTAAAACACAGCGCGAAATTTTTTCACTGGAAGAACAAGAGGAAAAAAAAGCAATGGAATCGCGACTGAAGAAGCACATAAGTGGCCACAGTGTTTAATTATATCAAATAAACATTCTATCTAACAACAATTCTAAGGCATGATATCTTTTTCCACAAACAACACCTCATCTTAATTGGAGTATAAAGCGATTAAATAATCGCGAAAATGTGTGATAAAAATCGCAAAGTGAGATCACATTAGGAGAGTCAATTAGAAACACCGCAACTGAACACTTGAGTCTGTCTTTTTTCCACCTTATTCGCCATCGCGGCACAAAGTCCGTGTCCAAAGAGGGTGGAAAAATGGGCACCAAGGAAAGTCCAATTGCAGTCAATTTCTGTGCACTTGAGGAGGCCAAAGAAGACACACAGACACTTCCATGCAATTGGACTGGATGTTGGTGACTGAAGGCGACTCTCTTCCAAGTCAACTTGTAGAGTATAGAATTTTCCCTGGGGAAATAGTCGTCAAAGCGTCATCACGAGTGTCTGTCGTCAACTTTTATCTCTCCATAGTACCATTATCTGTCATTCTCTCTTTCTCTCACACTCGAAGACTATCGCGTGTTTCAGCCTCATTGCCACCCCTTCGCGCCTTGCAGCGCATCTCAATTCTGCAAACCTCACCGAATAAAAGCACAATGCGACAAGTCATTTGCTAATTAACAATTATTCTCATCATTCTAAATTTCCATTCAGAAAAAAACACACACAAAAGATCAAGAAACAACCACTGAAAATCTACAACTTCTCATTCCTTTCCCCCCGCGAAACAGGAGTGAAAATCAATATTTGCACTGTTCTTTTTAACACAGAGATTCTTTGTATCTCACACACAATTTCTTCTCCGCAAAATTTATCCTCCAATGTTTGCATAGACAGTATATTTGTTTCTGTCTTAAGAGGCAAATGAGTGGCACAATTGAGTGTCGTCTGCAAAACAAATCAATTTATAATCAATTTGCAGATCAACCTTGTACCGAAATTCACAACAAATCTCATGATTATCATAATTTTAATTAACTCTCAAAATTAGGACATTAGAAATAAATTCTATGTCAATGTTTTGTTGAGATAAACTTTAGAAAATTTAAACATTTCATTATGTCTCACAAACTATTCTATATTGTTCAACCAATTCTGACAACTTTAAAAAAGCCCGCATTTCCCAAATGGAACAATTGAAATTCATTAAAATAACCCACAATGGTTTGAAAATGGAAAGTGAATCTCACAAGCACACTTTTATGTACTGTAAAACATCAAATGAAGAGTTAATTAAACATGTGACAATTAATGATATTGGTCAATTTCTCAAAAATATCATAAATTTATGAATGAAAATCGATTTTAGAGCAATTTTAAAGACTTAAATTTGTTCTCTTCTTTCTCCTCTTTGCACATCAATTTTCTGGTGGTGCCACCAGAGTTGATAGTCGTCGGGACTTTAGCCTCAATTCACAATCATCGCAATTTATATTGACGCTTAGCAATTATTGGTGTCGTTATGTAATTTTTGTACACTGTCTCATCATCTTCCTCGCTCGCTCTCTCGATCACTTTTCAGTGAAGTTATCTTGCGAAAAAAGCACATAATTGAGTGATAATTACACTAATTATAGATTAGAGTGGAATCAAGTGTTCTTCTCCTTCAATATACCTTTAAAAAAAAAAAACGTCAACCACCCAATCAACACTGCCTCTCGTGTATATCACGACACACACGCAATAAGAAAACACTGTGATCTCTTTCTTCTTCTCTCTCTCAAAGGTTGTCAATTGAGATCGAGGGAATTGATAATCTAACATTAGAAACATGTTTATAAACTCTGATAACAGTAATTGCTCTTGAAGTGTCTTTTGAAGTTCAGCTTTGAACACACTCTTGATAAAATTGTATTGTTGAAAAATTAATCTACTATTTGGATTAGTGAATTGTCAAAAACTTCTTAATATCATCAAACAAAAACCTCCCTAAAAATTCCACAACACTTTTCTCTACGTCAAAACAGTCTCTAAATGTATGTTCAAATAGTGACAAACACTTGCTCCAACATTTCTACTCTCGAGTGTAAATATATTCCGTCTGCCATTGAGAAGTCTGTGATATCAGAGAAGAGCTTCAAAAGGGGGAAATGTAATTTTTACCGGAAAATTACCTGTGCCGAGTGGGACTTCTTGTTCCGCCTGAAGCTGCCCAAGTAGGAGGAAAAGGTGCTACCGTAGAAATTGCCCTGATCATGGCTTGTCGACGGTGTTGTCAGTGGATTAAGTGGTGACAATTCAGAGACTGTTCTCACAACTCTCGGTCTCTTTTTGCTACTCTTATCCAGTAGATTTGTACGGAAACTCATATTGTTCACGGGCACACAAACACACAGAGATATTGGTTGAAGAAAAAAAAGTGTGCCAAATTGTCATGCAAAAAGAAGGAAAGGATAAGAGTGACTTGTTCAAAATATCACTCGCGATAGCACAGAAAATGCGGGACGTATTTTATAAGGTATTTTTGTATTATATTGCTGAATTGATCGGTGAAACAGCACTCGAGAGCGTGATGAGCAACAAAAACACAATGATTCCTCAGCGTGGACACAAAATGAAAATATCACTCGAGAGACACTAACCAATTGATCAGAGAATCACGAATCAATCATGCCCGGCAATAAGTCACGAAAAATTCTGTGTAATTTATGCCAATTGATTGTTCAGTGTCAAGGAGACAATTCTTGACGGAACCGCCGCGCTGTCTCACTCTCATTCGATTGCTCTCTTCCTTTCACTCTGCGCCAAAGTCTCGTCTCTTGCGGCCAATCCAGAGAGATGGGGATGTCGAGGAGCACCTCAGTGTCACATTCGACTGACTGATGATAGATCCACTTTAGCAAACTCACACTCTAGCAAAACTCCCGCACAGTGTGTCACTTCTCCTCCTGACATTGACCCAAAGACGCCCAACTGTGCGACAAGTCCCTGACTGACTCTCTCTCTCTCTCTCTGCACCACTAATGCATTCTGCCACCCATCAGATGCTCTCCTCCCGAACGCCCAGCATTACTCTCATGCACTCGCTAATCGCAAAAATATCACGAAATGCGATGGAATGACAGAAAAGTGATAAATCATTATCTACCAGACTAACACTTGCAATTACTATCATTTCTCTCTCTCACTCACTCTCTCACCATCAGTTCCACTTACACACAGAAAAATATCCATTGTCGCCCCAGCAAATTTCCCCGGCAGAATGAAAAGCTCCATGCGCCACCCTCAGAGGCATTCCTCCGTGCCGGCATAAAAGAATTTTTATGCTCGGCAGTAATGCACAGAAATAGAACCACAGTATTCAACCTTATCACAGCCATCATTTCAATAAAATCACATATTTTACGCAATGCAAAAGAATGCTAATGCCATAGAACAATAACTCTATATATAAAGACTATTTCCTGTGAGACACACGATTGAGGTGGAAATTTTTCCACCCTCATCAGCTCACACAGAGATTGATAAGCAAGCTGTCTTCTTTATTGTTATAATATCAGCTAACATACAAAAAGGTGCGCTGTCATTCGGTGTCAGATAATCGGATTGGGAAACACTTTATATTTAATGTTCGGTGTTGAAAAGAATTTGCGTTAAGATTTCAAGGGGCGTGAAGAAAGGTGAAAATTCCAAATAATTCTTGTTATCTTAGAGAGATTCATTAAATATCATTTAAAGTAAGAGATTTCTAAGAAATACACAGAATATTTAAGTTAGAATTTTTCTTTGGCTCTGAATATTGACAAAAATCATCGGCTTTTTAACTAAATCTAGCTAAAAAATCTTATGTAAATCACTTCTAAAGTGCATTTTGACCTCAAAACCGTAAAAATACCTTAAAATCAATAATTCAAGTGCTAATATTGCTCTGTAATATTTATTTTCTGAAAAATATGGCAAAATTTATAGAAAAGATGAAAATATTACTTTACAAAGTCGATTTTTAATAGCTTTTGAGTACATTTTATCCAAACAAGTTCTAAAAATCAACTTTTCATACTTTATACAAATTTGTCTCTAAAGTTTTTAAACGATTTATTTACTGTTTAAGGATATTTTAGAAAAATTCTGAAAATCTAATGAATGACTGCAATTTTTAAAAAATTTTCTCAAAAATAATGTTAAATGTAAACGATAAATAGTCAACTTTTCATCATTTACACCTCAAAGCATGAAAATTGTTAACATTTTCGAATTACGTATGGTGAAAACCATGATAAATCGACTTTTAGATATTTTTCTATTCACTCGTCGATTTGCACTTTGGCACAAAAATGCTAAAAGAATGTTTCTAAAATCAAAGTCTGTCGCTAGATTCTCAAAATTCCTGCAAAATTCTACAGTTGATGTTATAAAGCTGAGAGATATTTGAAAAATTTCGCCTTTATCGCGCGCGGTTCGTGGAAAAAATTCAAGGTATTCAGTGCAAAAACGTAAACAGCTGATCGTGCCAAGAATACACTTCTGGCCCAATTTTGCTCCACTGATAAATGCTTCACACTTTTATCATCTTTTATGCCAAAAGATTTGCCCCAACATGAGAAAATCTGGCTCAGAATTGAGCCGATACGAGAAGTGTCAGGTGCGAAATTAACACATCAGCCGGCAAAAAGTGAGCTTCAAACTGATCTTTAAACTCACAATGACGCGCTATAATTGAGTTAGTCATTAAATGGGCGGTTTTTCGCAGAATTCCTCTGAATTCTTTCCACGTGGACAGAAATGTTTGTATGCGCAAATTCTATGAATTTGCATCATCGGCAAACAGGTTGAATGAGTAGTTTTCCTCCAATTGAAATACATCAATAATAAACACAGTCTTTGCGCGTTCATTGCCAAGGAAACTCTCTTTCGCGACAACAACCTTGAGTGGCAAATCCAAGCTAAATCCACTGTACAAATGTTCTGCGCTGTATCCACGTGGCTCTATGTAAAAAAGAGACACTTCTTGCAAAAAAGAAGTGCTGAGTAAATGATAAGCAAAAACCACACGCGATCACCAAGAAAAAAAAGAGTAAATATTTTAAAAGTGGCGCGACTATTTTACTTATTGTGCGACTTCCGACCAAATCTGAGACGGAGATTGTTTGAAAATCATCAATATTTGACTATATTGAGCTTCACATCCTTCTTTACGAGGATGAGAAGGATACAATCCGAATCAAATCTTATTGTTGTCTTTCTTGTAAGACGTGTAAAACACCCGTAAAATCGCCACAATTTGACTCGTATTTCATCCCAGTTGGTTTGCATAAATTCTCACTCTCAGTAGGCCTGTAAACAAAAAGTCGTTGGCTCTCTATGATTGAGAAAAAAACAGCGAATTTTCCACACTTCGAGGAGAGTGACTAATCCCAAGGAGTTTGTCGACACAATTGCCTCTATTAATAGCTTCTGTATGTACAATAAATTTGATAAGAAGTCTTTCTCATAAAGTCCTCAAATCTTAACTTAAGAGACTCACCCACCTCGTGTCCCTGCGAGATTTAACACCTCCTCAGCGCCTCCAATGTCCTGCGACCAGTGAAAATTGGTGGAAAATTGAAAAATCTACACTGTAATGCACTCGCCAACGCCACCAGGGGCGCTCTCACTGCATGAAAATTGTTTCGCACAGTCACTTTTTTCATTGAACAATTTTCCCCCAACTTTTCACACTTCCCACCAAATCCTCAGCACTATCCCAACACGTTGTCACTTCCTCTCTCTCATTGGTATGTTTTGAGATCAAATTAAGTACATTTTCCCCGAGAAAAAAGGCGAAAAATAAGTACACAAAACTGAACAAACTTTTATGCAAAAATCTGCATGACAATTTCAATGACAGATGACTTCGCCAGCGCCGTGTGAAGTGAGTTGCAAATCCTGTGGAAACTGGAAATTCAAATTTGGCGGTTGAGAACAATTTACAGAGTAATTCACTGAATCACAGTTTTTTCTTTAATTTTTCAATACAAAATTCACCATTCTACATGCGATTATCGAGTGCCCGCATCGCGAAATCCACATGCTTCCTTTCGCGCCATGCCTGAGTGCGAACAAAGAGAACAGGACAATCCAGGGATGAGCAATCAGTCTCCCGATCATTTCCACAGCACATTTGGCAAATCTGAAAGAAAATGTAAGAAAATTATTCTCCATCTGACTTGAATAAATCCAATAAATCCAACTCACCTTCATGACACCACAATACTTCCTCTCGAGCGTGGAAATCCTATTGTAAATGGTCAGGAGTGTCTTTTGAGGATGAATTCTGACACAGTTTACGCATATTCCATCACTTGTCTGATTCCCACATCCTGCGGCGCAACTCCTTGTAGCAAAGTACTGCGAAATTGTGCTCTTCTTCGCCTCACCAATTGCCGATGTTCTCGATTCTGACACAATTGTGGGCAGAAATGCAGCCGTTCTGGGCATATTTGTGAACCAATCATTGACATCAACTCCGATAAGGAGAAGACATCGATTGAGTGGTGGAATTATGACTTTCTGAATGTAATAGAAGGCATTTATCTTGAGTCCCTCATCCATCAGCAGATCCTTCGGACTCCGGACCAGCTTAATCAACGGCAATCCTGGCGGTCCATTGACAATCACATAAGGAACTCTTTCGCCTTTTCTCGGCTCCATTCGCGGATCACTTTGCTTCCACTTTCTTGTCAATTCCAGCGCCGGCACACAAGCGCCCGCCTTGTATCCATTCACACCTCTGAACTCCTTTGCAAACACCAACTCCTGCACATTTCCCTTCCCGCTCAGGATCTTTGTGAATTGTCGCAAAGTGTATCGCTTAATTATGCTCACATCGCGCGTCTCGAAGAGAATCTTCAGACACTTCTCCAGCATCTTCGCCACAATCGGACAACCATCGCGTCGGACAGTCTCAATGCCCTTCGCCTCGTACACAGGCTCCTTCTGTCCAGGACTCTCGTACATGTATCCCACATAGCGCTTCTTCGTCTGCAAGATGCACGGCTGATAGACTTTCTCCAGCTTCAACTTCACGGGCTTCGGATTGTCCTGCGTCACCGCGTCGACTATCTCATTGCCAATCCTGAAAGCCTCTTCGCGCGATCTTCCCGGCACCAGGACGAATAGGGAGTCTGTGTCGCCGTAAACCACTCGCACGCGCCACTTCTCATTCGCCTCCACCAGCGCAATGGCTCTTTGGAGTGTCTCTCTTCCTTTGCTCACCACGCTGTCGCCGACTTCTACGCACGGCATCCTGCCGCTGAAGTTCGCCGCCGTGTAGCCATAAGTGACGTTCGCCATCAGCTTCAATCCCAGCTGACGCGAGTGCAGAATCCGCTGAAGACTCGGCGCTGAGTGGATCTTCATTGCCTTCTTCACCATAAAGCGCGTGTCCAGGATCTCCTTCAGCATGCGCGGCAGAACGCCTTCGCGCACTTGAGACTTCACGAACACCACGCCACAGGGAGAGATCGTGATCAAGTCACGCTGCAGGAACTTCTTCACCTGTTCAGGCGTGATTTTAAGCTGATTGGCACCAAATTCAAAGGGATCTGACCTGAAATGGGGTCAAAGAGAAGCAAATTCGAGCGAAAGAATCTTCAGAAAGAAAGTGGAATGGAAGTTGATGTGATTTAACTGTGAAAATCCCACTGATTTTCAGTCAAATTTAGGCTAAATGAATATGAATTTCACACTGTGTGAAAACATGATAAAGACCAGAATTCTAGCGATTGATGAGGATGACACTGATAAAAGATATGTTCACTCACTCTCCAAGATGCTCAACTCTTCCCAGACACGTTGAGAAGCAGTAGTTGTATCCCATCATCATGCTGGGATAGAGACTCTGAAAGTCCAGCACAATCACAGGATCCACATAGAGGCGCGATTCGGGCTCCAGGATGAGTGGCAAGTACTCAGGCGCCCTCATGTGAGCCCTCTGCTGAATGCTCGGCGACACAGAGATGAAGTTCCTCGGCTTCGCCATCCTCAGCATCATGCTCTCCACGCGGAATTGTGATCCTCGCGAGAGAACCTCGAAGAACTGAATGCCAAAGAGTTTGGCCATCTCACTGGTGCGTCCCAGCAGATCGAGTTGATCCAGGATTTCAAGAGTTCCGCGTGCCCTCAAGAGAAAGTACTGCAGCACAATCCATCGAGTTCTTGAGCTGTTCCACAGCTTCGTGAGATCTCGATAGGATCGCTTCGGATAGCGTCGATGGAGAATGTGATAGGCTATGCTCTCGAAGCTGTAGGACATCAGAGCGATCTCCTCACGCAGCAAACGCCACACATCGAGGATAATTCTGCCTGGAATCTTCAACTCTGACTCATATTCCACGCCATCGTCCTTCTCTTCATCCGTTCTCCTCACTTCCTCAGCATTCACTCTCAGTCTCGACAAGGCATTCGGCATGTTCAATCCCAGGACGAATCCTCGCTCTATTATGTATCCCCACGAGTGCATCTCAATCTCATAGCCGAGGAAAATGTCCGGATCCCAGAACTTGATCAGCTCAATGAGCTTCTCCAGCACTTGCTTCTCATCCTCCGCGTGAATGGCATTAATCTCCACGCCAGAGTGTCGCAGACCCACATCCTTGCTGAACATATCATCAATAATCACACCACTCACGTGACTCGGGCGTCTGTCGTCCGCCGGCACGTTGTTCTGCACGGCATAGAAGATCGCCACGATGCCGTCAAAGTCTGGATTCGGACAGAGATCGCCGCGCGTCAGCACGTGGCATTCCAGCGAGAAGACGGTGAGGAAGTTGTACTCAACGCACGCCTTGGCGCTCCTCATATTGCCCACATCCTGCTTGAACCCAAATGTGCCATCGATGGAACTCACATCGTGATCCGGCGAGTCACTGGACAAATTCAGGGTCTTTAGGTAGGATTTCCTCTCCATTAATTCACTAATCTATAAAACACAATAATTTCATTTATTATAATTACTTCATTCCGCCAGACTTAACTGTGGAGTAAAATGAAGATTTGAGTCTTGAGAAACAACACACGTGACACTCTGCGTGCGCACGTCACAGCGTTCGTCTCTTCACATTGTTATTTCTAAGACATCTCCGAGATTTCTTTACCAGTTTGTCAGAGATGCTGGAGTTTGTCGAGTCACACGACACTCGATGTCCATTCCTCAGTCTCGCTTTCAGTCGACAACTTCGCGTCTGTCGTCGATTTGCATACGACAATCGCTGCTTCAGGGAAGATTTCTCATCAGTCTTCATCAGCACATCCAGGGACGATGGAGAGGCCTCAATCACCTGCGACTCCTGCCCACCAAAGGGATCACTCTGGAAGCTTAGAGAGCACCGAGCCTTGCCATTGCACTCCTCAATGTCCCCAATCATCTTCTGCTTCTCCCGCTTCACCTTCACCGGACTGTCCACATCCACAGACTCCATCGTGATCCTCCCGGACACTTTCTCCCTCACACGCAGCCACGTGCGCGCCTCGGAGACACTTGGCGGCGCATCCTGAGGCTCAATTGTCTCCTCCTTCTCCGTCGCCATGAACTCCCTGATGTTCACCTTCTCTCTGTCATCGACAAACTCTCCCATTTCCGTTTGGAACTTCTTCTGTCGCCACTTCGACAATCCCTCCAAATCCTCCAGACAACTGATGAACTCCTCACAAATGCTGAGTGTATTTCCCTTCACCTGCAACACCATCTGACCCACTTCTCTGCGTCCACTCTGATCCACAGGATCACTGAAGAAGGGCTGCGGATAGCTGAACTCCTCAATTCCGTATTCATGCATCGTCTCTCGCACTGTGTCCGGATGTGGTGGCGATGGCATTGGATAGATCTTCACCACAACATTATCCGCCGTCTCATCCACAGATTCCGACGCCATGACATCCGTGAGAATGGCTTCCTGCTCCCTCGCAAAGGCGCTCAACTCATCATCCGTCGAATCCACACACATTGTCAAATCGTAGAAACTCGTCATGCCATCGTCATCCTCCATCTCCTGACCATCAATCACACCGCCATAATACTCAGTCGGAATATCACTCGCTCTGTAGTAATTCACATTCGACGGTCCGGCGATGGGGAAGAAATTGTGCTCAACATCGTACATGTGAGCCTTGTCATTGGACGATCGCTTCTTCTCACAGCTCTTCTCCTTCACCTCCTCTTCCTCCTCCTCCTCCTCCTCGCCATTGGACAGCTTCGAAATGTCTCCCATGGCGAGTCTCTCCACAGACACAACTGGTGACTTATTGATAATATCCTTAAACTCATCCGTGAGATCCGATTTAACCGTCGAAGACTCCATTTCAGGCTTCTTCTCACTCGAATCCACAACATCTGAGATGTCCACTCGCGTGAGAAGCACCGAACAATCCTTAATTCCATGCTTCTCCATCAGATTGGCATAGTTTTTGGGCGGTGAGAACTCTAATCGTTCATTTAGAGCTCTCTTCACATCGAGATCCTTGTGCGATCGCTTTGGTGTGACATCCAGTGATTGCCTTAAACATCCATTAACAATCACAATATTATTGAATTTGAGCTTCTTCTTCGGCGGATCACTGGCATGACCATTTGGCGGACCTGCGCTGGACGAAGGCGTCTTGAGTATGCTCTTGAACTTCACAGGAGTCACAGAATCACTCGATCGCTTCCTTTTCGATGCACCTAAAGCGGCGAAAAAGGAACACATTTAGAAGATCATCTAGATAGAGACACTAAAGAATCAAAAACTCACTCGATGGTGATGTTATAATGATATTCAATGGACTGTAGATATTTTTTCTCGGTGATCTTGTGCTCTTCCGTGAACTCTCCTTGGTAAAACTGCTTCGTCTCTTCTTCAGCAATCTCGTTGGACTCTGCTTTTGCATCTCATGCTCACCATCCAATTGTGGAATAACACCATCCATCGTCTCATTGAACACATTCAACAGATCCTCATCAAATTCATCCGCCAGATCGTCGAGATTCTCCACACGATCACATTTCTCCTGACTCTGCGTCAGCTTAATCAGCTGCACACTCATTGATCTTTGACTTGATTGACTAAGTGGTGCCAGAGTGCTGTCGAGATCAATCTCTCGATCATCACCCTCTTCCAGTTGCTCCATTATGGCCAGCAACTTGAGATCCTCCTCGTCCACTGTGAAGAAAACACACAGACAATCAGAATTGGCAAACAAGCGCAGAATCTACAAAACTTACACGTCTCATCTCGACTTTGTGATCGCCTTTCCAGACTTAAAACTACACTTTCGTCCACCAGGGAGGATTCCAGAAAGCTCTTCTCACTCTCCTTTATCGGTGAGAAAGTACTTTCACGCCCAGAAACATGATCAGGAACCATTGACGCTTCTGGCAGTCTCATATCCTTCGGACAACTCGCCGGATAAACTGAATTGTTGAGGAGAATTGACAAATCGAATTTCCTCCCACTTTGTACTGAGTTTCCCGTGTCCAAAACACTCCCATCTGCATCTTCTCGCATCAATTTCCTCCTGAGAATCTCCCTAAACCGCCTGTCCGTCTCTGTGACACTGGCAAAGGGTCTCTCTTGTGACTCCGGCACCTCAATCGGCGGCAAATCCTCCTCACTCATTGACTTCCTGCGGCGCAATTCATCTTCCCAAATGGCTGCAATGCCTGGATTTTGATGCTCCGATCCAGACACCCTCAAGCGCGTCCTGTTGAGAATCTCACTGGCCTGCAGATCCATTTCCACGCGCGTCGTCGCCATCCGCGGCACTCCCGCGTCTTCCTCATCTCTGTACCGAACTGTGTCACTGTTAACATGCAAGAAACTCATGCCGTAGAGATTGTAGTCGATGAAGAATTGCAGAATGTAAGGCACGTGCGATTCGTGAGCCTGGAAGACGCGCCCACAAATGGCGCCATTCTGGAGGAGATTGGCCGCCCTCTTCACCATTGTCGGATTGTAGAAGTACACCTTGAGGAACAGATGATCCTTTGCGTGATAACCGTAGAAAGGCCTGTGCAATAAATTGAGAAGAACATATGAATATGTGAAGCATGAAATTGTCATGTTTAGTTGGGAATCCCAAATTACACTGTGTTCAGGTAAAAATAGATTTATTGCGATAATTTTGGCATGAGATTTAGCATAAATAAAGCGACTCAATTGAAATTGCAGTGAAGATTTGTTAGCACATCAATATGATATCAAAGCTGTTCAGTCAATAGATAAAGATATTGATTGGGCATTCAATACACATGATCTTCTCATCATTTGAGATTCTCTGTAGCAAAAATCCGCGTTTATCTAAATCTCCCGCCAAAATAAATTCCATCAGACTGCGACCTTGCAGCATATGCTCCATGCCCTGCTCAAATATTGACAATCACGAATCTTCGCTGAGACACATTAACTCTGTGGCGACGGACTTACTTTCCTCGCACCGGCACTGCCTTGAAGACATGCTGGGCAGTGCTGGAGACTCTGCCCTGGGTCACGCTCAGCGCCTTGTCCAGCGAGTGCGTGATCTGGTAGGCGAACTGGGCAGCATCTGACTCTCGAGTTGTCTCGTCCATCGGAATGTAGAGATACGGGAAGACTCCGTGCACGTGAGCGCACACTTTCTCGCCATCCGCCGTGGAGCCGAAGATGCGCACGGTGGGCACCTGGACGACAGACGTATGAGTCACTGGTGGCCAAGGGACTGGCCAGGAAGAGAAACTCACCCGCTTCACGGTGGCGCCGCGGAACTCAGAATACGTAACATCGAGTTTGGGCACTGGAGGCGTCAAGTAGTAATCCACCGACACTATTCGCACGGAAGTCACCACATCCGTGGTCTCTGGCATCCTCTCAAGGCACTTTATGCACTGCAGCGCACACAATTTCGCGATATTTGGCAAAAACTCCTCAAATTTCTCCGAGCTGACATTTTTTCTGGCGCAGACGTCACACTGTCATCAACTGGTCGAACGAGAGTGGTAATATTATACACGTGACGCCGTATATTATGTAGGAAAACCATCTGATTCTCTGACAAAAATACTGAACACACGATATATTTCCTGTTTATATATTGTCCTGTGAAAATTGCATGAAATTGCGGTGATTTTCTGTGAAATTGTGAGAATTTCTCCAGCACACAATTTCTGGCGCCAGTCGCAGGGAGCGCTGCTCGTCCATCGCACACTCTCGTCGAAATTTCCCCTCTCTTTCGCGAGAGAGTTTTCTGTCAGTGCGAGTCCAACATTTTCTCTGTGCGTGAAAATCCTTGAATATCCAGCAGAAAACTTCCCAAAATTCCACCAGAGACAGCACACTTCACTCGTGCGAGGACCCACGGACGTGCATGTGCCATGAAGTGACGACAGGCGTGCGTGAAAGTGCGACAGTGAGGTGGATTTGCTGTGTGGAGGCAGGAAAAGTGTGTGTGTGAGTGGAAAAGCGCCCCAATGTCAAAGTTCAGCTCCCTGACCACGCAACAGCGATATCTGGAGTGCGTGATCAACATCCTGTTCGAGGAGTGCAAGGCCGTGCACGGCGAGAACAATCCGAGTGCGCTGAGAGATCGCATTAGAAGGTAGAATTTCTCCGCTGGCGCTTACTAAAAATACACTCATTCACCGTGTTTTTTGCGGCCCCCCTCTTGCCTCGGCGGCAAAAAGCGCCCTCGCGCCTGCTGAGCCCCACCAGAGTTGCGGCTGGGATTTGTCCAGATGAGGAATTTGATTGAATTGAATCAAGGTCGTCTAAAATTGGTGTTTGATTGGGAAAAAAGGGGAAAATGTCAAGGTTAAGAACCTGCACATTAGCGCCTCTGCACTTGATTCTCACAACTTGCAGTGTTTCGCAGAGTTACAGCAAAAGTAATAATCAATATGAGGAGTTTATCAATAGAAAAACAGGCAAAACAGCATGTGTTTGTGTGGAAGGAAGTTTTGAGATCACTGTCTTGTGAATGCCAAGTATATTGAAGGATTTGTAGGCCAGAAAATCTACATAAGAAACGTTCCGCAAATGTTCATTGAAAGTTCTTTGCTAAAATTAGCATCTCTTCACTTCACTGACGTGATATAAATACTTTATTGTCGAATGAATGAACTCTGTGTGCAGCAACAATAGCGCGGCGAACTCCTTATCGATTCTTTCACACCGTTACGTCCCATTTACCGCTATTTCACGCTTTCTCGCCATCGCAACTACGCGCCTCGCAGCTCTGTTCCGGAGACGGTTGAAAGTGAAAGCCTGTGTGTGTGTCTCTCCTTTTTGCAGTTTGCGCCATGAGGAGCGCCGGGAGATCGTGAAGCAGACCCGCGACGGCTGCTCGCCGCTGTTTCTGGCGTGCAAGCACGGCAATGTTCGCGTGGCGGAGCTGCTGATCACGGAGTGTGACGCGGACATCGAGCAGCGTGGTCTGTACGAGGTGCCGGAGGACAGGGCGGTGCACTGCGTGACGCCGCTGTGGTGCGCCTCCGTGTCGGGCAACATTGGCGTGGTGAAGCTGCTGATCCGCTATGGGGCGAACATCAATGCGCTGTCCGACACGGGATCCACGCCCGTGCGCAGCGCCTGCTACATGACGCACGTGGAGATCGTGCAGTACCTGGTGGAGCACGGCGCCGACATCACGAAGGGGAACTACAACGGCGGCACGTGTCTGATCAACTCCGTGCAGTCTGTGGCGCTGTGCATGTACCTGATCAGCAAGGGGGCGGACGTGAATGCGCGCGACATCCAGGACAAGACGGCGCTGCACTATGCCATCCAGGAGCACCGGCTGGAGACCACGAAGCTGCTGCTGGAGCACGGCGCGGATCCGTTCGCGAAGAGCCGCTATGGCGACGACAGTCTGCAGCTGGCGTGCCTCAAGGGGGCCCACCAGATCTTCGAGTACCTCAAGAATCGCATCAGCTACAGCGTGAGTCGCCTGGCGGAGGCGCACGAGCTCATCGGGTCCACCTTTCTCGATGAGCAGAATGAGACGCGCATCACGATCCTGCACTGGAGGCTAGCCCACCACATCAGGCAGCGGGAGTCTGTCTACATTGGTGAGTTCCTCTGGTCTCATTGAGAATGCAAGTTGATACATTGTGAAACTTCTGTTTGTCGAGAATTCTAGAGAGTTTTCCGGGATGATAAACACTATTTGAACAGGGATTTCGCAAAATCACAGCTTGTTCTTGCAATCTAGACGAAATAATCTGCAGGTTTGGGGGAATTGCAAATCATTTTCACTTAAATTGCATTAGATTCATTAGATTGAAAGTCCAAATGAAAATATAATTTGGACTTTAATTTATTTTGCTTTGATAAATCAACAAATTTCACTTCTAATCTCTTATCATGTGTAAATTGATTGCTGTGTTGAATTACACTTCTCGGATTTTTCCCAGAAATCCCAAACATCTTGTAGAATAACTTTTATTCACAGAATGTTGTTTTGCCAAGGAAAACTTTACTTCTTGGGAAAAATTCTCTTGTGAGTTTGCAGAAATTCTTGGAAGATGAATGATGTTTCTTCTCCTCAATTCTATTATTATTATTGTGCAGAGAGAGAGAGAGAGAATGTGAGAAGATTAATGGGGGAGAAATTGTTGGGTAATTCACATAATCTTATTAGTGTTTAACGGTGGAAAAAGTGGAGAAAAGCATCAATATTTGGATGATTTTATTTTGACAATAATATTTTCACTGACTCTGGTTTTTATCAGGCTATAATTTTCACGTGTGTTTTTTTTCTTTTTATTGTACCTTGAAATCGTGGCAATTTTTTTTCTTCTCTCGCTGGGTTTATATTCAAAAGAGTAAACATGTGAGAAGCGGCGGCAAGAAAGTATACGACGATTAAAAAGCATTGCCACGGTGTTATCTCGTGAAATTTATGCGATAAGATGTGAGCGAGGGGAAAAAAAAATTCTCTGTGTTTTCGTTTTCGAGGCGAAATAAAAACCGTGTCAAATGATAAGATGTCACGGAAGTTTGCTTGAATTGTGTCATCAACACTCGTGCAATTTAACAGTCGCAAATTGATGATTGTCTCATTGCAGAGAAGAAACCTGTACCACCGCCTCGTGAGGCCTTCGGCAATGCTGTGGAGTTTTCCACAATTACAGAATTGGACAATATTGCGGCCGATGTGGACAGCATGAGGATTCAGAGTCTGTTGATATGCGAAAGAGTGTTGGGAATCCATCACAAGGACACACTATTCCGTCTAATGTTCCGCGGTGCCTCGTATGCGGATTCCCTGCAGTTTCAGCGTTGCATTGATCTCTGGTGTTTGGCTCTTGAGGTGAGAGTTGAGAAGCACTCAATTCTCCATTCAGAGACTTGCATCACGGCGCAGGCGATTGTGAAACTGATGCTGGACCTCCTCGACAAGTACATTCATATGATGCCTAATGAGATTGTTGATCAGGACATCCCGCGCTTCCAAGACGTCTACAGTGTCTTTAAACTCCTCACGAAGAACATCAATGGTGAGTGAGATGCTTCCTTGTGCGAAGATTGCCTTCATTTCTCAATTAATCTCTTGCTTTTCTCTTTGCAGAATCTCGCCAGTATTTGACCATAAGACCAGTGCACAGGAAACAACAGGAGAACTTCGACAGGATGCTGAAGTGTATCACGCACTTGATCTATCTCTTGGTGACCACGGCCAAGACGGAGGTTGAGAAGCAAATGGTGCGCGTGGCGGTGACAGAACTAGTCAGGAGTAATATCAGGAGCGCCTGCACCAATGATACTCTTCTCCATTTGTCCGTGTCGCGCTTGAATGTCATCAAGAGTGGATACTTTTCCGATGACAATAATCTGACGGTGAGTTTTGTGATCGGATTTTGCCAATGAAACTCAAATATTGATCACAATTGATTAAGAAATTGGAGCTTTCTGAAAGTTTTCTGTTTTTCTGCTGGTTCTTTGACCAATTTGATCACACTGAACTGACTAAACAGTACGAAAAACAGTCGGAAAACATGTTTCAACGTCACACACAAATAGTTTGACTCAGAATTTTGCCCTAGAATATTCCTGATATTATTTATGGGTTTGTGTGTAATTTATTTTTTGGCACGAATCTGCACAAGTGTTTTTGATCTAGTGAAACACTTGCAAAGATCACGATCAATCACTCAGCCTATTGATCTGAATGCATAAGTGAATGCCACAGAGTGTGTGACGTCAAGGCGCAATCTTGTAATACAATTTGATTTATCTGTACCATCTCTGACATAGATCAGATCAGATCCGAGTGTTGGGGAGGAGCGATAGAGGCGCGATTGTTAATTGCAAATTTGATCAGTTGCCAAAGTGTGCGCGCGCGAAGATTGCGCGTGTAATTGATCTTGAACCTGTGATTGATTTCATGGGTTTTGTCGAATGATGATGATGACTTTGCATTTGTGGTGATTGTGGATCACTTTCAGGTGATCTTCCCGAGCTTAGAAGTGGTAGAGCTGCTGCTGGCGTGCGGGGCGGATGTGAATGTGAGGAATGAGTCCAAGTCGACGCCACTGCACATCGCCTCGATGCCCTACAACTTCAATGGTCGCCTGGTGCACACGCTGCTCGAGAATGGGGCGCATCTAGATCAGCCGAACAAGGCGGACGATCGCCCAATTAACATGATCTCGAGCAATCAGGGCAATGAGATATTCCTTATAAACTATATTTCACTTAAATGTCTAGCTTCCACCGTTATAACCAAGTATCGGATTCCGTACAGGAATCAAATTCCCAAGACATTAGAGATGTTTGTGAGGCAGCATGAAGCTTAAGATGAAGCTTAAGGAGATGATTAAAGAAAAAAAATTGCAGGAGTAATTGTTAAGTAGGATTCAAAATAACAATCACCTCAGTGAAATTATAATCTCTCTCTTCTCAATCTATAAATAATAATAATGATAATAGTGACAATTTTCAAGAAGGGTCGCGCGCTTGAAGAAGTCGATGTCCGCCGATTGCGCATCTTTTTAAAGGCGCCTTAGTAAAAAAATATTTAGACACACGTTATTGAATTATTAAAGAAAAAAAAGAGATGTTTATTGTTTGTTAATTGTAAATATTATATATTATATTATTACAAATAACGTAGCTCTGTGACTTCCGTTTGAGGAGCACAAGTGTAAAACAAACAAGGTCTCGTAGGGATTCTAAACAAAATATACTTGCTTAACTGAAGTAATCTGTATTCTTAAGTAGTATTGGAAGAAAAAGAAAAAACACATCTAATTATATTATAATTAATAGACTTCATTTATCTGAAGGATGCAAAATACAATAATTGTGCTAAATGGAAATCTTTTATCATGAAATTGTTTGTTAAGGATAAAATGGAGTCGAGATCACAATCCGCACACCGCGTGGAGCGCACTTTCAGTTCCGCAGGGACACAATCAGTGCCAGGATAAACAGGACAATCTCCAGGCGTTGCATGCAGCCGACATTTGTGGTGAAGCTGTCCACAATGTGGATCTTCCAGCCCATGTTGGCGTGCGTGAAGCTGTTGTAGTACACAACGTCTGGCCAGGAGGTGTTGGGCGTGATCTCGAGGATGGCCGGATCGCCGGGCTCGCAAGTGTAGTGGAGTGTTCGATTGAACTTCTTGAATGTGGGGAAGTTGTCGTCCAAGCGCCGATCCTGGTGCTCCTGATGGCGTCCTATGCACAGCGGACCGGCGGCCGTGGGCTTCGGACGACCGCGGCGCGTGAATTCCACGCCCGCCAAGACCCTGATTTCCGACTGCTTGGCGTCCGTCAGGCGATCGTAGCCGCCTTTCGGCTCATCCGTGATCACCAGTGGATGATAGTATTCCGGCGAGTGAGGATTGTTTCCACCATGAACGCGGAAAGCGTAAGTCAAACCTCGCCGGAGCCACAATTCCGGAATCATGACACCATTAATGTACCAAGCAAGACCATTGGAAACGTGTCCTGAAAGACAAAAGGAGTAAATTGATGCCTTCTAGGAGAAAAGTGCGACTCACCAGTGATTCCTTGATAGCCTCTCTTGCCTCCTGCTGGTCCCAGGACGAAAGTGAACGATCTGATGCTCCTGTCGAAGATCTGAGTCTTCTCCCAAGGATCTTTGGGCTGCGAAAGTTCACTGCGTGAGAAGCTGAAGCAATCATTGACCGGATCAGTGGAATTGAAGTGTATAATCACATCCTCTCGAGGATAGATATCGTGGAAAGCAGGTTCCTTGTTGGAATCCAATAAGCCCATCGCCCAAACGACATACATTGGCTTGTCCAGAAGGAATTCCTTATCACCAGGATCAGCTGGAAGATGATTAAGAGCCTTTTTATCCTTGCACAACTCAAGAAGTAAATCAAACTCCTTAGAACCTACATGAAATCAGGGTTCTCCGGAAGGTTATCGTATTGATTCCGTCCTCGCGAGTGAAAGTGTGCAGCTGAAAACTGTCCAAGCCTCCAACAACGTCATCTCTGCAGACGCCCTTGTTCTGCCCGAGAACTTGAACGCACTGAAAATGGATCAAGAATTTCATATTCCTGACTTTTCTCAAATCTAGGCAGACTCACAGGAGCGAGCGATGTGATGTTGTAATCCGTTGCGTATCCTCTGTATCCATCGATGTATGCCACAACGACATCGGCTCCCAGCATTTGACTCCTCTCCTCGGATCCTGACAAGCCGAAGGACATGTACTCATCGGGAAGCACTTGACCTGCTAATTCTAGGGTTATTTGTGGTCCGAACACTTCCCAAGACACTCTCAGATCCTTGTGGAGTTGTCGGCAATTCGGCAAGGCTGCAGGATGCTTGTGAATCCTAATGAGCGATGGCGGGACATTCAAATCATCCGGAATGAGGATTGATCCGAAATTCTCATTAGTCTCCAGATCATAAACACTAATCCAGTCGATGTTGAAGATGCTCATGTCACCAGGAAGCTCCAAAGTGATGGTTTCCTTGTCGTACATCCGAATGGGATCCAAGCTGAGGAAGAGAACAACATGAGTAAGTCATGAAGCTTCTGGGTTTGATGATCCTTACTATCCCAGCTCATCGGGAATCTTGTTGCCCTTGCTGGACGGCGCAGGTCCAACGCCGGCAAAGAAGTGTGTCCTCTTGCCACCTCCGGCGTAACTGAACTCAGGAATCCTGATGGTTTTGGAGTCCAGAATCTCAATGCTCTCACTGCGCACTCCGTGAGATCCTTTCGAGAAACTGCCGCCCTTCTGTGGCGCCGGTGGCTCGAAATCCTCCGGAATGTACACATCGCCGAAGTCATTCTGACTGTTGAGATCGTAGATCGCCAGCCACTTGACCTCCGTTATCTTCTTGTTGTCCGGCAGCTTGAGCGTGAAGTCCTTGTTGAAGTATCTCTCGAGGATGTTCGTCTTGCCAAATTCGTCCGGAACGATGAAGCCTTGCGGTCCGGGCCTGTTTGAGGCGCCGCTCCAGAAGAACGTGTCGGCGCCATTTCCGTCATAGTTGAAGCTCGACAGCAGGAAAGTATTTTCGTCCACCGCGTAAACGTCTCCGGATGTCTGATGATGGTAGGAATTGATCTTCCCTATGAACTTTCCCTGATACTTCTCCTCGTCTGCGCATTCTGGGAGCAGAGAAAAAAAACATCAAGGACGTTGAGATTCCTTGGAATATATTAAGATTCTTTTAGATCTATTGAGATTCCTTGAGATTCATTAGGATTCCTTGGGATTTATTGGGATTCCCTGGGATTTAAAAGAATACCTCACAGGAATCCCGTGGAATTTATAGGAATTCAAAGGAATTTCATAGTAAATATTCTTTCTCTTAAGAAAACTCTCTTAAAAATTTCGGGATAAATTGAGAATTAATCTAAGAGTCAAAAAAGACATTTTCTGCACATTTTTTTTTTATTTTTGTATGGAAATTCTGCATAAATTCTCTATAAGAAAGCAACAGGAAGTGGTGTACATGATTTAACCGTAGTATTTTCCCCTTGGCTGGGAAATAAGAGATTGGATCTTGACCTTTGGTTTCTTGAATTAATTACACCGACGCGAGCATGCGAATGATGTTAAATATCTCTCTAAATTGTTGTGTGTTTTCATTCACAAATTTCAAATTAATAGTGTGTTTATATATGAAAAGAAATTTTTCCATGATTTTCCCATTGATAATTCTCATTTGACACCATTCTTCATGTGTGTTTTATCATTGCTAAAAGTTCTCACAACTCTTCAACATCCATCATTCGCGCATAAGAAGAAAACCATAGAAGAAAGACAGAAGAAATTCATCTTGTTCCAGCTTATCAATTCTCTCATCCACAACCAAGTAATTTATTCGCGAAAATCAGGAATGTTCTACTACTTATAAATGCAGCAAAAAGCGCCAAGAGTGCAAATCGCGAGGAGAATTCAAGAGCACACGGTAAAAATTGCGGGTTTGTCGCCTCTGTGTTGGAGATTTTTCGGGGTCTCTTGTCAATCGTATTAGCGCACTAATGAATATTAAATTGCGCAAACCGGTTCCCATCGTAAATTTTGCACAATACATTAGAACCACTTTCTATTTTTTGCCATCATCTCACACATTTTTCCATCGCCTTCGCGCGACGATCCAAATTACCGCCGCGCACTTTATGCATTTCCTTCTCCCGCGCGCGCGCGCGCGCATTGAAATCTCTTTTTCCCGTTCTCGCGAGACTCTTTTGCTGCTGCCATTTGCCCAGCACAATTATAATTCCCATAAATGCCTGGGTTAATTGTTGAGAAAAAATTTCCTCTCAATTTCATTAACCTTTTGTTGTGTCTCTTTTGCTGTGCGGAAGGAGAAAGAATAAAAAGTGTCGGACGAAAAGTACGGTTGAATTTCAGTCTTCCAACCATCAACAATGTTAAGAAAGATCTGCGCAAGAAGAGACTTTCTGCCCAGGGTGAAACAGTGCTCGAAAAGCGATCGATGCGGGACCGGAATTGAAAGTAAAAATTTCATTGTGATAAATTCAAGGCGACTGAGAAAATGTCCACGTACCGACTGAATAGAAATTGCTCAGGTGGAGTACAAGAAATGCACAGCAATTGACAATTTGCAGCACTTTCGACATTGTCGCTGGCCGAAAAATCCTCCTCACAAACTCAATGAGAACCTCTTTTTCACTTGTAATTCACAACACGACACACATTTCACGCCTCACTGAGGCATTTTCTTCATCACCTCTAGAAGAACGCCCAAGAACAAGTGCGTGGAAATCCTCAGGGAAACCGAATTTGCCGCGAGCTGCCGAGAAAAAGTCTCTCAAACTGCGCCAGAGTTCGACAAGCCACTGAAACGTGAGGTTGAAGACAAGAGTCGAGTGTGTCTTCGGGATTATGAAGTTGGAGGCCTCGAGAGAGCACGGCTAGTCTTCCTTGTCTCGCGACGTGAGAAAGAGCGCCATTGGAAGGGGAGTCCGCGACTGAATCGCGTGAATTTAAGGCAGAAAACCACACAATTAGACGTGGCAGCAGCAACATTGTCTCGCCTTATGCTCATTCATGCTGACAGCGTTTCCATATATCGGAAAGAGAGGAACCCGTGAAGGCTTAAATTGGGGCAATTATTGCAGCTTTTGGCGGGTTTTTTTTTGCTGTGGCGAGAAAACGACAGTTTGTCTCAAAAACCATGTTAAAATACTGAAAATTCTGCATGAATCTGCATTGAGTTGAATGATGTTCTCGATTAGCATGAAATATATTAGATCAATTCATCAATATGCAGATCAATGGAAGTTCCATCACGAACCTCAATTTCTTCTTCCCAGACTTTGATGGAATTTTAGCCCCGTTGAACACGGAAAAGTGACCTGAAAAGTGCCACAGGCGATAGGCAAATGCCACATCTTGCTCAACGCACAATTTCAATTATGCTAATGCGAGATGAATTGCCTTTCTGCCGATAATTGCGGAAAATTGCAAACTCGTTCGCGGCCACAGCGAAAGCTTTCACTAACGATTCTCAGCATTCAAAGCTCAAGCTTTCTCACCATGTGGCGCTGATGATGGTGAAGTGTGGATTGACAGTGGCGCCACATGTACGGAACACCGGAAACACAATTTCCCCTTCGCGATTTCGGAGAAAAAGCCGTTGGAAGAGCAGAGGAAGTTTGCCGGGAAAATGGTGGGAAATTGTGGGATTTTCAGTCAATATTTTGATGATATTTTATCGTGTGAAAGCAGTGGGAAATGAGTGGATAGTTGGATGTGATTTCAGGTGATTTTCCCACTGTGCCACCATTCCCCCACTCCGGACGCATTCACTTCCCCACACGCTCTCTCGCGAGCAAGACGACGCCAAACCAGTTGTGATCTTGCTTCGGACAGTGATGGTTGTGCACGCGTTGCGGCGGTCCAGGTAGAAAGAGCAACAAAACAGGAATTCCAGCCCCAAGTCATCCCGCCAAGACCGGATAATTGCGAGAGTGCTGGGCAATTTGATGTGTACACTCTCTGCAGAGGAGTGAATGTGCAGTGATTTGGTATTTTGCAAATAGTTGCGCGCGCACTTTACGAGTGAGAGCGAAGATCAACTACCTGTTGGATTGCGCGCGCCTCGTAGATGACGTGTGACTGTTTCCATCGCAGGCAGCTGCCGAGAATCTCCGCGAGTGGCGGAATTGCGTGAATCTCTGTTTCGGGCGCACACAGCACAAGGGATTGTCGTGGTGGCTTTTCCGGGAAGGCGAGGATGCGCCGGTGTGAGTGCTGGTGAACTGGACATTCCGGGAATGTGAGTGGCACGCACTGTCGAAGCCATGTGCAGAGATCCGTGAGGAGAAGGTGTCGATCCGTGTGTGCGTCGAGGACAATAGCCAATAGATATATTTATTGCGGCGCACGGAGTTCCAGGACACTGCCTCTCTCTCTCTCTCTCTCCCTCTCAAGGTCTCTCATCCTCAGGAGGCGCACAACGTCCGACGAGAGAGAGTCACAAAGAGAACGCACCTCGTTCAGGTGAGTGGAAGAACCCGATATTTGTGTGCCTTTAATCACAGCCAGTTTGTTGGGATCGGCTTTTTGCTCCTCCGTCTCACTCCAACACTGTGTGTGGACTCTCTGTTGCTCCCTCAGACACGCACACACGTCATTTTTTCCCGTCCTCTTTTGCCTCTCCATTCTCATGATTCTTCTGGGAGATCGCGCGGGCCTCAAGACGACCCAGCATCTCTTAACCCTCCTTGCGCCATCGCCGGAGAGCGTTTGAAGGAAAAAAAAAACCAGAGGCATTCTCGAGCGATGGGAGAGAAACATGAAGAAGAGAGATTGAGCCCAAAAAACCCTCCAAAAACCATGTTGAAGTTTTGTGCAGATCGTCGAGGCAGGTTCACTGGAACTGAGTCACTCTCTTGCGACTTTGATTGACACAGGAAGCAGCAAATTGGACATCTTTGACAAAAAGACAGCTCAAAAGTCATAAACCCCTTGAACTCTCCACACGGATGGCATTCAGATGCTATCGGTCAGTTGAGCTAAGTGCTTCCCATATGATCGCGCAGACTTTTTTCCCAGGAAGCCTTCTTTGGGGTCAATCAAGATTGCTGGGAAATTAGCTCTGGAATGACCAATTTGAATAAGTCGGAGCTTCTTGGGCAACTTCTGGGCTGATGGAACATGAGCGATTAAGTTGATCCAATAAGTGGTCTAATGAGGAAGAGAAAATGATCAAATGCAGTCTATTTTTGCTCATTTCCTATGCAATATTTTGAGAGTTTAAGCAGAAACTTAGAAGAAAGAATAGAGGATCAAAAGATGTGTGAAACTGGACTCTTGGCGCTTTTCTCAACTGTTCTTGTTACCTTGATTAGATGATTGTTCCGAAAAAACACCCCAAATTTCCGCTTTCAGACCTTTCGTGTGCGCGTCTTCCTTGAAACCCTAGCCCTGAAGCGTTATAGTCGAGAAAAAAAACGGCACCGCGGATGATCATCAGCGCTTGCCCAAATGATTGTCTGATGGTGTTTTTGGCACGAGACTAATTTCCTGAAAAATCGGAGATGCACAAACATAATTCTTGCCATGAATGTGTCATAAAAAGCACCATCATCATTCCAATTGTTGTAATTTCTACTCTTTTTCGAGTGAGAGAAAAGGAGAAAAAACGGCGCGTACAGAAATTTATGCGCGATTTTCGGTTTGTGTCTTCTAACGGCGAATTTGAATACTCGCCACGAATGATGATTGAATTCCCAATTAGGTAAATATGGTTGGAGAACGATGAAATTACATTGAAATGCTCTTCCATGGACCGGCGATCATTTGAAGAGATGATTCTTTGGGCTTCTGAATATTTTCGTCTCTCTTGTTTGCCGTCTCATTAGGTGAATCAGGTGGTGTAATTAAATGCCAGAGAGAGAGAGAGAGAGAGAGAAAGACTCAGAAATACGGATTTGTGATTGAGGTGAGAAAGATGATCGGCATGCATGGGTTTTATGGGAGATCTTTTTGGGGTCTGTCGCTGGAGCAATACTGTGTGTGATAGAGGTTACCGTCTAAGATGGCGCTCGAGGTTGTTGGATTCTGTATCTCATCGGGAGATGTGCGCCGCGTGAGGAGGGAAGAAAAACGTGTTGGTGATTCAACGGTTTGTGCCGTGTCTTTCGGGTCTTTTTGATATGGCTTCTGGTGTGTGTGTGTGGGGCTTTATAAAAATTTTCCGTCAACCCGTCTCACTTCTCTCTGTTTTATAATAAATGTACAAACAAACTCGGAATTTCCTCCTTCACCTTGTTTCTCTCTGAACCATAGTCGCACGCGTGTGTGTCACACACAGTCTGTATTTTGGTGGTAAATATTCACTCCTCTTATTCAGCCTTGAGTGAAAAGTGGGAGAGGAAATATTGACTGGTGTAATTAAGAGACGCAGGATGAATAACAGTCACGGTGACTGAGAAGATGGAAGATTTTTCTCTCTCTCTCTCTCCCAATCCTATCACGTGACTTAAACCGCCACAGCAAATCAGTTACAGAGCGGCGTTCAAATTTAAATACCCACCCTGAGCATCGCGCGCGCACACAACCAGTTTTTATGTCAGGAATTCGTGATTTGGCTCATTTTATTGTGTTCAGTCCGCGAGTTATTTTTGGTAACAAAGCGATCCATCCAAAATAAACACAATTAATTAAAAATTCACACTAATGACAGTGCGATGAAGGTGGAAAAACAGTTTGGAGACGCCTTTTTCTGTGGGAATTCTCGCATCGAGAGGCGAAAAAAACACTGCGAGGAATTGAATTACCATTCAATCCCACTCGGTATTTCTGTGCAGGTCGCGAAGAAGTGAGGAAATATGCTGATTCTGGTGAATAATTTCACGATAATGAGGGGAGGAGATTAAATTAAAATAGGAAGTGCACGCTGTGGTTGATGTTTTGAAATATTTTTCCCACAATCGTCACATTTTTTCCACTTATACTCTGGGTTATTTATCTTTTTTTCCCGCCATTATTGTTATGTGTGAGTGTGTAGACAAAAAAAAAGATTCTTGTGAAATATATTTTGATATGTTAAAATCCTCGCGATGTGACAGAATTTGGACACTTTTGTTCGCACAGGGCGAATGCACGAAATCACAACAATAGTAAAAACAAAAAAATATGACGAAAAGCATTTTATAAAAATTTCGGTTAATTAAATCTTTACGAGCTCAAACATTGCAGATAAATTCTGGGAATTGCTTTGCCAGGTGCCATAAATGTCTCAGTGGAGAGAAAAAAAAATTTTAAGAGACAAATCTCTGCATTCAAATTAATTACCAAACATGGTAAACTGTTCGTCGACACACAAAACTGATGTTGTATAAATTCAGGTAAAAAAAAAATGAATTTATGGGAAATTTCGGGGTGAAATCTCCTGACTCGGAACTGTTTCACAAACTGCTAGAGGAACAAACAAGAGTCGCCACTATCTTGATGAAGTCCTTCTGTGCACGGCCGCCAGTGTGCGAACTCCAATTTGTGAGACTCTTTCACCTGTCCGCGCGCATTCGAGGGATATTTATGTGAAGGAATGTTCACATCCTGTGCCACTTTTATTGCAACTCATGTCACCCCCTCAGACACTACCGGCTCACCCCGACGCGATGTTACGGCCTGTGGCCTAAGGGGAGGAGGAAGCAGAGAGAGAGAGAGGGAAAAGTTATGGGACTGCCGGTGTCTCGGAGTCGTGTTTGAGCGGCGCGATTCCTCACAGGAAATCCAACGGAGACACAAAAACACACACACACTCACGTGATCGTTCGTCTTAAGGGCCAGAAAGGGGGTGAAAACCTCAGGGATCGTGAATTATAAACATCTGACATGTTGAGTCGTTGCAACATTACAGATGTCGTATTTTAGTTCGTAAAAGCTACAAATTTGGTGTTGCAACTTTACGTTTTTATAGCTTATATTGGCGGCCATCTGGCGACGCTAATGTAAAGTACGAATAGAATACGAACAAGAAGGCGTTCCAATGCAAAGCTGAGAGTTTATTTAATAAGAATTTCAGCTGTCAGAAAGTCATTTTATTGTGGCTACTTTTGAGCAGCCGTAAAGTACGAGATTTCCTCTTTAAGGGTGTTTTTAGAGCAGAAATTCCAACTTTCGCCCAATTTCTGGCCATTTTCCTCCGCGTAGAAGTTAGGAAATGTTCTTAATTGGAAATTGAGAATAACCTCAATCTGGTGCATTTAAATGTGCACAAATGATCAGAAAAATCCAATAAATGTGTGTTTATCTACACAAAATCAGCATTATTGTCTATTTCTTTGGTTTTCATGTGAATTTTCCAGCTTTGTTTGTCTTCACATCATTAGTAAATGTTATGAATCATAATGTTGCAACACCTTTTTACGAATTCGTATTTTTGACAGCTTATTTGAAATGTTATGAAAGTAAAGTTGCAATGTGTGTGTCACATCCAGAGGGCAATGTTTCTTTACTCTCTCATCACCTGATCCCTCGTTATTCATGCTATGCACCCTTCATTCGCATTGCCCATTCTATTTGGGCGCTGCACTCGAGGGGAGAGTCTATAAAAAGTGGAGTTGTGTGTGTGTGGCTGAAGAGCTTAATGGTGTGATGGTGGAAAGGGTGGAAAAGGAGCGTCAGGTAGATGGATTTTTGTCTGCATTTCCGAGAATGTAATGTGCATTGGTGGTGCTGAAGGGTGTGAGAAAGAGAGCCGAGCGCCTGAGAGGAGCGCTATCGATTCTGATGGGGGGATGATTAATGGATGGGCGATGCGTGTGAGAAAAAGTGAGTTTGCCGCCGTGGTGAAATGAAGCACAGAAAGTTGATTGCAATTGGGATCGATGGAATCTCAATCAGGGGTATTGGGATTGTGAGTCTGTGTGTGATGCAAGGAAGTCGGGAGAGACCACACCATGTGGATTAGCTCCATGGCTCATTGATTTTCT